TAAAAACGCTTTAAAAGCTTTTTTTTTTTTTTTTTTTTTTTGCATATATCTACTGCTTGCTAGCAGTAGATACATGCAAAAAAACCGGAGGGTTTAGAAACCCTTTAAGTAGGGTATACACGGTATACACGGTATACAACAAACGTTGGTACGCAAGATACTGATTGGAACTTTCGATAATTGCAACAGAGACTTGATAAGTCCCTTGGGAAAAAAAAATGTGTTTTTCATTTAGCATTTGATTTTGGAATGAATGGAGTTTCCTGAACAAAAACCACATGCACTGTTAGAATATCATTCGTGAAAAACTTTTCAACAAATTTTTTCGTCACTGTGGTGCAAATTGATCAGCGATTTGACCACATCGCCGATTAGAAAGTCAAACGAACGTTCTGAAATCGATTTCATTTGTTTGAAATTCTAACCATGTATACCCTACTTGAGTCCCATTCTACTTTACTTGTCCTGTCCTGTTGGCCACTCTTCCAAGCAGCTTCCTTAGTTCTAATGATTGTCAGCAGATATAACCGCACGGATAACTCAATCACCTTACTCCAATCACAATGGAATGTGTCAAGGCAAATGCTAATTGTTCAAGATGGCGAGAGATATGAAAGTTTGTGGATCATCCTGTTTTACTCTAATCACCATGGAAACAAAGTCTGGGACAATTGATAACTGTTTTAGCTACAGTATATAGCTGAGGGCCCATTCATACTATCATGTTGTAGTCACCCATGGTAACCATCTGTGTGTTAGGGAACACTGCATAAAAAAGAAAAAAATAAATAGTACAAGTCCATGTTTCTGTGTATTACATTTCCAGCCCATTTAGAATGAATGGCTGCCTTACCATGTGGTTTAACCTGTGGCGTAAAGCACTGTGAATGGGGCCTAAAAGGTGCTAATTATTATTATTAAATACCCAGGGTACAGATGTCAAAATGACAACATATGTGGGTGGCAGAGTTGCCAAAAGCCCACAGCCTTGTTTAAAGTAGCTAATGAAACTGGAGATAAATAAGACCAACTCTCTATTGGCAAACAGAGAGAGGCCAGAGTGCTTAAGGCGTGGTGGCAGAGATCTGTATAAATCTTTGTGTGCGCCACCTTCTACCTGTTACTGGTTGCAAAGATGTTTTCAGCTACATGACATCATTGGCTGCTAGAAGACTGATGGCTATCGGACAGCGTCATAGCAACCAGTGACATGGGGCTGAACACTGACAGTGAGTAGAGTCTAATATGTGACGTTGAGGGACTAATTCCCCATCTGGTCTGCCTACCTTGTGACTGACAGCGGACAACAGTGGATGGATTCTATTGCCACTAGACAGCCCACGACGATTGTCCCTGGACAAAGGATAGATGCGTCCAGGTACAAGCATCTACCCCAAGCTGTACCATGTATGATTATATGCGGACTACTGCTGACAGATGTGGCCACTGTCACCCTGTCATTAACCTGAACAGGCACAGTGTCCGAATCTATACGGGCACACCTACAATTCCTGCTGCTAGAATTCATAGGTTCTTGCCGCAGGAATCCCCAGCTGCAGCATTACACACTGTGTGAATGGGGCCTAAGAACAAGTCCAGCTGAATGTGACTAACTACTTCTAACCTAACCATGACCTGGATAAATCAGAACCTTCACTGATAGGGATATGCATGGGCTTGGTGAGACAAATCACCCTCCTGACCCAATCAGCTGCCTTCAGGGCATCCCAGCATCCCCCCCTCCATTCCATTTCCCAAAGCTACACCTAACAAAGGGAAAGGGGAATGACCTTGTGGCAGCTGATTGGGCAGGGAAGGAGGCATGTGTCACTGATAGTTTTGCAGAGAAATGTTACTCCTTATATAGATTCTGAGGAACAGAATAAAAATATATAGACAACTAATGCAGATAGAATCATTTATGGAATAGCTGAAAGCACACTCACTGGAATGGAAGCTTCGGAGCTGGCCTGCCGTAAAAAGCCTAGAAAAAGAATGAACACAATGTTATATGCCATATGACAAGCACTGCTCCTGAGGACACCTACAACACACGTTCTCTAGTCAACACTAGACGACATTAACAACACACATTGCATTTCTCCAGTCACATCCTATTCATTACATGAGGGAGAAATCTTATACCTGGTGAGTCTGCACTGAGGACCACACGCCCTCCACATGCACAGCGCCATCTTCCTCCTATCACCCTTGAGCCGGTTATGACACGGGTAAGGTAAGCTAAATCAGCCAATCCGTGCCGCTTTGTCTTCATACACTAGAGCGCCACTTCACTAGCCCACTTAAGGAACTACGGCGCCATCTTGCCGTAGACCTCGGAGCTGTGTTTGTTTGTGAACACTTGATGGCGATAATACAGTTGTGTCACAGGCAGGCGCTAGTTGAGTTGGGGTGTGGAACTAGTTATTCTCTACACTCGTGCAAGGAGGCAATTTTTATTTATATTCAGCCTGTAGTACTAGGAGCTCCCAAGTTCCAGCATAGCACTGGCTGGAGGATTGGTACCCTTTCTATTCAGTAGAGGGCCAGGGATCCCTTATAGCAAACAGAAAATGTGAGAGCATACCATAATTCAGTGTGCGTTTATGCACGAGCGTTTATACGAGTTTCTAGCACGTTTCTGATGCATTTTATTCTGTTGCATTTTCTTTTCTTTTGGACTCCATAAAAATTTTTTTTTTCAATTGTGTTTAAGTCCAGGCCATTTTTCAGTATTCAGCGCTGTGGTACTTTGGCATTTATTCCGTCATGTAACGCTGTACTGAAATTAATTTTGTACCATTTTTGGGGACAGATAGAGCTTTCTTTTGCTGGTATTTAATCACCACTGGATTTTTTTATTTTTTACTATATAGCAACAAAAGTACTGAAAATTATGAAAAAAAACTTTACCTTTGCTTTAAAATTGCGCGTGCCCGCGAAATTGCAAAAAAACTACCATGCCCAAAATTGGCCATAGGCGACGCTTTAAAAGCTTTTACCGCTCATCAATTTAGTGTTATCAGTGATTGATGGCCCAAAAGTATTGCTCTCACTGCAACGTTCGCGGTGATATGTAACATGTGTGGCGCAATGGGCGCAATCATCGTTTTCGCATGTAAGCGCACGTAATGCATGCGGGAACATTTTGTGGGTTTTTTTTATATGTGGCCTTTAATATTTTTTGGGGGGAACTTTAATTTCTTTTAAACTTTATTTTTTTCACTTAACTTTATTGTTATCACATAGGGGGCTAAGAAGCCCCCTATGTGATAGCCAATATACAGTGACAGGTCCTCTTTATGGAGACATCAGGAGTCTCTAATGTAACCTAGGGACTCCCAGAGAAGCTGGTGAAGCAAAGATCTGCTTCACCAGCTTCTCTCAGGCTTCTGTAGCCAGGATGACAGCTGAATGCAGAAGTGATGTAATATACATCACTTCCCTCATTCAGAGCACGGGGAGGAGATCAGAGAGAGATCGTGTGCTGATTCCCCTCTGATCTCTGGTGGAGGGGGCGCACACCCGCACACATAATACAAGCGATCGGCCGGCTCTAGATTTCCTGCTTGTGTGCGCCGCCTAGCGATAGGCACGAGCGGGGCGGGAAAGGATGTTTAAAAACGGCCACCAGCATTCAAGAAGCCACTGTCCGGCTGTTTCAATACAATGGGCGGACAGCAGGTGGTTACAGAAAAAAAAATGATTAACCCTTGCACTGGGGCTTTTTATTGTTTGCATACCTTATGTTTCTTTGTCTCCCCATTCTTCTCATGACAGCCATTTTCACTTAGGTCAGATTCATATATCTCCCTTTACTTCCTGGAACTCTGGGTCTGCTTCCCGAAACATGTGAACGTGCACCATCATCTAAGGAGGGGGGAGGTCTTTCTCCCCGAGATCTCACAAGATTTTGCAGTTTGCAGATGAGATTTCCCAGGAAGGCACTGGTGATGTAACCTTCCCAGGATGCATCTGTGAGGCCAGGGATACATCACTAGTGTGCGTTCCGCGGTGGAGCGCAGCCGCTAACCAGGAAGTCCTACTCGCGCCGATGCGTTCCTCCGTGGAACGCATCGGCCGGATGACGTCACTGGCTCCTCCTATTCCTTCCGGCTTAATACGCCGGCACACTGTCAGCTCGGCGTTCCACTATTGTGAGTGTGGAGTGAGCGCCTGCTGACTCTGCCGGCCACACGAACCCCTGGAGACCCCATACACAGGCAGAGAGAGAGAGAGAGAGACGGAGTGACCAGTACAACAGGCCTCTATATCTACCACCTGCTGTGGGACGAATTCCTGTTCTTACAACTGAAAGTACCATATATATCTAAACCTTGGGAATTGCTCCATCTGCTGGTTGTCTCGATACTGCATGCACCTGTGTCCAATTTAAACCTGCAAGTAACCTTCTCCCTTGTAAAGACTACCGATCATTGTAGTGCCTACTGCATATATACTGGTATGAACTGTTACATTCACAAATAACTTAAATATTACTGGTTGCTAACCTGACTGCTTTGTTCAACCTGCATCCATGCCCACAGTGGCATCAGCGACTATCACATGCCTCCAACCTTGTTTATCTGAGACCACTCGTATGCAGTAAATACGTCTAGGTCACTTAACCAATTTATTTGCTTCCACGGTAAATGATGGTCGGACTCCTAACTCTCTGTATCACAGATTAAGAGTGACGCCAGGTGTCCAACACTGACTACCGTACCTCCCTATTAAACATAATTACTTCTACTGATACTGTACCGTTGTTCCGCCACTGCGATTCTAAACCCCGTTTGGCCCGGGCCTTACAACTAGTGCCTCACTCGGGAAGTGTAAAAACAGTAATTCTAAGTAAAAGCAAAATAGGCTTAACTCATTCGTGACACTGTACGTCCCCGTCACGAAGTGCCCAAATGACTGATCAAGTACACTGTACTTGATCAGATATTGGGGCTGTGGAATGCAGGTAACCGCCGAGAATCAGCGGTTACCGTTCATTAATGGATGCCTCAGTATTGAAGCATCCATTAACCAGTTGCCGTCCGCCCGTTGAAAAAAAACGGACGGACGGCACTGCTGCATTAGCGGGTTGCCGTCTCCAGATGCCATTTTTTTTCTGCTCGCGCGCGGCTTTGTAGCCAGCCGATCGGGTATACGTGCTGGTGTGTGACCAACCCTCCCACCCCCTCTTCTGCTGCCGCAGCCCACCCTCCTGACCCCTCACCTTCAATCCCGGGATCCACTGCCCCATCTGTGGCCCGGGACCGGCCATCCTGTGCTATTATATAGGGGGATTGTATCCCCCTATGTAATAGCAATAACAATAAGTGTAAAATATATATATATATAAATAAAAAAAGTAAAAAGAATAAAAGTCACATATAAAAAAAGTAAAAAAACCAAACCAAAATGTTTAAGTCCCCCACCCCCACGTTTACGCACATATAAACGTAAGTACGTGTCCGGTGCACCAACATCTCTATCTGTCCCCAAAAAAATTGTATAAAATTCATTTCAGTACAACGTTGCATGACGGAAAAAATGTCAGTCAAAGTACCGCAGCGCTGAATACTGAAAAATGGCCTGGATGGGAAGGGGGTTTAACACCGCGGACTTCAAGTGGTTAATGAAAGAGTTAAGCTTTTTCAGACACCCGAGTCTGATAGTGATAGCAGTGCAGTATTTACTGCACTTGCTGTCACTGTTTGACAGCTGGTATAGATTGTTTTCTACAATGTTTCAGAATAGAAAGCTACCGTGTTTCCCCAAAAATAAGACCTACCCTGTAAATAAGACCTAGTACTATTTTTTGTAATTGTTAAAATATAAGACCTACCCCGAATATAAGACCTAGTTGTGGCCGGTGGTGGCGTAAGGGGGAACTTGAAGAGCCGCAGGAGAGGCGAGAGAGAATCAGCGGAGCCAGCATAAGCCAGGGAAGCGAGGCCGCGGCGGAGGGAGCAGAGCCGCATAAGCCGATGCTTCCTCTATAGTGCCGGCTTCTGTCACAGGCGGAGTGATACCAAATGCACTCCGCCTGTGAGGAATCATAGTGAAAGCGCTCATAAGCGATTGGTTACCAAACTGCTGAAAGATGAGTGCAAAAAGAAAGAGCTATTCTGTCAATAGAGCTATTTATGTTGTACATTAAAGAGCTATTAAAGAGCTATTAATGTTGTACATTAAAAAAAAAAAAAAAGACCTACCCCAAAAATAAGACCTAGTGTGTTTTTTGAGCCAAAAAAAATATAAGACAGTGTCTTATTTTCGGGGAACACGGTACATGTTTCTATTCTGAAACAATGTTTCAGGCTTCTGATTGTTCTGGGAACAATCAGAAGCCTTTACTGACACTGATCCTGACATGCAGCAGGATCAGTGTCACTAAGGTTATTATTGGCTGTTCCAAAGTTTGGAGCAGCCTAATAATAACCAAAAACGAATTCATTGAATTATCAAACAATCATAGTGGGATTCATTCACAATGACTGCTTGATATAATTAAACATAAATAAAATAAAAGTGTAAAAAATGTTTTAAAAAATTGTATATATTGCCAGGTTGCCAAACCGCTGCAGGTATAAAGTTAAAGCATCTAGAGCAGGGGTGGGCAAACTCTGGCTTTCTAGCTGTGGTGAAACTACAAATCCCATGATGCATCTGTCTCTGGCAGCCATGCCTGTGGCTGGGGGAATCTTGTAATGCCTTATAGGATTTGTAGTTGTAGCAGTACAACAGCTGGAGAGTCAGAGTTTGCCCACCCCGATATACAGGTATCTGCACATACCTGCAGCAGTCTCAAACTTTTTCGACAGACATAGCTTCAGAACTTCCTGATAGTGATGAATATTTCCCTTTTCTTCCTATCTACCACATTTCTACTGGCCAGTAAGGCTGCCCATTGAAGTGACGGGCCCACAGGGATGTGTGGGGCTGGAGCCTAGCAGAAAGCTGTAACATTACCCAAAGGTGTGGGAGATTGCTCTAGGTATGTGCAGGCACCTCATACCTGCAGCAGTGTCCACCCATCCTCATACCTCCCAACCACCCCAATTTTGCAGACTGTCCCAGGCTTTGAACTAAATCTCGGGATTCCGCATACCCACAACATGTCTCATCACCGGGTGCTGGAACACACACTCTAGCACCCAATGTCTGCATCAGACCTCCTACCAGAGCGGTGTCCGCACATCGAAATGTGACAAGCATTTTGCAGTGTTTCCAGGTAAATTACTGCACATACTTACAGAGAATTAATTATTATATCTGTGTTTTTTAGCCCTGTGTAGTGTGGAGGAGGATTGTTTATGAACGCACTTAGTATATAGAATTTCATATTACAGTATAAACACAGCTGTCTCCCAAATTCCCTTCAGCAGGATACCTCATTGTGGCTTTCCTCTGGAATACATACAATTCGGATAATGTTTAAAACTGTCAATTTATACTTTGTAATACCATTGAGCCAATTGCCAGAAACCCTTGTGCAATTTGTGTCTATATGTGAAATGCATTGTGTTATGCAACATGGACTTTTTAGTTAGAGCCTCTGACATAATACAAGGTGACCTAAACGGATCAGAATAAATTAAAACATTTTGCCATTACTTTTATCACAAATTATAAAGAAACAAGACTATATATGCAGTATATAAGAAAAGTAATATGTGGGGTTTGAGGCATTAGCTCAACAAAGGTGCTGACATGCCCCACATTGAGCACAGACCTTTTTTTCCTTACAACCGACACTGGGACATTTTTTCTTCCACTGACTAGTAATGCTCCTTACTGATGCACTTTGTACACTGTGTTGTCCTGACTAGTACACTCTTTGGGGTCTGTTTGGAAAATATTCGCAGGACCCTTCGCCCTGCACATATCTGTGAACATTTGTTTTAGGGGAATCATGCCAAAAACAAATGTTGTTAATATAGTTTTTTCCCAGTTGGAATGTAGTGTGTTGTAATAACACATTATGGCTACTAGATGGAGCTGAGGACCATAGGAAATAACAGGGTTATTCACAAAAGGGTGAAGGGTTTGGAGAAGGCAGGATAAGTGAACAATCTAAGACAACATAGCTGATTTGGAAAAATTCTCCAATTCATCTCACTTTCCAGTTCAGCTATGTTGTCCTAGATTATTCACTTCTGCTTCTCCAAACTCTTTGCCCTTTAGTAAATAACCCTGTAAATATATATAAATACATTTTTCTATGCTTCTCAGCTCCATCTAGTGGCCATAATGCAGTATTACATTACATACATTTGACCTCAAAAGAAATATAGTTTATTTTTGCATCTATTCCCACATAACAAACTTTCAGAAAGATTCATAGGGTGATTGGCTCTGCGAATCGGTTATAAAAAGACCCCTAAGATTCAAGTAATAATGCACATGCCTCTAATATATGGACAATATTTATTTTTTATCCCGGAGTTCAGCTGTATCAAAAGAACACTGCCTGTGTTTTCAACACCTGCTGTTTACTGGTTTGAACAGCACACTTGTTGCGACATAGTAATGGAATATTGTTTATATTGTTGGTCTTTAGATAGATGATCTATTTTTTTTATAAAGCTGCAGACAGAATGTTTGTCTTTGGAGTTAGTTATTTCTAGGCTGGTAGTTCCCTTGATTCAGATCTACCACAGCATGCTGCGGAGAATGTAACTTGGCAGGAAAGTTTGATGAAATTTGTGAAAAGGTGAATGCAGAATGGAATCAATGAGCCCATACCCATAAAACGTGAATGCTAAAATTAGACTGTTTGTGTCAGGAACATTTCTGGCTCGAAACAGCTTCTAGAGTATTACATATGTTACTGATAAGTTCCATCTGTAATGTTCTTTCTTCATTTCCTCTAGTTTCTCCTCATCTTTTCTCCCCCTCCCGCCTCCCGCTTTGGACTTCCACTATCCCATGTAAGCAGACGACAGCTGAGGAGTTTTCTTCCACAAACATGCGTCTTCTCTCAGTCCTGAAGCTTATCTTTCTTTCTGCCATCCTTCTCCATGTAGTTTCAGGTGGGTACTCAAATTTTTGTTATGTCTGTATACTACAGCAATGAAGATTTAATGCAATAACTAGTATACAGTATCTGAAGGCACCAAGGCTGTTTTCCAATAAACATAACTTTAATAGCATGTTTGAGATCACAAATATCAAGCGGGACATTGTGTACCAGGTGCAGTAGCAGTGGCCAGCTGTATGTTTGTTACTAATATCAGGTCAGATTTTGGGTAATATAAGGGCAGTAGGGCAGCAATGTTATTGGGTTTTGTTCAATTGCATTTTTTTTCTGCAGAGGGGGGCTCCATTACAATTTTGCTATGGGGCCTTGTGGTTTGTAGTTAATGTTAGTTTCTGGCAATGTAGTTAGTTCTTGTTTCCTGTGAATTTATTCTTTTTTATCTTTTAGTTTTTTTTTTAAAGTGAGGCAGGGTTTTATCATTACATTAGGTGTAATTTCTGAGAACCTGATGCTGATAGTGTAGCATTGCAACCAGGACAGACAATGAATGATGGGACATTCAATATTTTACAGTTGTTATTAGAACTTGAGGTAATAGGAAATCTTCAGATGAAGATGTCGATACCCACCCCCATCCATAGGCAATCCATCTTATCTAAACTTGGTCTTTCACAATATGCTGAGAAATGTCAGGGGTCTGTTTAGATCCCTAATATTTCCCCAAAGCCCCCCAACTGTAAAAAAAATTAATTGTAATAAGAATAAAAAATAAATTAAAAAAACACAGACACTCTTGCACACATATTATTAGACATGTGCAAAGACTAAAAATTTGTTTTGGACAAAATGAACGCAAACTAAAAATGTTTTCATTAGTTTCATCTAACAAAGCAAATTTTTATGCTATCTTGGATTTGACCATCAGCACATTCTACATGCGCGACGTCGGGTGACATAACATGTCTGTTGGGGGGCACAATTTTCTGTTCTTGCCTCGGGCGCAAAAGCAGCTAGCTACGGCTCTGATATGCACACCACCCTGCAGAAGAGAATGGCTAAGTGTAGATGCCGGGGGGCACAACACCAGCACTGGTGTCTATCATAACTACAGCACTGATGTCGGTGGTGGTGGGGAGGTGGGACAACCATCTTTTTCAGCTGTATGAAGAAAGTTAGCATAAAATGTGTAAGAAAATAATGGTACCTGGAGCTGGGCTTTAAAATGCACCTGTGCCAAAAATATGGTAACTATTTACATATTCCTAACTAAGCATGAGCATCAGGTATGGATCGGCCATGCATTCAACCCAAACCAGTTTTGGGCAGTTTGTCTGCCCACACCTCGGGCCAGTGCAGCAGGAAGAGTGTCATTAAGCTGTGGTATGACTACTGCCTTTAAATGACAGATTCCTGATGGCTTGTTTCAAACTGTTATTAAGCCAGTGCTGGTCCCAATGATGTTACCAAGGTTCCCCAGCCATCATCATGGCGTCAGGTTGTTGTGTCACCGGGCATTGCTCATCATGATTGACGATAGATCTACATCTCTGGAGGCCATAAATTACCTTGAATTTACATCGTTTGACTTTGTCACGTATCTGGTGGAGTCTGAGTTGACAAGGGCGGCCTCCCTTGCAGCTTCAGTCCCAGAGCCTCTGGATAGTCGAACAGGTGTGCAGGGACACAGAGAGGCACGAGTGCCAGATGTCCCCGTGCCAGGAAGGGTTAGTCTCTGTGTTGCTGACGAGCCCTGGGTAGAAGAAGAGCTGTAGACACACTAGCCAAGCCATCAACAGGCAGGCAGATCAGTACAAGGCGACAGACAGGATCATATTCAGCAACAGGCCAGGGTCAGTAGCGTGCAGGCAGTGAGGTAAAATGCAGCAGATAGAAGCGGTAGTCGAGGAACAAGCCAAGGTCACAGGAACACAGAAAAGCGCAGTACTGTGCACATGTGGTTGAATGCACGGCCAGGCACAACTCTATGAACTGAACAAGGTGCGTGCACACACGTAGATGCTCGCACACACATAGATGCCCATACCGAAGCCCTGGCTCTGGCTACCTGACAGACTATTTCTTTATTTTTTGGGGTGATTTTTTTAATGAAGCTGGGTCACCCGGGATCCCCCGGCTGTTTTGTTTTCAAGCACCAGCACCCAGAAGCTGAGCTGCTTCATTATCTGTGCAAAAGCCTTGTGCATGTCAGCTGCTTCCTTCCCCTGTGTATGCGCTGTTGTTGTTTACTGAGCTCCGGCATCACTCAGCAGAGAAAGCTCCACCCATTGCTCTGAGGAAGGGACTAAGTTGGAGGACAAGCAGTCATGTGACCACACATAAATGGATAAAAAAAGTATTTCAATGGCGATTTTATAAAGTACAGATATGTCAGTGATAAAGCAAGGGTAGAGGAACCATTTGCGCTATTCATTATATGTTGGATTTCCATCTATTTATAATTTTTCCGTAATGTTCAGAATATATAACTACTTTAGCCTTGACGCAGGTTCACCAGATTGCTAGTTGGCTAAATATGGCTGTTTGCATTTCTTGTCCTAACAAAGTATTAATAAAATTAATTTATCTTCTAAAGGGAAGAAGTTTCGCTGGTGTACACTGTCTGAAGGAGAACAAAGAAAATGTTCTCACTTGGCTCGGACTCTCCAGAGCGTGTTGCCCTCCAATAATGCATTTTCCAGGGTATCCTGTGTCCGAGCTCACAATATACAAGACTGTATGAGCAGGATCAGGGTGAGAGGACTCCATTCAGCTTTGTGAAAAAAAGATAATCAATGCTGGAAACTATCCTTCATTGCATGTGTCCTGTTTTGTGTGATGATGGTTTTTAATGCTTAACTTGTGTGTGTTCACAGGGAAATAAGGCTGATGCGGTGTCCCTTGATGCAGGAGATGTCTTCACTGCTGTCAGACGTTATAATCTGGCAGTGGTAGCAAAGGAACAACATGCTGAAGGTAACATATTGTTCATGGAATCATGTAAGTGTTACTGGTTAAAACCGCAGATACAGTAACTATGTTTTCCATACAGGAAGTTGTGTGTTTGCAGTGGCAGTTGCCCGCCGTGGTACTCTGAGTATTAATAACTTAAAAGGGGCACGTTCTTGTCACAATGGAGCCAGATGGACATCAGGATGGAATATTCCTCTTGGCTTCCTGCTTTCCAAAAACCTACTTCACTGGGATGAAGAGCAACCCTTAGCTAAAGGCAAGAGCATCTGAACAGTTTGTATTATTTTATATAGAATAATTTACACACAACCCAATTAGCTGCACTGTATTTAAAACACTACAACAAACAAGTGCCTAATTTACTTTTTAAAAGTGAAGTAAAGGAGTATTTCATCCTTTTAGAAGCATACCAATATGCAGCATTCTACAGCTACTTGAGGTTAGCGCAAAGCAAAACACCAAATTCTGTGATAAATATATTTAAAATAAATAGCTATTTACCTATGTTATTTATTTTTAAATGCACTATTTTATGGAAAATGCAATGTTCTGGGCCTAGGACATTGAGTTGAAGCATAGAAAGCAGAGATCACCAGCACTCAGTCAAAAGCATAAGATTATTTTGTTTATTTATTGAAGAAACATGTCACAAGCGTTATTTATGCTAAATTATGCTTGTGGCATGTTTCCCCCCAAAAATAAGCACAAAATGTAATGCCTTTGACTGAGTGCTGGTGATCTCTGTTTTTTACGATTTTGGAAAACATGGCGCCATCCATGCAATCAGTACGAGCACCACGACCATTAATCAAGGTCCAATTGCTGTAAGGAGTGCAGGAGACACATCACAATACTAAGTGAGTTAAAGCAAACATTTGCTTTGCCAATACAGGGAAAAGCAACAGCTTTGCTTTAAAGCCCAATTAAACTTTCAGTTTAAATCAGCTAAATACATTCCAGGTGCATCAAAACAAAGGATGTATAAAGTCTTACCGTCTGTTTTCTTTAGAAAGCAGCCACAACTCGTGTCAAAAAGTATATCCCCTGCCATCATGCTGCAAAGAAGGACCCGTTCTTTTTGTGTGAAAGCAGTGGTCTCCCTGCAGAGTTTCGACATACCCCTTGCTGAGTCAGACCTATCGTTCTGCAGTCAGCAAAGATTTTTCTCCCTGCTGTTTCAAGAGCGGTAGCACTGACTTAGCAGGGGACATACCGGCCTCTTCAGAGTGATCACACCTCCACTTTGTACACCTTGTAAAACTATTGTTTTTACCACATTTCTTTTGGTGTGCTTGTGATGCATACCTGACATGAGCCAAATCATCAACATATAGTGTCTGAGTTAAAGATTATTTGCATCAATCCTGGAAAATGTTTACTCTAAAATGCAGCGCAGATATTAGCTGCACATCAGCACCTTGCCTGATCAGGCAATGATCTGAACATTGAACTTTCTTTGATACATGTCTAGATGGACACTCATCAATGGAAATTAGTAGCTTTGTGATGCTTTGCTGCCTGAACTTCTCTCTCCCATTGGCGATGACTTCCTGTTCGTGGTGCAGAGAGAAGAAGTGATATAGCAAGCTGTCAATTTGCTACAGGGGCCGCTGTTTGTTAGGGGCACTTTGCACAATTGTGCGCACAAATATATATGGGAAATATACCTACCCACTAAGTACCTACTAACTTTTCCCTTGCTACCTTGCTGCTACCGTCAGCTGCCAGGAGCAAATAAAGTACCTGTACTTCGAGATATGGAGGAGCATGTGACTCATTCCATGTTACAGTGCCAAGCCAGTAGCTAAGCACCAGTGCTGTCACATGGGAAGTGTCCATAGCTACAGCATGAGACTCGTAGCTTACACAGCGTGGAATCTCCTGCTTCCAACAGCTAAGTGGAGCCACGAAAGGGCAAAAATGTGCTGCTGCTCTACATGGATAAAACAAAGGTTCACTTTAAAGTGACATTAACTTAAATGTTAAAAATGAATTCAAGCACCTTAACTATTAACATAAATGTATCTTATTTGTGTAGCACTCAGCTGTAGACCCTCAAATCATCTATGAATTGGTGCGGTCACTGTTCTTCCTTCTGGAGGGTGGCTACTTTTGATCCCCATGGTCCCTGTGTTGTAAAGTAGACACCGCTCCAAGCTCGTCCTAGTGCTGGACCAATACCTGACATTTAGTTTACCAATTTGTATTGAAATTACAGTATATTCCATCACTGGAGTGAGGTTGGAGCGGTGGCTAATTTACAACACACACAAGGATCATGGGGAACAAAAGTAGCCACCCCCAGAAGGAAGGACAGTGTCAGCACCAATTCAGAGATGATTTGAGGATCTACAGCTGAGTGATACACTAATATCCTAAACTTTTTTAAATAGTTTGGGTACTTGAATGTGTTTGCATCAATGCACCTTACAATTAAACAATTTAGGCTCAATGGCTCCCCTGTGCTCTTTTGCATGCTTTAGAAAATATACTAAGCTATAGACACAAGGTTCTATCCAACAGCAACCCCACCCATATATGAGGTCTACACACCTGAAATCACCTGAAGAGAAAGTAGTGTGTAACATTCAGCAAAGGCACTGCTGCAGCTCAAAGGTGAAACTAAATAATCATTACATTTCCAGGGAACATAACCAGATACTATTTGTTTAGTTGCAGTTTTTATCCTAAAATTAGTTCTGCTTTTAATCTAATGCTAAGGAGCAACTAAGAGCAGTACAGAGAGAAATATACAACCAGTAATTAGCAAGGCATATAACCATAAATAAAGTCGTTTGACAGATTATTGTTCAAGGTACAGATTGTGATCTACCCATCCAGTGGAGGCAGCTATTTTGTAGCGAAAAGGACTTTAATGAAAATAGCTAATGAATTTGCTTGTTGGCTTGAAAAAAAGCTTTCTTCATTTTCAAATGGAAGAGATCGGTGTCACAGTTTATAAATTGTACAGGTACAGGTTTGGCATAGAGTAAACTTGTACTTAATTTTACACTTAAGTCAGTAAAGTAAAAATGCCTGTCTACAAGTAGGCAATGCAAGATGCATTGCCTGCCTAAGATGCACAGAAGAGGCTTCAGTGGCTCATAAAGAGTTGCTTTATGAGCCATAGAAGCCTCTTATGCTTCCCTCCCTGTTTTAGTTTCACTTTATTTCTGGGTCTTGACTTATGGCATCACAACGGGTGGTGCGGTGCGCACTGGGAGACACCATCAGAGGGGGTGACACCAAAATGAAATGAAACATTTTGGTGTCACCCCCTTTGAAAAGTCGGGCACTCGGCCATGAACCGAAAGCCCGACAGCTGCACGAGAGAGGAGGGGACCCGGTGGGATACCTTATCCTGCCGCCTGAACGTCCCGTCCTCTCTTTGCCAGCGTCTATCACCAAGATGGCTGCTGGCAGTGCGTGTGACTTCATTACGCACTTGTGCAATGATGTCACGCACGTACATGATGACTTCACGCACATGCACCGGGTGACACCCAGCCTGGGGACGCCTTTGGTCTTGACTTTCGCTGACTTAAGCAACAGCAACCACCATTCCTCTGTCCAATGAAAGTGAACTTAAATTGACACTAAACTGCAGGAGATAAATCTTCAAGTACCCTGACTATTAACAAAAATGTATCTTGTGTATCACTCAACTTTAGATCTTCAAATCATCTCTCAATTGGTGCTAACAGGGTGGCTATTTGTGTTCCCTGCGTGTGTTGTAAAGTAGCCACCCCTCTAAACTTGCTCCTGTAATGGATTACAATCTCAGGTTTAGTTTTCTAATTTGTATTGAGATTATAGTCCATCATGGGAGCAAGCTTGGAGCGGTGGCTTCTTTACAACACACACAGGGACCATGGGGAACAAAAGTAGCCACCCTCTAGAAGGAAGGACAGTTATAGCACAAATTCAGAGAACATTTAAGGATCTACAGCTGAGTGATACACACATAAGATACATTTGTGTTAATAGTTAAAGTACTTGAATGCATTTATAAGATTTCACCCCTGAGTTTAGTGTAATTTAATGCCCACTAAAGCAGCCTCATTGAAGGCTGGACTGGCAGTTACCAGGGCTTAGCCATGAAGTCAGTGACAGTCAGGGATCAGAGATAGTCACATAGAAGGTTTATCTGCTCTTAAAGTGTATGTCCATCCAGAACTTTTTTTTTTTTGTATTATTATTTTGAAAGGAGTATGGATGGATTAGAACTGCTCTCACATTTTACTACTAGATGAGGGACTGTTAGAAAGAGTTCTCTTTACTAACTGTCACAGTGACAGCGGTTTCACCAAACAATAACATAAACGAACATAACAATATTTTTTTTTTAGAGTAGTATTAGAAAATCTCACATTAAGTTATGGTTTTTTTTTTAAACCTCTACAGGGGTTCTAACCCATATTCACTTTTGGCTGGACATAAGTGCACCACACACATTACAGTCTGATTGTACAATATCCTTTAGATTTTAGACTTGTCTAATTGGATACAAATTGGTTGGAATGATTAGATAGGTGCTCATATTACATAGTTTTGGTAAATCTATAACAAGGTTATTCACAAAAGGGTGAAGAGTTTGGAGAAGGCAGGAGAAGTGAACAATCTAGGACAACATAACTGAACTGGAAAGTGAACTGAATTGGAGAATTTTTCCAATTCAGCTATTTTGGCCTAGATTGTTCACTTCTCCTGCCTACTCCAAACCATTCACCCTATGAGCACCTATCTAATCAATCCAACCAATTTGTATCCAATTAGACAAGTCTAAAATCTAAAGGAGTACAAGTCAGATTGTAACATGTATGGTAACCCGAACACTTTAATGGTAATATTTATAATTGTTTTTCCCCACGATACATACAACTTTAACTTAAGATTCATTAATTTTTTTGATAGAAATGACAAATGTGTGAATCTTGGGTGAAAGTACAGTAGTTCAAAATTTGGGTGAAAACAAGTTAAGTATCCTTGCAGGCCCTTTTTTTGAGAATATAAATATGTGTTTACTCTTTACAGTTGTCAGCAAATATTTCAATGTAAGCTGTATTCCTGGAATTGGAGTCTCCTCCCCAAACCTGTGTGAACTATGTCAAGGTCCCAAATCTTATGTACGAGAAAAAAACCACTTCTGCGAGACCAGCACCAACGAACCATTTTCTGACTCTGACGGTGCCTTCAGGTACAATGGACGCATTCTGCAGAAACTCGTATTTATCACTGACCTCGCCCATTATAGTAATATCATTTAAGAAAAAGAACTCTGGGCAAGTAACCCACTCTGCTCCGGTACTGGAATGTCGCTCGGTGTCCTTACATCCTATACACTGTATAGGACGTGATGACTTACAGAACCTTAGACTGCTGGAGCAGGTGAAGAGCACCGGTCTAACAGCCAACCATGATCACAGTTCGGGTTGTTTTATCTCCCTAGGTAAAAAAAGCACTTCACCCTTGCAGTTTGGGGGAACCCCAATGCAAGGGTTAAGATTTATTTGCCCGGAGTTCTTTTTTAATGATGCAATCAACAGAAACTTGATAACCGGATGTGGCACAGCTCAGCGTTTTAGTGCGCAATACAGAGAATACAAAAGATGTCTTATCAGTTCACCACCATATGCTGTTTGTTTTGTATGCAATGTGCAGGTGTCTGAAGAGTGGGGCAGGAGATGTTGCTTTCATGGATCACCTTGCTATAATGAATGCACCTGGTAAGTTCTATACATATCTGTAAAGCAAATATTAATATGTTTTATAGCAACAAAAGAGAGGAATTTCTGACCCTGTTTAGCAGAATAGAGAGCCACATGCTCTGTTGCCAAGCATTCCTGATTTCTATGGGCAGTACCGAATTTAAAAGATTTGTTTTTGTAAACTGATAGCTCTGAAAAAGACCATTTTGTTATGAGCGCTTGCCATAGAAAGTCCCTACTGTCAATGCTTCTGCATGTTTTTTTAATTCTTATGATCTCCAAATTTATTTGTAAGACTGGTCTCAAATATTAGATTGTGGTAGGAAAGTAAAATGTAGGAGATACATTTCGTTTGGCTAACAGAATGTATTTTGAGGTGCAAACTTTAGAAAAACACTTGAGTTGGACATTCACCTACTTTATTTTTTTGTTCAGCCCCATTGGGTGAATGAGAAGAAAACGCTTGATTGCCCCGTCCAAGCATAACAGAGTGAATAGGAGGATCCCCCTCCCGTCGCACTATTGTGTTCTGACAGCAGTGTCACTGTCAGAATACTTGAAGTCACTTTACTGTCATGAACCTTAAAAACAATTACTTCATACCCATTTGGTCCTCTGCCACCCTTATCCGCAAGTCAAAACTTACACAAGAATCTCAGACAACTTAAGTGATGCACTAGGGCAGAGAGACAAGGAGAACAGAGATAACCTTGCTTTGTTCAATCATCAAAGGCAGTAAAAGGGAGATTTTCAAATATACAATAGTTAGATGTTCATGATAGGTGTATGGATGATTGGCATCTAATCCATCAGTTATGAACAATGAGTTCCCTGTATATACTGTATGGTTAATTTAAGAGTTACCTTTGTGTACATAAATAATATAGCAATGAAATATGTTGTCAATCTATATATATATATTTTTTTTTTGTTTACTTAGATTCAGATCTGGATCAGTTTGAACTTTTATGCCGCGATGGATCCACTGCTAGTCTGCAATCCTACAGAACGTGTAATTTGGGACAGGGCCCCAGTAAAGGGATTGTCACAAGATTGCACATGCAAAGAATCACTAAAAAATTTCTTACTCTGATTCAGGTGACATTTCCTTTTTCAAATAAAATAACAAATGTAATTTACAGTACACTGCAGTCAGAACTGAAAATTAAATCTACAGGAAACATTTTCCTTCTGTAGTTTTGAATCAAAGGGTCTTCAAATCCCTTTTTAAGATTTTATTATTGCTAGAGTCCCTGCTTGGGATATTTACCCTGTTTGTCACTGGGACAAAAAGTTATGGAAAATCTAATATGATACAGCTATGACTGCGACAAAAGGGGAGAGGTCAATCTTCTCACTTCTTGTAGCTGTAGGACAGGAAGTTAAAGGAGAACTATGAGGTGAGTGATTTTCAGTCATCCTCATAGTTAGAGCCGACCTGTGACATTGAAACTGTCACACTTCGACTCTAAAGATCGGGAAGTGAGCGAACACATAACATAGCTCGCTCACTTCCCGATCATCTCACTGCAGAGAGCGATGACTGACAGTCCCGCAGGGATTCCCCCCTCCCTCCGATCCTCCAGCGCTGACTGGAGGAACGGATGAGGGAGAGGGTGGGCACAGCTGGCTCTGTCTCTAGATAGGCCGAGCCCGCTGTCAATCAGCCAGCTGGGTACATCTCGACAGCATTGTCTGGATCCGTCCTGGCTGCGGTGCTCTCAATATATAACGGGCAATAGCCCGCTATATACTGAGCTTTGGGTCATGGGAGGACGTTAGTATATGCCCTTCCATGACCCTAAAGAGAACTATGGGATAAAAAGGTTACCCCATAGTTCTCTTTTAAGGGAAATCCCCCCAATGGGATACAGATGGCAAAACAGTCAGCAATGGATTGTTACCCGTCTCTACTTTTATCCAATGTTCCTTCAAATAATTAGACTAAATGCCTGCAAAAAACACCTTGTTTCTAGTAACCTGATATTCTAAGAATACATGTTGATAAAGTAATTGACTGTTTGGGGCTATTTTGATCCCATGTATGTGGTGTTCTTTGTGCCAGGAGGGTGAGAAGATGTGTTATCATACCAATGATATTTCCCAGGACCCTTTGCTCTTATCATCTCCCCTTATGTCTCCTCCATTCAACCCTTACCCTCTCAGTTCCCCTCTCCCATCTTTCCTAGCCCCTGCTGTTCTGCAGCACCCCTCTAGTACTCCTCCCACCCTTTCTGCTGTGACTTCAACTTGATGAACAAGCCCTAATTAGTTTTTGTGCGTATAAATGATCTTCTATGTAACCTCTACCCAACACATGGCAAAGCTTTTAAAGTATAATTAAAGTCTTGTTTTCTTTTGATATATCTACTGCTAGCAAGCAGTAGATATATGCAAAAACATTTAAAAAAGTTACCAAAAAGGTAATTACTTAGACGCTCATACGCTCGCTCCGTGTAAAGAGCTGGATAATTCTCTAGCGGCCGTGAAGCATGATGGGGCGGGTGCATGCACAGTAGAGATCTTTGGCCGCGAGAAGAGGAGAGACACAGTGTAAGTCAATGCAAGCATCGTGCACGCAGGATGCTCGTGCGGACAGACAACGTGGGAGACAGCAGTCAGCGCTGTATCAGAGACCGGCACCAGTGCTGGAGGGACTCCTGAAAACAGGGGGAAGGAAGAAGATGATTGGATCAAGAGGCATTATTTAGGGTAAGTCCTTAACTGGAACTGTGACCTTAATGTCACTTTAAGGTTAAAGAGGGGGAAATGTTTCCAGTGATGCACAGCCAAAGAAAAAAAGGTCTAGCTTCATGATTCATCTGGGAAATTAGCTAATGCCTCTCTAGGAAAAACAGACGACATGTGATAACACAGTGTTGCTTGTATTTCTGCCAACCACAGTTAATTTGACACATTTATAATGTCCTTCACATCTTCTTCATTATTCCTTGATTTTCAAGCTAGAACATATTTTATATTTCTTGTTAAATAAATACATTTTCTCTGCTCAGAATTTATTTGGAAAAAGCGGGAGACAAAAGAGCCGCTTTGCCCTCTTCTCTTCAGAGCCGTATGGGGGAAGGAATCTTCTGTTTCATGATTCTACACAGGAGATCCAGGTCCTGGCAGATGACTTGGAGATGCCTGGGATATTGGGATTGGATTATGTGTCTCTCTTAAAAAGCCTGGGTCATGAAGGTGAGGAACAACAACTAGCAGAGAGTGGACTAGTTTAGTCTCATGACAGATGTAGTCTCTGGCATAAGCTCTTATAACATTTTATTGATGATCAGAAATATTCTATGGTGTCAGGTTTGTAACATGCTCATTCTCACTCGTGTATTTACATTTCCCTTTTGGTTACCTAATGATTCTGGCCGATCCAAATTGGGTTGCCGACACCAAAAACGGCAAAAGTTGAAGTATGAAATTATTTAAAGGAGAACTATGAGATGAGTGATTTCCACTCACCTCATAGTTCTAGCCGACCTGTGACAATGAGACTGTCACAGGTCGGCTCAGTAGATCGGGAGGTGAGCGAACAGATACCGGCGTTCGCTCACCTCTCGATCCTGTCACAGCTCTCTGCTGTCACAGGGGAGGGGCTGGATTCCCCCCTCCCCACTCCGATCCGCCAGCGCTGACTGGCGGAACGGAAGGGGGAGGAGGCGGGTACAGCTGGCTCTGCCTCTAGATACGTCACTCACGCAGCTGGGCGGATCTCGACATCGATGTCGGGATCCGCTCCGGCTGCGGCGTCTCAGTATACCGCGAGCTGTAGCTCGCGGTATACTGAGCTTAGGGTAACGGGAGGATGCTAGTTTGTGTCCTCCCGTTACCCTAAGGAGAACTATGGGGAAAAGCCTTGACCCCATAGTTCTCCTTTTAATGAACCTTTTTAACACTGATTGGTATGTTTTAGTCTTCCTGTCTTTGTCATACAGTATGCTCAATTCAACTTTTTAATAGTGTTAACAGCTTGTTCCTTTCTTAATGTATAGCATCTGACCATAGAGAATATTTGAATTATCTCTTGTGACCATGAGAAATGATTTTATTCTCCATATGGGGAAGAGGAATAAACATACAGCGACAGTAGTATAAGAACCTCAACTGCTTTTTATGGGATGCTGTGCAATAATAAAATTCATCTTTATGGAGAAATCATAGACATAACTATATTAACTGATATCCCATAGCACAAAAAAAAATATGAAGATCTCCTTTCGGTTTTAAGTACAGTAAATACCACCATAAAATATAAAAGAGTAAATATAAACTATTTGCAAATTTGACTTCACTGCCCTTACCTCCAGATTTAACAAATGTTCTCCTGGACTATACCTTTTGTTTTTGTGTACATTATGGAACAAATGAAGAGACATGTTTATAAAGTAGTGAATGGGACTTTCACCATACATTCACTGGCGGTGAATCGATTACTGTCATTTAAAACACATGCACACGTCAGATGTATGGTCGACATGATGAATTCAAATACACATGTAATACTTTGCCTGCATATGAGCCAGAAAGCAAAAGTCACTCATGTGATGAGATAACATATCTATTTTTTAGGTATTTCATTGGATCACAGCATTATTCGTTGGTGCTGTATTAGTTCAGCTGAGATGAGAAAATGTGAAGAGTGGGCGCTGAGTGTGAGGGCAGATCCACTGGTCTGTGTCCAAGCCACTTCCTTAATTGGATGCATTGAAATGATCAAGGTAATACGGCTCATAGTGTTGGTGGGGATAATAGCCTATTTACTGCAACAGGGAAATCGTTAGCTTTGAAGATAATAGAGAGATTGGGTACACCTGAAATAGATCCATCATGATTCTTAAAGTGACACTAAACTCAGGAGTTAAACCCTCAAAAAGCATTCAAGCACCCTATTAACAAAAAATGTAGTTTACTTGTGCATCACTCGGCTGTTGATCCTCAAATCATCTCTGAACTAGTGGTGACACTGTCCTTCCTTCTGGAGGGTGGCTACGTTTGTTCCCCATGGTCCCTGTGCTTGTTGTAAAATAGCCACCACTCCAAGCTTGCTCCCATGATGGACTACAATCTCACGTTTAGTTTACTAATTTGTACTGAGACTGTAGTCCATCACGGGAGCAAGGTTGGAGCGGTGGCTCGTTTACAACACACATAGGAATACATTCCAGAAAGAAGTAGCCACCCTCCAGAAGGAAGGACAGGGTCAGTGCAAATTCAGAGGTGATTTGAGGATCTACAGCCGAGTGATACACCAATAAGATACATTTTTGTTATTGGTTAAGGTACTTGAATGCATTTTTAAGATGTAACTCCTGAGTTTAATGATACTTTAGCTTTATAAAGAGGAAGAGGGACAAAAAAATTATAATATTTTGTCAGACATATATACTGAATTTTATTGAATGAAGGACATTAGTGTCTCCTGGGTGTGTCTCCTGGGTGGTAAGGGGCTGGTATGTGCAGAAATATTTGGTTGAAAAATGTGTGTAAATGTAGTTCTGGTGCTTCTATCACATTGTTATGCAAGCACCATTCAGTATGTAATGTTATATTATGTATCAGAACAACATAGTCCACAATAGGTTGGAGAGCCCTGGTGCCCTGTAATCAGGCTGCATTCCATACAATTACACACCTGTACTGAGCTAAAAACTCTGACAGAATTCAAGCTCTTAAAAATGAATTGCTTGCAAACTGTCAAGAAATACCACATTTCCGCATGTCATAAAGGTGTTTACCCATACTTAAATGAACCAAGACAGACCAGGATTAGGAGCAGATCTTGGTAATTTGGTCAATGTGGAAATGTGTGACAATTCATGCCAAAAAGTTTGTACCATTTTCAGTTCCTCTTGTTGTTTGTTGGACTTCTTTGTGCCTTGTTGCCTCAATCTATTCCAGGCAGCCCTTTTCTGCTGCCATTCAGGAGCATACATGTCACCAGATGGAATACCTGACATATTACAAGGACCTAGTGGCTGCCTTCTTCTTATATATCAGTGCTGGAAATTTTCACTTACAAGTTTTTTCACAAGGGTGAAGAGTTTGGAGAAGGCAGGAGAAGTGAACAATCTAGGCCAAAATAGCTGATTTGGAAAGCTTCTCCAATTCAGCTTAATTTCCAGTGTAGCTATGTTGTCCTAGATTGTTCACTTCTCCTGCCTTCTCCAAACTCTTCACCCTTTTGTGAATAGACCTGTTAAGGTGCCCATACACCTTACAACCATCGCAAGACTTTTGTCTTGCGATGGTTGTAAGCTAATTACAGGCAGATCGTACTTGCGATCATCGAAAGCCCGCCCCCCTGAGGGGCGGGCTTTCCGATGACTGCAATGCTAAACGGGCAGTGTGCGCTTGCCCACACCGGCCCGTTCGGCATTTGTCTCCCGAGCATGCCACAAACCAGTCGACAATCGTACGATTCTCGGCGGGGTTTCAAACATGCTCGTTAGACAAAAGACGTGCGACCGTACAGTAGAAACGGTTGCACGCCTTCCATACACCTTGCGATTATCGTACGATAATCGCAAGGTGTATGGGCACCTTAAGTGTTGTTACCATTAATAGGCTGCTATGTATGTACCATGGTGTCCTGTGTTTTTTTCTCATCCTACTTTGGTGCTATTGTTATAGAGTAATGAGGCAGATGCTGTAACTTTAGATGCTACACGTGCTTACATTGCTGGAAAGTGTGGTCTTCAGCCAGCTGCGGTGGAATATTGGGGTGAGTGTAAAAAGTGTTCTAAGACATTTTATCAACTGGTCTTGAGTGCAAGTGACATATTGAAATATGAGGAAGGATTTACCAGAGGCTCCAACTTTACATTACATTAAAGCAAATGTAATATATTGGACACACAATTATGCTGCCTCATTCTGTACAGAGCTGCTTCCAGGGCTCTGCTGATACTAGGGCATGGACGTGGTCTTGCTAGTACTAGTTAGTGAGATGGCCGACATATGTCATGGAGGCAGTTCCACAAACACTTCCCTATTAAGGAACAGAGAGGGGCTAAGTGGCTCTCTAGTACTTTACATCCTGACAAATCATGTACTTATACCTACCCACTTTTAAAAAATAATGTAAAATTATAGCACAGCTTACACTGGAGCAAAAAGGGAGTACTTCTTTTGTCATGTTTAATTTTTTTAATCTGCAAACGTTTATAAGGAACAAGAGAGGCCAAAAACAGACACGTAATCTAGTGTTTGGGCAGCATAGTGGCAGCATAGTGGCTTAGTGGCTAGGACCTATATCCTTGCAGCATCAGACATGGTGCACAGAGAGCTGTCTGAGAGTTGGATATGTCTGAACGGACATCACACACATCTAACATTTTTGGCCATTGCAATATACTGTATATCCTAAGTAATGTGCATATGAATTAGAACTAAACTAGATTTAATTCACTAGTTGAAGTTATAATGGTGGCCCCTCTGTTGTGAGGTTTTTAGAATTAAGATGATTAATTCACCCTGCCTCCCGTACTGATGAAAACTGCTCCTTTTAATTTTTCCATTGTGCATATGGCCACTGTTAACATGTTAGATGGAAGAATTTGGTGTCAGTCAGCAGAATTCTGAGATAGTCAATGACAGTTGCCTAGTCAATAACAGTTGCACTTACCTAAATCTCCAACACCTTGATGTGTTAAGGTGGCCATACACTCTACAACCATCGCAAGACTTTAGTCTTGCGATGGTTGTAAAGGGATTAAAAAAACGTACGATCTGCCTATCTTGGACAGGCAGATCGCACTCTCGATCATCGCAAGCCCGCCCCCCTGAGGGGCGGGCTTCCGATGACCGCAATGCTGAACGGGCAGTGTGCGCGTGCGCACACCGGCCCGTTCAGCATTTATCTTCCGAGCACCGTTCTAACCAGCCGAGAATCGTACGATTCCCGGCTGGTTTTCGAACATGCTGGTTCGACAGAAGACGTGCGACCGTACAGTAGAAACGGTCGCACGTCTCCGTTCACACTGCTCGATTATCGTACGAAAAACCGATCGCATACGATTATCGTACGATAATCGTGCAGTGTATGGGCACCATTACCATGGTAGAAGACAAACAGCATGGAAGCATGCAGGACCAGAGTAGACATTAAACTTGATATTTTTAAACGCAGTAAACCTTAGTTATTGGAAGAACCAAAAACATCATCTGCCTTACTTTTTTTCTTCATGCGTTTTATTTACAACTTAAGTACAGTTGCCCTTAATGAGTTATATGTTCTTCTAAATGTATGATTGGCCTTTGATAAGACACTCTTAATACAAAGATGTCAGACTGGTCACTATAAAAGATATTTCAACCCTTGTTTTACTGTATTCTCATAGGGGAGGGCTCTGATTGTCTCACGGATCCTCTTGAGCTGCTTCATCGTATCTCAGAGAAAGGTAAAATATAACAATACATAAACAGCACCATTGCATTTATTTAATTAGATTATGAAAATGTCATTGATGTGCAGTAATCATAGTAATAAATTACTATTTTCAAGTGTAAAGTGTACATGAACATGAAACCCACATTTTTTAGAGTGCATGTGGCACCCTGGGAAGATTTCCTCTCATCTCCTGTTTTAGAGACACAATAGGAAGTGAGAGAAAATCTTTCCAATTTTAGGGAAATTTCACTTTTAGAGAGTTATCTTTGCAACAGGTGTTGGAAGATTTGCCCTCACCTTTTGTTTTGGTGACAGTTTTTTTTTTTACAAAATGTTGTAATTCCTCTTTTTCTATCTTGGTGACAGTCCTCTCCAGGACAAAGAGAGAGGGTGATTTCTCACAGTGGAGACCCAGACAGCAAAACAAAACTTGACAGGGTATATACTCTTTTTGCACGCATGTGGTAGTTTCGTTATCAACTCTACTGCTGCTCCCGGTGACATGCACCCCTGAATATGCCTCTGCGGTATTCATGATGAAGGAACATGGCCCCGTTACAGGAGAATCTTTTTGCAAGAAAAGGTTGTTTGGTATGCAAGGCAATTGCCCTTACATGGACGCAATCTTCCATGCCCAATCTTGCTCAGTGAGTATCCATGGGATATCAAATTATTCCATATAAAAAGATTATCTAGGATAAGAATTGCCCTTTAAGATTTGGAATGTATGGTGCCAATCTCCTCTCACCATCAATCAGCCTAACACATTTTGATGCATGTGTTTCATTTGTTTCGCTCATCATCAGTTGTGTCACACTTTGGCATACCCACTCTGATGTGCATAATGTAGACAGGAGACAAACAAGACTATGGTTCAATTGTTGAGATTGTTGTAATTTATTAAGGTTTATTGATACACTTTCACCCTGTTGGTGTGCTATGTCATATTCGCTTATGCAATAATCCTATATATTGGTTATGTGTTCATTAAACAGCGTTTAAAAAAAACAAAAAAAAACTGTTCCATTTTAGCCATACATATGCTGCCCAACTAATTTTAGACTGGGTGCTATAAACTACTGGACACCATTGGACTTTGTTATCCAAAACATGTAATACCCTATGAATGCTAATCACATTTCCATATTATTTAAATTGTAATTGAGTTTTTACTTTCAGAATTGCACGTCTAACTAAACATTCCTTTTAACTGGTTATAATAAAATAAGGTAAAGTTGTAATATTTCTCAGTTTGCCTAATTCTTCACACCAGTATATCATAAAATTTTTTCTTAGGTTTTCCTTCTCTCTATGCACTGGCTGTCACCAAAAAGAGTATGAAAGCTGTGACTCTCGTTGACCTGACTGGGCGACGCTCCTGCCATGGTAGCATGTATAGCCCTGCAGGATGGCTCCTGCTCTCCAAATACACAGTCCGAGCACCATCAAACAAGACTTGGGACTGTGACATTAACACAGGTAAGGAAACAGAAAAATTAAACACCAAAGATTAAATCATATAATACACGAAAATACTATAATAATATTGTATCTGTGGTAACCTGTGTCTTTCTGATTTAGTTTAGATAGCATTTTCTTAAAATCACCTTTCGACTTTATTCAGACACGTGTGCAGAGCCGTCCACCACCCTAGATCAGTGTATTTCTGCAGTGAATACAGCCCAGTGTTTATGTTCAGCTGCTACAGACAGGAAGCTTGTACAAATCAATGGCAGAGTGTCATTGTCCACGGCTGTTTGTATGTAATTGCTCAAAGAGAAATTACATGTGCTAAAGGATAGATGAGCAGCTCTGTACACAGACTGTTTGCGTCAAGAGCTACTCACCTGTTCCTACCTGCAAGTAATAACTTTATTTGATTACATACAAACCAATGCGGACCCATTTAGGCCTCATTCACACGAGAGAAAGGCCGGCATGTACAGCTCCTTGCTGAGTGCACAGCTGTATCGGTCAGCTCCCGGGAAGGACAGGTGCTGCGTTTGATTAGTACGCAGCCCCTGTCCTTCTCTATGGGAGTATGCCGCCCTACGCTCACCCGCCCTGCACGTCTGTGCGGGTTCAGGTGTCCGTACTCATGAGCTGACAGGATGGATCCTGTCTGCGTCCGAGCCGGGACACCCGTACGGACCTGCGCTTGAGGTGAGCGTAGGGCAGCGTAGGCCACGTATTCCCATAGAGAAGGACAGGGGCTGCGTACGAATCACACACAGCACCTGTCCTTCCCGGGAGCTGACCAATACGACCGCGCACGCAGCACGGAGCTGTACGTGTCGGCCTTTTCTCGTGTGAATGAGGCCTAAACGTGTTATTCATTTGTGCGGTCTGAGCGGCCTCAGCTGAACATATACACAGGACCCTACCTGTCACAGAAATACGCTGATCTGGACAGGGTATGGCCCTGCACCTCCATGTGAATAAGCACTTAGACATATTGCATATTGCCTAATTCCTGAAATACACACACACACACACACATTTTGTTTATATACCTGCTCCTGACAGTTGATCCATCAGATCTATAAAACTCATTGCATTTTGGATGATCTCTTGAGAAATAGACTTACCTGTGTTAACAAAGCATAGGGTACTATGTAAAAATTGTCAATCCAACAGGTCATAAGCCTTTTTAAAAAATTGTTTGTATGATAGGTTATATGACTTTGCTAGTTAAAATTATTTAGCTGTCCCTTTGGCTTTGCTGTCCTCCTTCAGCTTATGAGAACTATTTCTGGAAGGGGTGCATGCCTGGAGCAGATGTTGGCCTCTGTAAGGTCTGTGTTGGCTGGGAGGAGGGTGGCAGAGTCAATGGGAGGTGTGCAGCCAATCACGACGAGCGTTATTATGGAAACATGGGTGCACTCAGGTGAGTGAATGAAAGAAAAGCCATACCTGAAAAATAATAGTCTGATGTGCCTAAAGCCCAACTCTGGTCAAATGTTTTAGTTTTAGATAGAGCGTGAAACTTTAGAACTTCTGTCAGGTGTTAAATGTCAGGGTTCCCATTGAGAATTTTCTGTTAGATTTTAAATGCTGTATAAGTCCACATAGAACACATTTCTTCTCATTGTTTCTAATCTGCCCTCGGCATATATCCATACAATGAGCAGAATTTTCACAAGCAAGGACACAGGCAGAAAATAAATGTTGTCATAGATTACATAGATTTGAATACTTATCTGCTCCTCTTAAAACTAAAGAAAACATTTTGGCTAGAGTTGGGCTTTATCTGTTTTGAATATTTTTTTTTTTGGCTTACTGATAAAATGTGTAAATATGTAAAATGCATTCTTATATAATAATCAGATTCAATTACAGCAACTATTGCCTGTTGCAACCCTCAGAAATGAACCAGATATGTCAATATCCACATACTGCTAGGTCAGTACTTACAGAACCTAATTGCTTGATCAAGAGCAACCAATGGTCATACAAAGCCCTGAGGTTGACTAAAACTGGATGTACATGGGGACAATTTTCCACACAACAAATTGCAGTGCCTTTCACCTGACAACAGTATAGTCTATATGGGGATGATTTATAAATCATCCAGCCAACCATACACTGGCCGAATGCCCCTCGCATGGAATTCTTACCACTAGATGGAGCTGAGGAGCATAGGAATTAATACATCATCCCCTGAGTGTTTATAACTTCAGCTACACAGGCAGTCCCCAGGTTACGAACAAGATAGGGACTGTAGGTTTGTTCTTAAGTTGAATTTATATGTAAGTTGGAACAGGTACATTTTTTAGGTGTAACTCCAGCCAAAAAAAAAAAATGTTTTAGTTTTGGATAACATAGGGAAGGGTTACGTTTTGTTTTGCTGTCTGTGCCCCTGTTCAGAACCAGCACTTGTATCAGATATGTTTTTCGGCATTGTTACAGGCAAACAAGTAGACAAGGAAGACAAATAAAAGTGTTCAGTACACTGTACAGTACATACAGGGTTACGACAGGGGTAATGACAGTCAGAGCCAACTTCCTGTTCAGCACCAGACCCGGAAGAGGCAGGTAGAGGCACTCACTAACAACTTCCTGCAGGAGGTACAGTACTGTACAGTATTAAAATCCAGACCTACTACTCGTCTGCGATCGTCGGCACGAGCACCGTTACTAGTGGAACGCTGCGTGGTGGAACGCTGCGCGGTACAGTGGCTGCAGTCTCAGACCTCGGTTCGTAAGTACAGGTTGTATGTAAGTCGAGCCTTCATAAGTTGGGTCTGCCTGTAATCAATTTATAACTGACCTAAATGCAAACAAAATATATACACTAACCCTTATTTACTATAGGAATTAAGCATATTCACTTTGCAAAGTGAATTTTCAATTCAAAACCTAATTTTCTCTAAGCTGAATTTGGCGAAAATATCTTTGCAAAGAATACCCAATCACGTGCAAGGAAAAAAACACATTTTTGCTTGCACATGATTGAATGATTGAAGTCAGCACAGTTTAGTTTACTTTCACAATGCTAAGTGAAAATTCCCTTGCAAAGCCAACATGCTCTACTTCTTCAGGGTCACTATGATATTTGACATGTTATAAAAGCCTAAGTGGCACTTTCTCTTAAGGTCCCCATAAACTGTGCGAATTTCAGCCGGTTCTCAGCTGATCGAATGAGCTGGCTGGAAAATCTTCGTACAACCAGAGCCGGCAGCCAATGAGCTGCTGGCTCTGTTCAGATATTCTGACAGCGCAATGCAAACAGCGGGATTCCTCAATTGACACACTTATAGAGGGGAATGTATCAAAACTGGAGCAGACAGAATGTGGAGCAGTTGCCCTTGGCAACCAATCAGCTTCTCTCTTCACTTTGTTCAATTAATATTTGAAAATAAAGAGAGAAGCTGATTGGTTGCCATGGACATCTGCTCCAGATTCTGTCTCCAGTTTTAATAAATTCCCTTCATAGTGTTGATGGAGGTATCTGCTCTATTTTTTTGTTCAGCCTGTGGGTTGAACGAGAAAAATAGAACAGTGTATGGCCAGCCTTACTCTGGGAATCTGCTTCCAGTAGCCAGACCATGCTCTAGCAGTGAGATCCCAACTCCAGCACACAGATTTGTCTTTCCTGTGTCCTGCATCAGCACTCACATATACAGTATATAATACTTCCACTATTCCTCAGATGCTACCTAATATATATATTGAAAAACAATGGAACAAGTGATTCTTCAACCATAAGTATGTGTAATTCTGTTTTTGACTATTCAAGAAAAGTCCAGTGTCTGGCAAAACAAATGAAATGTATGAGCAATGCCGTCAATGCCATGACATGTTTTATTTACTTTGGTGATGTGCATTTTTTTTTTTGCAACTACTTAAACATTGTTTTTCCATTACTGATGGTAGGTAGGACCATACTGTCATTTTACTCCACATTTTGTACATCTCCATAGCTGCCTGGTGTTCCACAGGGCTTAAATTGATTTTGTATCTGTTACATGGCTCTGTAACCTTTCTGCATTTCAACAGGCTATAAAAGCAGAAATGCTGTGCAACATTTTATGAAGTATGCTGCACATTTCAAGAAGTCTCTGGGAAACTTGCTGGACTGCAAGGTCAGCAGCAAGCTACAAATGTCGGTTTTTGAAATACTGCTATATGTAAAAAAATGTTATGCATTTTTCCATTGTATTAACCTGATGGTGCTTTTAGGTGTTTAGTCGGAGACCCAAGTGGCCGGATCTATGGGGATGTTGCATTTTTGGAGCACCACTCACTCCTAAATAACATAGCAAGTAAGAAGTTCCATCTCCATCTTTATAATATTTCGCCAGCAGAATCTCGAATATTAAACCATGAACATTGTAAACCTTTATCCCTGATTTTCAATCTTTCTGCCCTTTATTAATGCTAAGAGAACATAATGCAGCAAATGTTTTGCTATAGATCTGGAATCTTCTGGTTGGGCATATGGCTATAGTGCGTCAGACTTTGACCTGTTGTGTCCTAATGGTGAAAGAGTCCCACTGACAAAATGGAAGATCTGTAATCTAGGTGTGATCCCACCCAGTGTAGTGATGACACGTCCTGTAATTACTGCAAGGATCCAAGACTTTCTCATGAAATCCCAGGTATGAAACCTTCCTCACTAGGAATTTATACTATAGAGAGGAATTGGGTATAATTTGCCTAATAATGTGGAATTATTTGTGCATAACCCAACATGGAGCCTATGAATGAGGTCTAAGGTGTAGATACAGACTACTCCTCTTGTAGAAGGTAATAATAGACACAGGTCACATATAATTTTCTTATCCTATGTAAGGCCCCTTTTACACAAGCACCTTCAGTTCCAATCAGCAGGGCATATGTGCATGGATCCCCTGCTGATTGGAGCAGTTCAGAACAGATGTCACCATTCTGTCATCCGTGTCCATGTTAGATCTATGGGGAGTGCAATGAAAATGGATGTGTGTCCATTTACATCAGATTCAGTGGCGTCACAAGGGGGGGTGCGGTCCGCACCCAGGTAACACCACTGGGTGACACCAAAATGACTGACAGTCATTTTGGTGTTACCCACTCTGAAAAGTCGACCACTCGGTCATGGACCGAGAGCCCGACAGTTTCAGGAGAGAGTAGGGGACCCGGCGGCATACCTTATCCTGCCGTATGAACATCCCCCCCTCCTTGTCGGCGTCCATCACCAAGATGGCCACCGGGAGGTATCAATAAGATGGCCGCACATGCGCGATTACTTAATCACGCATGCTCGTGACGATATCACGCGCATGCGATGACGTCACAGCGGGGTGTCATCCGGTATCCACGCCTGGGGACACCCGGCCTCGGGACGCCCCTGATCAGATTACCCCTCATCCACCGCAGTCAAGTCTGCCAAAATTAAACTCTGTTGCGTTTGGTTTCCCAGACCTGGCCGGAGTAGGTGTTCATTGGATGTAAACGGATGCATGTCCGTTTAGATTCAGCTGCCCATAGACTAAAGGTGCCCATACACCCTACGACCATCACAAGACTTTTGTTTTGCGATGGTCTTAAGCTTATTAAAAGCTCGTACGGGTTCTCGGCGGGTTTTCAAGCCTGCTTGTTCGACGGAAGACGTGCAACCGTACAGTAGAAACGGTCGCACGCCTTCCATACACTGTACGATTATCGTACGATCGCGGGATTTCACACTATTCTCGTACGAGAATCGTGCAGTGTATGGGCACCTTTAGGATTTTCTTGTAACTAGTAAAGTTTTAGCCTTTGGTATGAATGCTAGTGTGTTTCTTGCAAATGCATACCTCTGCTGTACGTCTGAGCAAAAGGACATTGGGGTTAATTCACTAGTAGAGGCTATTTACTTTGCGAATGTTTACTATGAAAAGTGGATAATAGCAAATAAGGTGAATGTGTTCACGTTGAGTACCTAGTCATGTTTGAGGGGAAAAAAACTGGATTTTTGCTAACATGATTGCTTGATTGACGTGGACACAGCACGACATTTACTAGCAAAAAATAAATACATTCATTGGTAATGACAGTTGGTGGAAGAATAAATTGTAAACACTTAGCATAAACCTATAGGCAAGGGTTAAATAATATGCATGAAGTTACAGATATAATAGAAAACTTGAGCTTGGTACCATACCATATGCACAAATTGTGACAGATATATGGCATCTGCAGTTGGTGGGGGGCCTTTTAATAGAGCAATTCTAATAAAATGTATAGGTATCCTTTATGCTGGTTAACACACTAATAGAAACTCATTTAGGAAAAATAATAAAAAGAAAAAAAAAGAAATGTGACAAACAGTTTTAACTAAAGGCATTGCTCCAAAGGGTTTGTAGGTGTATTTTACTTGCTGCCAGGCATTTGCCCATATCAACCCACAGTTCAGGAAATGATTGTACAGAAAAATATGGAGTTACACTTTAAAAGTAGAATAGCATAGAGTAGCAACGTATGAATTATACTTGCCTGGTTGTCACGTATGATTCGTAACAGGTGATATGGATTAACAATTGAGTGTCAGTAGTGGAGAAGTAGGCATATTCCAAAATCATGGTATAGTGCACATATATTTTACATATTTTGTGCCCTTTTTTCTAGGAATTCCTCAATAAAGATGAAGACTCTACCTTCCAACTCTTTAAGACAATGACAGCTAATGAAGAGGGTGATCTGCTTTTTAAAGACTCAACTTCTTGTCTTCTGCCAGTTGGTCACTATACACTTCAGGATATACTTGGAGAAAGTTTCATGCAGCTTGCTGACTCTGTGTTTGACTGCACAGAAGCAGGTACTCAATTTTATGGTAGTCACATTGGGGTTGATTTGCTAAAGGACATAGAGACTGTTCACTAAACAAAGTGAATGCTTGCTTTGGAAAGCATACTGTATGTTCATTTTGCTTAGTGAATGCAGTGAATCCATGTTTACGCTAATCATCCAGTTACATGCAAGCGAAAAATCTTTTTTTTTTTTATAATGCAGCTCACAGAGGGACACAGGAATTCATAGACTGTTGGGTTATACTGCTGCCTACAGGAGGATTTGGACACTGGCAAACAAAAAAATGGCGCCAGCCTGGTATAACCCCTCCTACTCCCAAAATGCTTTTGTTTTGTGGAAAAGCATTACCAAGAGCATGAGAAGAACACTATCGCAAGAGCCAAAGTCTGTCCCTTGATGGTACCAAATGCTGATCCAGGCCCATTTGTGGGAAAGCCAGCATTCATACCATCTCTTGCCTCACACGAAGTGAAGTATGCTTTCCATGTGTCACGTTAGACCTTCTGGGGAGTGTACTTCCCAGCCTTTAGCATCATGGGAATAACTGAAACACAGATGCCCCTGAATGATAAACTGGTCCCTGGAACAGATGCCCCAGAATGATAAACTGGTCCCTGGTAAAGAATATCCAGACAATCTGGAGGAGCCCATGGAGGGTCTGCCAGGAGCATGATCAGGTCAGAGTACCACATCCCCCTGGGCCAATGTTATGAAGACCACTAGGATGCCCTCTATTTTGATCCTGTGAAGCAGGTGAGGAAGGGGTTTCAGGTGAGGAAAGGTATAGATCATACTATACTGATCCCAGTGAGCCACCAAAGCATTCACTGCTGCCGACAGATGATCCCTGTACTTGGATAAAAATCTGTTCAATTTGTTGTTGAACCTTGAGGACAGGAGGTGCACATTGAGTGTTCTCTACCTGTGACACAGGGCCTGGAAAGCCTCCAGGTGAAGGGACCATTCTCCCAGGTCCAGACACTGCCAATTGAGACGGTCTTTCTGCCAGCTGTTCACACCTGGGAAATGAAAGCAGACAAGGCTGGAAAATGTAATTCTGCTCAGGACAGAATCTTGTATGCCGCTCTTGTTGTGACAAGACTTCTGGTTCCTCCCTGGTGGATGATGTACGCCACTGCTGTGGCATTGTCCGACTGAATATTGATTGGATGACTCTCCAGTCAGTATGTCCCGTGTTACAAAAACAGCCATACTGTATCAGCCGCAGTTCTAGAGTGTTGATTGGGAGATGAAATTTCTCCAACTAAGTTCCCTGCACCAACACGGTGTTCAGGTCACCTCACCATTCCAATAGGCTAGCACCTATATTGAGGATCTTCCAAGAGTTTGGAAGAAAGAACTACTCTAACCCCAGAGCAGGAATCCTGAGCCACCAGGTCACAGAAAACCTGGTATTTGGTGCCAGGCGGATTGGTCTGTTCAAGGACTGTACTGATTTGTCCTACAAAAACAGAATGTTTTGCTGAAGGGGGTAGGGAGTGGAATTGGGCAAATTGGACTGGCAAACATAAGCCCCAGAACTCTCTGGGACATGGAGTCTGAAGAGTCCAAGCCTGGGAATAGAGAGTTTGAAGTTTCTTCTGCGGAAGGAAAACCCTTGCGTGAGCAGTGCCAAGAACAATGCCCAGATACTCCAAGCAATGAGTTGGTTCCATCACTGACTTCTGAAGGTTCGGGACCCAGCGGAACCTCTTTAAGGTCTGGACAGTTTAGGTTACATTGTTACTCAGAACCTGTGCCAGTTGCTCCCTTAGCAGGAGGTCATCTAGAAGATTGACAACAGTGGAGATTCCGTGAGAGCGTAGCAAGGCTAGCACAGGGGTCAGAGGATAGGTAGGAAGGGAAAGCATTCATATAAAAACTTAAATACCCCACATTTCCGTCAGGGAACACTTTAAAAGCTTTTACCGCTCATCAATTTAGTGCTAACAGTGATCAATGGCTCTAGAATGATTGCCTGCACTCTGACATTCGCAGCGATATGTAACACGTGTAGCCCAATTTTCGTTTTTGCACGTAGGTGCACTGACACGTGTTTGCGTATGTATGTGGACTTTAAAAACATTTTTCTTGCAATTTTTAAATTTACTTCACTTTACTTTAATTTTTTTTAAACACTTTTTTTTTACACTAACCTTATTGCTATCACAGGGGGATAATAAGCCCCCTATGTAATAGCAGATAGGGTGTGACAGGTCCTCTTTATGGAGACATTAGAGGTCTTTCAGACCCCTAATATCACCTAGGGACGCCAAAGAAGCGGAGGAAGCAGAGATCTGCTTCCCCAGGTTCATCTCCTGTCTCTAAGAGCTGGATAATGTAAATAGTGACACCGGAAGTGATGTAATACACATCACTTCCGGGCCCAGTGATTAGAGGAGAGATCAGCAGCTGGAAGACGCTAAATCTCTCTCCGATCATCGAGGGGAGACCCACCGTGCCGGTCCCAGGCCCCGCATGGGGGAGAGCGGTTCCCCGGGGAAGCCAGTGGCGGCGGAGGGAGCAGCACATGCTGGCGATCTGTACAAACGATACTGTGGCTGTATAGACGCCAGATCGCTTGTACATTAACAGCCATCGCTGGCTGTTTAAAATGACACCAAGAACAAGGCTGCAGCTGCAGCCGTGTTCTTGGTTTAACCACTTCTGCGGGCTGCTGTATACGTATTGTGGCACAGAAGTGGTTAACAAGGTAATTCCTGATGCTTGGCCCACCCAGCCTACTCACAAAGCGACTCAGCAAGTTTCACATACGCCCAATGCAGAATCCGATGCTCTAAGGTCACATTCCAGGCTAGTCCCGCAATCATCCATTCCAGCAAGGTCTGGGTATAGCCTCCAAAGATATTGCTGAGGATACGCCAATCAGGGTAGCTGCATATAAAGACCAGCTCAGGCAGCTTGTAGGGAATTCTAACTGAAGAAGAAAATCATCTTGATTAAAGAAAAGAGGGGTGGAATTTTCTCAGCAGAGCAGAGGAAAGGTGTCCATCCTCCTAGGACACTAGAAAATACAAAGGCACGCTAGGAGTAGGAGGACTTTTACCGTACTGGCACTGTTTTCTTATTCGCCAATGTCCAAATCCAAAAAAGAAAGTTTTTATTTTGAATTCTGTTTATCTCAAACATGATTGGGTATTCAAAGGCAAAATAGCTTATTATTCATGAACCTGAAAAGTGGGTAGTCACTCTTTAAAGTTTCTATTACTCTTTAGTAAATCAACCGCATGGTCTTTAGATTTGTCTTTTGAGTATTACTTTTGCTATTTATTACTTCTGCAATTTAGCTCAGTTTTTTAAAGGAACAGTACCATGTTTTGTATCAGAAGACTAACAGTAATTTATTTCATGCTGTAATGAATTTGCTAACATTGCAAACAGCAATCCAACCAAATAACATTCAGCGATGTACTGTAGTCAGATCCATAAAAGAAAATTATAATATTGATTCATCTGTGAAAAGAGGCATCAGTAATAAAGATTCTAATGTCAACTGCTCATAGAGAGGTCAAAGGTGTCTAATACAATATTTTTCTGTTGCTTTACCATATATTCTAACCACTCATAATTCATGTTTTCAGGTATCTTGGATTTCTGTAATTCAGACATTTGTGCAGACACCAGGAGTTAGTAGCTGAAATAATTTGGTTTGTAAACTGTCATGTCAAAATGAAAAGTAATCATTTTTGCATCACGAGTTGTAAGTAAAATGAAAGGTTGATAATTACAAAAACTTCTTAATATAAAACGGAATAAAATCAAAATACATGTAAGACATCACATATACATGAGATTGTATTTGCTTGTGAGATAAATGTATTATAAGATGTATGTATATCCCTTGCAGACATTTGTCTGAGCTAAAATCAATGTACTAACAAATGGTAATTTTCAGCAAGGGGTTAAATTTCATGTCTGGCAGACTAGCAATATGGATAGTGCCATCATTGACTAGGCATGAACTTACTATCCTTGTTTGTGCTTGTTCACTTTATTTTTGGCTGCCTGTGTCCTGCAGGTCAGATTTCCTTCCACTTCCTGTTTTGGAGATGCAACAGGAAATAAAATGGTAACCCCACCAAAGGGAATTCCCATTTTAGTCAACTATCACCAGTTCAACGATCACTATTCAATGATTTCCCCTCACCGCTTGTTCTGGTGACAACTCAAAAATTCTGAACACACTTTAATTACAGTACTTAGCGCATTTCCAACCCGGGACTCATGGCTTGCATAATTGCTATGTGGTCAGGGACTCCAAAATATATGGACATGAACCTTTTTTAGTAATGCAGCACAGCATGTTAACATGCGTTTTGGTGGGCTGCAGTGCAAGTGCATTGGGGTGACATTCAGAATGTATGGCATTGCAGTGGACCAATGCACATAAAATGCATTGCCATGCATTACTGCAACACAAAAGTTGAATCCAGTCCAGGCCACATTCTTATTTCTTGTGCATTTACAACCAGTAACACATTGATGGAAAATTGCTGAAAACTGCAAAGAAAATGTAGCCAGTGGTTTTTTGTTGTAATGTCCAGTCACAGGGTAGGAAGAGGATGTGAAAGTGAAACACCGGAAGAGAAGATCAGGTCTCCCTCTTTTTTTCTCATCGAGCAGACTAAACATTTCCAGGAGAAATTTTTTTTTTTTCCGACAGGGTTAAAAGTAAACCTGCCGCTCCGTGTGCACAGTGAGAGGGGATAGCAGTCTTCCCCTCTCACCTGTCACAGAAGTTCCAGCACAGTGCTGTGCTAGAACTCCTCTATTGGAGGTGACAGGGTCTATAAAGAGAACGTCTCACCTCCTATTGCTATTACACAGGGGCTTGTTACCTCTGTGTGATAGCAATGAAGTTAAGTGGAAAAAAAAATAGATACAATTATTAAAGAAATAAAAATAAAAGAATTAAAAAAATAAAAAAGCGATTAAAAATAAACAAATTATTAAAAAATAAGAAAATTATAAAAAATAAACAATAATAAGGTGAGAGTCCTCCTCATCCCTCTCCTAGCGCAGCAGTGTCAGTTCTCCCGCCACGCCGCCAGATGTCGCATCATCCCTAAATTTTACCGTTGGGGTTCACCACAACTTGGCACATGTTACCAAGGGGTCCCGGGCCCTAGAAAGGTTGAGAACCACTGATATACAGTATGTATTCCATGTGTATTTAGCCGTTTGCCCGGAGTTCAGCTTTCCACTACATCCGGCACTCTTAGCAATATATGATTACGATCTGGTACTCCAGTAGAAACTGCAAGGTTTTTATTGCCACCTGTGTCCCTACTGGCAAAATTTCCCAGAAAGTTATGAAAAATCTCCACTAGGAACAAAAGGTGTGGGAAAAGGTAAGGACATCTAAAATTTTTAATAATTTTCTGTGCCTTACTGCCCTGGTGACAAACACATTCCCTCATTTCTTGTATGGTATAGAAGCACAGACAGAAAAGTAAAATTAGAATGTTGCATATAGTGTGGTAAAGCCCAACACCCTTTTACATTTGAGGCCTTTAAATCCATGTGTGCAAGGACTAAGCAGATAAGGATACTGGGGCCTATGCTAAAATACATGGGTGTCTTTCATCTGTTGTTACCATTCAACTTTTTGGCACGAAAGTGAACACTCCTAAGGTGATTCCCAAAAAGGTACTAAACCACTAAGTAGTAAAAGTATAACGTTAGCAATGTAACTTCTATATTTCTGTCCTGACATGGACCTGCGAGCTCTAATTGTCCATTCCTGAAAGGAACACTTTTCCTAGTTTTATTGTATTGCAGTTGTTTTGTAAGAATGCTACAGAATTGTATTGTTGGTTCTTACCTTGCACACTGTGAAACTGAACCATTAATGAGGTTATATGACTGTATTATACCCCTCAGCCACTTCATTGCTAATAAAAAAAAAACTGTCACATGGCAGCTGGCAAACACGGTTATAACTTTATACGTTTTAAATAAATTATACTATTCTAATTAAATTCAGCTTGTTGACTTATGTAATCATGTATTTCCTGTAAAGGCATATTCATGTTCCGGAGAATTGTTATACCAACAGCTGGTAAATGGAAAAAGCATGTTGATAAATGTGGCAGACTGCTGAAGTTAAGGGGAGGCATGTAATGTTTCTGTTGTCTGCAATGGAAGTACATGAAATTTAGACTCTCAGGTATCAAACAGAAGACAACACAGTCCGTGCACACAGTTAAGTTCCGTGTCAACTGGCTTTGGGCTTTTGTCAATGGCATCAGTTTGAGATGTTTCGGAGATCATTCAAAATTAATTGACCAGTGGATTTAACTCACAGTTGCCCTGCTTCAAACAGGGTTTACATTCCCATAGGCTTGTGTGGCTACTTTTCTTCCCCATGGTCCCCGTGTGTCTTGTAAAGTAGCCACTGCTCCAAGCTCGCTCCTGTGATGGACTACAATCTCACTACAAATTAGTAAACTAAACATAAGATTGTAGTCTATCACAGGAGTGAGCTTGGAGAGGTGACTACTCTACAACACACAGGGATCAGGGGGAACAAAAAGTAGCCACCCTCCTGAAGGAAGGACAGTGTCACCACCAATTCAGAGATGATTTGAGGATCTACAGCTGAGCGATACATAAGATACATTTTAGTGAATAGTTAAAAAGGTACTTGAATGTATTTTTTAAAATTTTACTCCTGAGTTTACTGTCACTTGAAGGATTTACTAAACCAACGTATGCATATTGCCTCTGCTCCTTAGACAGAACCTAGACATTCCCAGAACCCATTTTAAATTATAGTACAGAGTCCTTCTTACATGCACCTCCAACACTGGAACTCACTTCCCACTTCTTTCTTTAAGGCTTTGCCCCTAGACATTAATAGGTTATTAAATCTATGCATCAAATAATACAAAGCAATGTACAATGAGGGTACTTTGTGTAACGTTGGTCCTTTTTATTTACTATATTATTATCTACTGCTTTCCTAATTTAGATCGGTCCCGGCCTTACAGGAACCTACATTCTGATGTCCCTACTATATCAAATACACACACAGGATGGTGAGCACCTGGTGCACACCAATACAAATCTAAGATGAATTACAGATTCCATTGGTGTCATTGGTGGGAGCAGAAAAAGAATCTTAGTGATGCAAGGGAAGAATTTTAAACCCTTGGCCACCATGGCGTCTTATGCTTATAGCACTACCTGAGACATTTAAAAATCTTGCCCAGTCTGAACTTTACACAGCCTGTAGAATTTGTTTTGCGGAATGCATATCATTTGAACATACAACCATATTGTGGGGAATGGTAGGGATTAATAAAAAGTGTCAGAGACAAATTCTATTAACTGGTGCTTTTGCCCGTAGCAAACTACCAGCGTCTAACAGCTTTGAAAAACAGATTGGCTGCCCTCCAGTTGAGAAAGTTTGTCTCAGACACTTTTTAATTCCGTCCATTGTACAGATACTATTTTTGTGAATCCTCAAACTATTTTATAAAAAAAAAAATGACTGACAGGCCCACGAACAGAATTTTCTCAAATGCAGCGTAAAAGTGAGTCGGCTTTAGTTTCGAAGGCTGTTCATGGGCCCAATATACTGTTGCAACTTTTAAAAGTCTACTACAGAAAAGAAATACCTACATCATGTACCAAGAGTCCCAGGACGTTGTTACTATAGGTCACAGCCTACACTAGATTTATAAAGTCTTCCAAAACCACAATGGCAACACAAAATGTCTTGATGACAACATAGCACTAAAAATGACATGTAGCAAAGCCCCTTCAGTAAAAGTTCCACTGACACACAGAAACCCTTTGAAGTCAACTGTAAGAGAATGCACCTCTGAGGCATGAGACACAAGATAATTGTAGAATAAATGTCAATCACGTGAGTAAGAGCAGCTTTCATTTATTTAAGATTGATAACTTAACATAACAAAAACACACAAAACAGACTTATCTCAAATTCACAGAAAGTGCAGTGTATGGGAGTACGTGCCAGAAGCGCACACTGCTTATCACTACCACGCAGAGGGGAAAAGAAGAGCTTTCAACCCTCACAAGAGCAGCCAGCAAAGAAGCACTTAGAAACGTGGCCACTATTAAAAGAAGTGCAGTGGGTAGAAAAGAAAAGAATATTGCGCAAATATACACAAAGAGCCAGCACCGAGCACTGCATGGGGACGATCGCATCAAAGCTGTGTGCTGTTTAGGCTTAGCCAGTGCTGGCAAAAAAAAGCACAAAAGAAATTGAAATACAAAAATAGGAAATACAATATATGCAACACCCCCCAGCCAAAAGCAATCAGCTGGCATGAGTTTGATTCAATAAAGTCGTTTAAAGTGTTAAGCATTAAAAGCAGAACAGCGCTACGGCAAAATTGTGGCCAGAAGCAATCAGAATGTTTTCATTATATTGCTGCCTTACTTTAAATCCAGAGTAGTGAATTTAGGATTCTGGTCATTTTTGCAGGCTATGCGAAGGCTAAAATCCTAATGCACAGAAATGTGCTCCAGTTTTATAAATGGAAAATTGAAACGGTCACTCCACCCAGCACGGATACATTAGTTTTGGCTAGACACAAGCACATTATGCCTCTCCGGGACTCCAGCAGCAAGATCTCGATGCCACAGGCCACAGATCTATCCTTTTCAGTTATGACAAAGGGGGATTCATTCACGCAGGATACGCATTTAGTTTCATAATGGAGAATGTGGCAGGAGGCGATGCAAGACCATTTTGGGGAAAACAGAAGAACGGTGGATTATAGTGGGAAGATCTCACCAATGAAATCTCTGAGAGACATTAAAAAACAAACACATGATTCAATCTGTCATTACTCATCCATAACGGAAATAACAGTTTTGTGTGAGTTGAGCCTTTAATACAGAAAAAAAAAAAACCCTGCCACATTAAAACAGCTTATTACCTCTAATGCAATGCCATATAACAAAACAGCCAGAACTTTTTATTTTTTACATGGAAAAAAACCAAACTAGAATATTTCTAGATCTTAAAAGAGATGCAATAATCCGTAAGTGCATTAATGCTATCCTTCGCTTTTCAGTGCAGGTTTAAAACGTTTAAAAGACTGTCATGGTCACCTGTGGATAATAAGGAAGTCATCTTCCAACTGAACAAGCGCTTAACTTAGAAAGCAATGATCCATTCAATTCTTAAGTCTCCACAATAACGCATACAAGAGACTTTGGTCATTTAAATGGGATAGAAGGAAAACAAAAACAATTAAAATACACACAATAGTCTGTGATAGTGACACATCCTCCTAATTTCTAGTGATGGAGAGCAGAAATGTCCTCTCACCAACTTCATTTAACATGTTCATCTTCAGCATATTTCTGAACAAACCAGCCTTTCGTCAACTGGGCTTTTCAGGAGCAGCTGATCCCATTTCTAAGGTTTCCTGCTCCAACAAAAAGTTTTCTAAGTCCATTAGTTTCTGTATGAGAAGTGCATCCAGTTGCACTCCTTCCATGGCAGCTTTTCGCCCTCGCTTGCAGGTGGTCATGACTCTTACTCTGCCCTTTGCTCTCTTTGGCCTGGGCATCGTACAGTCCCTGAACTCCAGGATGCGTTTTCTCTTCGTCTGAGAGACAGACACTAAGACACCATTCTTCTCTTTGGGTTCTTCAAATATTGTTTCAAGGCTCCTGAACAGAAACAGCAAGAAGAGGAAACGTCAAAGAAAGACAGAAAAATAAAACCAAAAGGGCAAACGCAACCATATAGGTCGTGTTTAAAGTCATTAACACTCAGTTTACAACCACTCCATCCTATAGCAGTGATGGAAAAGTAGACTGAGCAGGTTGGCCTAGTCTTCACTTGTCAATTAAAAGAGAACTATGGCCAAACCTTTTTTGGCTTAAGCTCTCTTTAGGGTCACAGGAGGACATTTGCTAATGTCCTCCTGTGACCCAAACTTCAGCTACCGCCCACTACATGCTGACAGCACAGAACCGCGCTGCAGCTGGGAAAGATCCCTACATTATTCTCTACTAATAAAACAGACTTGAAACAGCTTCAGTGTCACATGTCGGCTCTAATTATGAGGATGAGTGTATTTCATTCATCTCGTAGTTTTCCTTTAATGGGCTCCAGGTCAACTGGTAGATATAATTCTGTTCATTGTAGGATGAGTTGCCTAGTACAGTTTTTTTAAATGCCCAAATCACCACAAACTAATAGCTGTAGCACATGTCTGATATACATGCACATTTCCCAATGCTTTGTCTATTTAAATGGGGTAAGAGGCAGAGTACAGACAAATATCTGTTGATCCAGAAAATCAGCGAGCTCTTAATTTCCTGTACCAAGTTGACAACACTGCCTCTTCTGCACATATACAGTGTTGTCAGACCTGCCCTGTTGTCCTCTTCTGTGCCATGAAGATGAGAAGAGGTGGATGTGTTCTGAAGTTGAAGGTTTCCAAATTCAAAGCTAATAAATGATTATTATTTTTTTTTATAATGAACAGCAGTTACAAAAATATTTTCTTGGATTCATAAGAACGAGGCAAAAATGTGCAAAGTTACATACATGTTAAAAGAGAAAAGGTGCACCATTGCCAGCTATTCCCAAAATAAGCATGAGAAACACACCACTTCCATGCACATGGCCTCCCCTTGTAAGCTGGGTTCACATTTCAGCAGATTGGCAATACACTTTTTGTGCATTGGTGCACTGCTGTGCCATTTTGAATGTCACCACAACGCACTATATCAATTAACCGGCACTGCAGTACACCACGATGCACTGATGTAGGTTTCATTTCGGGAAAAAGCCCAGATGCTGTTTTAACCACGCTGAGGTGTGTTACCAGTCAATTGAACATGTGTCACATAATACGCATTATCGTGCTCATTACTGCACTGCGGATATACAAACTTAGCATTAGATGGTATCTGAAGCATTTGCAATTTATTCAGCAGAATTTTGTTGGCTACTTGTTTTTCTATTTATGACAGTTGTGTTTTAGCAAGCAACAACAATCCCAATCACATGTTCTTTAAGTAGGTGCAATACAGTGATAACTGGATGAGCAACTGTCACAATTAATTTGCATAAGATAGAATGTTTTGAGGGACTGCGTAACTTTGGTAAACTTACTAGAACGACTGTATTTTTTAACTTACCGCGCTGTTGGGGGAGATTTGTAGTTTTTGTTTGTATAAATATCCTCCAGACTGAATTCTTTCTTGTTTATTCTAAAATGAAATTTAGGAGATTTTAGCTCAAGTCACAAATGTAGCTATTAGTTAGTTTACAACCCCTGTTCCTATGCCACTGACTATAACTCATACCCTTTCCCCCACAAACCTCTGTAACATATCTACACCTTTTTTATCTAGGAATCATACCTGATCCCCTGCCTACGATGATACATATCTTTGTCACAAAATCAGTATCAGCAAGGTCCCATTTAAGTCACAGTTTACAACTTGGATATTAACCCCTTCGTGACGGGAGACGTACACTGTACGTCCAGCCACAAAGGGACCAAATGACTTGTCACGTACACTGTACGTGACGAGTTATTTGCTGCTTTAGAGGGCTGTTAATCGCTGAGAATCAGCTTTTAACATTCATTAATGGATGCCCTTACTACAGAGGCATTCATTAATGAAAGGGTTAACCTTTTTCAGACACCCGATACCTTAATATCGGGTGTCTGAGAGTCACAGCAGAGCGGACACACATGCCGGCTTTTGCCGGCATTCTGACAGCTCGTATAGATCGAGAGATATCTCTCTCAAGCTATACTGGCTTTTTTTTTTTCTTTCATGAATAGATACAAAATGTGTCTATTCCTACAATGTATCTATTCCTGGAAGAAGAATGTTTGTTTGCTGATCGTTGTTGCAACAATCAGAAAACATTTAGTAACAGCTGAATCCTGAACTGCTGCAGGATCAGTGTCACTAACTTATTATTGGCTGTTCTGAAGTTTTAGCTGCGCTGGTTTTGTAAAAAAAAAAATACTACAAATCAAAACTGGTTTTTTTTAACGTTTTTTTCCTCTTTTTCTATATTTTATTTGTCCTAAGTGAGGCGTTAGACACACATATGTGATATAAATATGTAGCCCTATCTGTCCTCTAAAAAACAATATATAATATGTGTGGGTGCACTTTGTAAGAAAGTATATTACTGACGTGGAAGAATCACACAGCAAAAATGTCAAAAGTGTGTCAGTCATTTACGAACAGAAACTAAAAACAAGCTCAGTCATGAAGGGGTTAATCACTTTATTTTATAAGGAGGTGGTATGAAAGAATTCTACAGTACTTTCTAGACTCACTAAAGTTGCCCATACACACATAGATTTATTTCGTTCAGCCTAACAGATCCCCCGCAATCCATGCTAAAGATGGATTGTGCAGTTTTTTAACCGGAGCAGTTTAATTTTTCACACACGTTAAAAATTTGAATGAATGATTGGCTAGAAAACTGCTTTCAGAAAAAAAAAATATAACTGTTTGGGGACTTCAAGCAGAGACCCTGGAGAATATAGTGTTATTTTTAGGCAAGTAAAAGGTCACAAACATAGTAACAGAAGTAAAGCCAGGCTGGATAAAATTTAGAATTTAAGTCAGGCATGTTCTCCTTACCTTTTGGGTTTGGGGAGACCCATTGGGGTCAGATTTGGGTCAGGCTTTGGAATAGTTTTGCGGATTCGAATCTGAGAGACTCGCTGAGGCTTCCGTTCACTCTCTTCTTTCTAAAAGGAAAAAACAAATGTAACTAGATCATTGTCTGCCTTGTATCATAGTGCAAACTGTTAAACACTACATTCTGGCCATTTCAAAGGTTGTCATAGAAGTATATAGGTAAAAGTTGAGAGCAGTCATTAAAAATTTGGGAGAACAGAAGAAAATATGAGAGTGTACATAGATGCAAGTGGGGGGGAAGTCAGTGGGGAAAAAAGTAAGTAGAACTGTGCCCTCCAATTATATAAAAAACAAAATGTGCCGAAGCAATTATTTATAAAGCACATCTGAACTTACAGTTTAACATTAGTGTGCCTGCAAAGTCTCTCAAATACCTGTTGAGCCTGCCAGGTGAAGTCCACCTCATGCAGTTTCCTGTGATGGGGTGACTACACAGCTGCACTGCTCCTGAGTTTAGAATGTAGGCTGTGTCTGCTTGTACTACAGTGAAGATGATGTTGCAGCGGACTATTAGCATAGTCACTGGTGACTTACAAGCCTGTAGTTTATCATTCAGTAGCTGGCCAAACCTAGTCCTGCCCACTGATTTCTGGATTGACAGAACTAACTTTGCTGCTGAAACCTTCTCGCTGTGAGCTGCAGTGTCTTGGAAGAGAAGCATGCAAGATATAAATGGATTATGCTTCTCGGACATCATAACCTATAATGCAGAACCAGCATGTACACAGGAACATCGAGGGCCTGCCCATGTACCAGAAGCACATTGGGGGGAAACCCTGAGTGGGTAATAAGGCAAGTATTGTGCCTACTCCAATTCCTCTAGATAAAACAAGAAATTACACCCTTAAGGGGTGTGGAAATTTAAAAAATAACTACTTGTCCAAGGGCTAAAGCGGGGGCCGAATCTACTTGTCCTTCAAGACAATCTACTTGTCACAATACAAAAAAATAGTTTTAATCAAAACTAGGGATGCACCAATACCGTTTTTTCGGTATCGAGTACGAGTACCGATAATTTGCTTTCGGTACTCGCCGATACTGGATACCAATAACGGTGCTTCCGCTGGCATGGAGCAGGCTTCTTGGGTAATCAGGAAGCCGGGCAGCGGGTAATGACATGCTGCACGGCTTCCTGATTTCATAGTGGATTACAAGCCCCTATGAGATAGTTTGGAGGTGACAGGTTCTCTTTATGGAACCTGCCCTCTAACACAGAACAGAAGTTCTGTGCAGCTCCTGACAGCGGAGACAGGTGGCGCTGCGATTACAGCGCCACAGTCTCAGTGATCACACTGAACAGACGAGGAACGGACATTCTTCGTCTGCCCTACACTCTATGGCGGAGCCGTTCTGCCATGGTCTCGGGTCCCCCAGAAGAGTGGGGGACCCCGAAAACCACAGCGGGCGGTGGGGGCGGACACGATCGCCGCTGCTTGTTTGATACAAGTGATCTGATCAGATCACTTGTACTAAACAAGCGGCGGCTCCACGCTGTACATTTAGCTCTGCTTGTCCGGAGCAGGGCTAAATGTAGAAAAAACTACTCGCCCGGCACCCGAAACTGCATGTCCCGGGAGTCGGCCGATAGGAATTCCACACCCCTGCCCTTGCATGTTCTAGTTATAAAAAGAACATGTATTCATGAATCTTTTAAAAACTTCCACAGCAGGGTAGGAGTTTAGTATTTATCCCATAACACAACTGTATTAAATGAATCTGAACATTTGTAAAGGACTATGTATAATGTATACTATAACTAGCCAATAAATCATAACAGGGGGTCTAAACCTTTTAAAAAAAAAAAAAAAAAAAAAACTTATCAAAAAAGTATATTTACTCTATTTAGGCAAAAAAAATCAACATCAAGTGAGACAAAATTCGTAGATTTTTTTTGTGCAGCCAAAAATGAATTGTGAAATGTCTTTCTTATGTGGGCTTAAGGGCTAGTTCACACCAGCCCCAGTGCGTTCCCCGATTCGTCGCCAGAATGAACCGGATCGCATCCCGACGGGCTCCGTGTTCTGGGGTGGGAAGGGGTGTGACGGTGCATTGAAGTCAATAGCACCACAGCCACGCCCCCAGGCCACAGTGCAAATGCCCGCACCCAAATGTGTGGCACGCTAATGCCTGCGTTCCAGTCAGAAAAAAAATTCTGCATGCTCTATTCTTTCTAACCGCACCGGAACGCGGGCATTGATGTGCCACGCGTTCGGTAATCGCACTGCGGCTGGGAGGGCATGGTTGCGGTGCCATTGACTTCAATGCATCGCCACGCTCCCCTCCCCAGAACGCAGGGAGCTTGCCGAAATGCGATCCACAGCGTTCCGTTATCAAATCGGGCCGGAACGCACTGGGGCTGGTGTGAACTAGCCCAGCTCCCGACCAGCAAATCGACCCGTCGCACCAGTAGTCTGCAGCTAAGGACCACTGTGCTTTGTGTAGAAGCAGTGGACTGCTGAGTTAGACCTACAGCTGCGCAATCAGCAGGGAGCATGGGTGCTGCTGACTTCAGAAAAATCAATATTTCAAGCTTGGCTTGTGGGGTAGAGTACCCTTTCCTCACCATATGAAGTCATAACAATTTCATCTGGTGTAAACGAACATTTAAAAGTCTATATTGTTTTTAACCATCGTGTTGAATGGACAGTGATGCTGCTATCTGAATTGTAGCAGTGATTCATTTAAGAAAAAGTTTGTTTTTCAAAAAAAAAGTGACAGATACAGTTGCAAGCACAAGAAACTCTTCTATCTCCTTAAGATAGAAGACTTGCAGGAAATGCAAAGTAGGAGTTTTACTACAGCACTACTTCTGCTGTGAGTTTGCCATGTTCCAATATTATTAATATAAAAAAAAGTATAGTCAACCCTAATAGCAAGGGACAGAAAAATGAAATGGCATCATATAATATGTAGGAGCCATTACAAATGAAGACTCCAGTGAATATGTATATCCAATTAGGTAACATGAAGAGAGTGGAAAAAAAAAAAGTTAGAAGAGGCTCTAGAAAGTAAAATATAACGATGCCCCCCCTATGTGATAGCAAAGAGATGTGACAGGTCCTCTTTATGGAGACATCAGGGGTCTCAAAGACCCCTGTCACCTAGGACCCCCCAAAGAAGCTGATGAAGCACAGATCTGCTTCATCAGCTTCTCTTCAGCGTCTAAGCCTGGAGAGTGACACAAGAATTCGGAAGCGATGTAATATACATCACTTCCGCATTCTGACAGCGGAGAGGGGACCGGAGGGAGTTCATGTACCGATCTCCCTCTGATCCCGTCACAGAGCCACTATGCTGGTCCCGGGCTCGCACCAGCGTGAGGGGGTGTCAGCGGAGGGGGGGACACGGACCGGCAGCTTATACAAGCGAACCGATGGCTCAATATTGTATGTTAACAGGCATCGCTGCCTTTTTGCAAATTTAGACAGTTTCTTGCACGTGCGAGTGGCCGGACCTGTTGTGACATTTAAATACGCCCGCTCAGATCTAGGAAGCTCCCGGCCGGCCATAAATTAAAAAATGGCCGGCAGGCGGTTAAGAATTGAGAAAAAAAAAATACTAAAATGGAGGCAGCATTTAAAACCTGACAGAGGTGAGGTTTTAACTAGAGGTGCACCGAAATAAAAAATTTTAAACCGAAACTAAACCGAAATAAAAAAAATTTCAGGCCGAAACCGAAAGTTTTTTCAAAATTGTATTTTTAATTTCTTTTTTATAAACTTAATATTTTTTATTTATTAATTAATTTTTTATTAAATATTTAATTTGTTCAAATTACTTTTAGGGGCTTTGGGGAGATAGTAGGGGTCTAAACAGACACCTGATATTTCCCTTTTAAAATAGAAAAAGAGATTTAGGACACAAAGTCTTCAATCTCTTTTTCTGTGTCCCCATGAACAGGAATCCTCTATACTGAGTGTTCCTGTTCATTGATAACATGAGGACATGGTATGTTTACTATAACTACAACTATGAATGAACATGAGGTGATGTAGATCACTCCCGTTCATTCATAATTGAGGATATAGTTAACATGCCATGTCCTCAATTATATACAAACACTCAGCGATCACTGATTGCTGAGTGTTTGTACCTTGCTCTTCTCTCTGACACACTGTCACAGGAGGCTGAGCGAGCCTAGCAGGGAGGAGAGCTCATCCTCCTGTGACAGCGCGGCCTGTCTCCGCCCACACACCGCTCTGCTGTGATAGGAGGCTGAGCGGTGTGGGAGAAGATGCAGGTCGCTCACAGTGCTCTCCTCCCGCAGTGCTCGGCAGCCTGTCACAATTTCCTCTCCTCCCCGCTGGGACACAGAGCAGCGCCCAGCGGGGAGGAAAGAAATCACAGATGCGCCGATGTATCGGCAGGAAAAATTGCACTTTCGGCATTATGCCAAAAGTTCCTCTATCACCCTAAAACAAACTAGAAATACACAAGTCTACCTATATTAAAATCAGCATCATATAAAAGGCTATTTTCTCCTTTGGTGAGGATGTATGAGTTTTTTTCCATTGTTTTATTCTTACCTCGCTTTCCTTGTTTTGATTCTCAACTTTTGCATGAGGAATAGGCAGACTTTCTCTCTGTTCAAAAGGACGAGCTTCAATCTTGAATGGTGTCAGAATGCATGGAGGTTCAAGTTGGTCTTGTAGCATGGACACGCTGCAGGGTTCAAATTCACATTCTTTTTGAGCAGATAAAGAGAGTGGAGCTCCAAGATTGTCAGCTTGTTGAGACAAAAAACATGACGTTTTCAGGCCATCGCCTTGGTCATTGGACAAAACCTCTGAAAGTCCTCGATCCATCCCTTTCTCTATGTCTAAAGAGTGGGTAAATCGAGGAACATCTTGGTGAGCAATCAAATAATGGAGATGCTGGATACCACTATGTTGCTTGCTAGAAAAATTGCACAGAGGCCCAAGACCTTTGCCATGTTCAATGGACACATTGTACGAATGTCCAAGACCATCATCTTGCTCAGTGGACAAACTGGTGGAAGGTCCAAGCCCATTGCTTTGCTCAGTGGACAGGTGATAAGGAGGCCCACAACCATTAACTTGGTCAAGGGGCAAATAGGGAGTTGATTTAAGTGCATCTTCTTGCTGAAAAGATAAAGGCCCAAATTCCTTGTCTTGGTCAATGGAAAAAACATTTACAGAGTCAAGAGAAAGGCCATTGCTGGCTTGCTGATTGGTCAAAAAGTTAGGAGGCTCAAGAACATCCGCCTGTTCAATGGACAGACAATGTAAATGGCCAAGATCATCGTTTTGCTCAGTAGACAAAGACTGTGGAGACGCAAGACCCCTGGTTTGCTCAGTAGATAGACAAAAGAGATTTGTTGGTCGCTGAGAAGGAAAACACTGTAGAGGCCTGACATCTTTGACTTGCTTAGGGCTTAAACTACATGAAGACCCAGGACCGCCACCTTCCACTAAAAATAAACAGCTGGCATGCTTAGATAAACCAGATATATAGTTTGAAGGCCTAAAATATTTTTCTTGCCATGAAAATGCATCAAGCTGAAGCCTTGGTTCATTTGCTCGGAGACAGATCTTTGGTATCAAACTGGTAGAGGGTTTAAGGACTGGTACGCTGTAAAATAATGGATACAATTTATTACAAATGAACTTCATACAATAAAACACACTGTTTGACACAATAGACACTATGTAAAGCCCCACACCCTCCCCACTTTAGTAATCCCCTGTGATCCTTCCTTTATCACAGCCTGCACAAAGTATCCAATGCCTCCAGATTTAGGGGAGAACAAACTCCCCCCATGATGAAGATTGGTCACTCACATGATGGAGCTGTTGATGGTGTTGTTGCTCCCTCTAGGCTCTGACACTGGGCAATTAGGTGGCAGCTGTGACAAAAGAAGGGGTGGTGGAAGATTGCTGGAGAAGCATTAGTGGGTTGGGGTGGTTTTGGATTTACACAGATGGTCTCTTCCATAATTATTGTAAAGTAATAAAACAATACCTAAAACAGCATTTTATTTTCCAGCTTAGTTCCTGGTTGAAATGGAGATGTGCAAGTCAAAAATAAATGAAGCAAGTTCCCCAGCAATGGCCATTGGCCAAGATCAGCATCCCACTGTGTCCCTGCAAGTGTAATAGAAGGTAGTAAGGCCCACACATGCATAGAAGATGTGTGCGCATTTAAAAATGCCTAGCCACAATATGGCAAGGATTACCCATGCATGCACAGTACAGAGTGGACTGTCAAGTTGATACTGCGCTTGCACAGGCGATTGCCACCATATTTGGTGCAATTCTACACATTCGCAGTGAAAAGAATAGTCGGCAATATGGCAGCAATGACCTGCAGAGGGGGTTTTTGTGGTTCAAGCTTTAAACCTGAGCAAAATGGTGCTGCTACAGTGTACAAGCAGAAAGTAGTAGTACGGGGACACTGGTCCTCTCAAATTCATCAACCAATAGGGTAGAGGGATGGAGCAGGCCCACACACACAACTTTATGAACGGCAGGAAGAATTTGCACAGATGGAAGGCAGCTGCATTTCAGCTCCCTGTTTACTCCTTTCAGCACAAGTACAGGTTTGCTTCAAAGAAATGAATGAAGAACAAAAATCACTCATAATTGTATAATATTAGATTATGTGCACTTGATAAAAGTACATATATAACCATATTGCAGCACCTGTATTTATCTGCAATCAAAGCCTTGGTGTATGTCCCCCGTATTAGCATACATAGTCTGGAATAGCTAGCACTTTCCACAATGCGGACTAAAGCCCTTAGTGTAAACTGTGAGAAATGTTTTTTTTTTGTACAAAATCTTTATTTAGGACAGAAACCAAAAGTACAAACAATTGGTCAAATAAGATGCACCAATTAAACTGCAACTATTAAACATCCATTATATAAAACCAGATAAGACCACTGCAGAAATTTCTGCAAAGACTGGAGGCCAGTACTTGGGGCCTGGCTTGTTTCAGTTATCAGTGTTGGCCTAGGTGTATTCTCAGGGAGTACTACATTGGGATAAAGGGAGAGTAGAACGCAAAAAAAATAATAATATGGGGAGAGGAGTGTTGAGGGGCAAGAGGAAATAGTAGGAGACGTGTATAAGAACAAATCCTGTGGTATGCAAGTTGACAGAAAAGGGACTCTGGACCTGTCTCAATCCAACTGGAGAGTGCAAGGTGGAGGTCCCTCCCTAATGACCACTCGGCTTGAGTTGTCCGGTATGCATTGTATCAGTATAGGCAGAGGAACATGCAAAAGCAGTCCAAGGGTATCAATCAGGAAGTTGGGTGCTGTGTCATTACCCGCAGCCCGGGTGATGACACAGCACCCATCATTACCCATGCGGCTTCCCAGCCAATCAGCTTCCCACCCAATCAGGAAGCTGGGAGGCGAGTCATTACCCACTCCCCTTCTCCATGTTCCCTCGCGGCACTGGTCAGTCAGAGGAAATCTCCCTCTAACCGAAGTTCTGGTATCGGGGAAGGTATCTGAGCATTTGGGCGAGACCGGGTTAAAAGGAAGTGTCAGAGTGGGAAGGGCGCCTTCCAGGTTTGAAATGGGTTCATCACATCCAAGATGGCGGCACCCAGCAGCTGTCTCATGCCTACACAAGGCAGGCTTTTACAGTTAGATTGCATGCATTAAATATGTTAAATGTACATATAATCTTATGGGTGGATTGTTAATGAAATTAATAGACTGGCAACACTGTTTCTTTCAGCAAAAATAAATAAAAATGGATAGGAGAAAGGCTCTTCAGTATCTGAGCATCCTAGTACACAAAGCAAAAAACGTTCTCACAAGCAGTTTTAACACTTACCCCCTCAGTCAAAGTGCGGCAACATCTGGCTCAGGAGGAGCTTGACCTCCTACCGCATGCCGACTCATGCTCAGGCCTACTTCCTAAAGTATTAAAACATCATAGAGGCAGGGAAGGGGTGTTCAATGTATAAACAATAGCTCAGATGGAAACTACAGGTCCCAATCTACAATTCTAGACAGGCACACTTCACTGGGGAGTGATTGACCACTCTGCTGATGTGAGCATCCACAAAGCAGAATCTTCTGCATGATGGCTCACCATTTGTTTGAAGTGTGTGTGACATGTGTGTGATCAGTTTATAAGTTAAATGTGTATTGGTGTTGAGTTATGTTTGAGTGCGTTATGCTGTGTGACCTGGTTAGGGAAAGACTATCAGCACCATCCCTCGTTATCTCCTATTGTTCTCTGAGGGAGCTCAGAACAATGACATTCTGGCCAGGCTCCTGCTATGGCTGTCTGGAGTTCGTTAGCAGGTGGACACCTGTGGTGTTATGAAGACAGAATGTCCAGGGAGGGGACGGGGGATGTGATGGGATTATATTCTGATCTGATCACTTGCTGTATATAAGTTTGTGCAGTTGTTCAATAAAGCAGAGTTTGTTTACCCTACACTCAAGCCTTGGCTAGTGACTGGGGAAACTGGGAGCTAAGGATCTTCAGGTTCCAATATCTCCTCAGCAAGGAAGAAGACAGCGGCGGACATACTCATCCTGAGTACGGGGGTCCGTCACAGTGTGCACCCTAATTTGCAGTTTACATACGCTTCATCACAATTATTAGTAATCATTTGTCACAAAACCATGAATAAATGAGATACTGCATCTGTTAAAAAAAAAAAAAAAAAGTGAAAAAGATTGTTACCTGAAGCTAAGGTTCTGGCTTGGCTGCCATGAACTGCACGGATTGTGTGGTGTGGCAAAATCAGAGAAAAAAGCAGATAATCCATGGCGACTCCACATAGACATCACACGGCCAAGTGAAAAAGCCAGAGAGGAGGTGATTTCTCTTTTCCAGGAAACCTGTGCTGGTAATCCCTTGAGTCCATGTGCAAACTGAGTCACGGAAAGTTTTTGGACGGTAGGGATTCTGCTCCCCAGATTTCTTTTCCTGGTCCACAATCTGTAACAGCCAGGCGATGAAAGTGCAAGTACTGTATGAAGTCCAAGCCTTGAGCATCCAGACTTTCTTTCAGATTTACCTCTGCAGCTGGAGTCAGATTTAGAAGTGCCTAAACACTTAAAGTGTGGGTTCCAATGAGTGAAGAGCTGAATGCCGTCACTGGTAGCAGGGAAGTGTGGAGAGAGGAAAAAAGATAAAGTCCACTCCGAAAGTTGTGCGGATTCAGTTATAGATTGTGCGCTTTTAAACATATAATCAGGGGGATTGAATTTAACAAAGTCTGATAAAAGGCCTGGATCTATTTTCATTTGAAAGGATACAGGGAATGTGGTGTTTTCTAAGGTAGGCAAAGAAAACTTGCTAGCAAGAATATCAGGGCAAGCTTGATTAACAGGTGCTGGACAAAGATCCATACACTGAGAAAGAAGATGATCACGGCTTGATGAAAAGCCAACATTTCCTGCCCACTGGGAGCTTATTTTCATATTTACACAGGAGAAAACATTCAGCAGTTTTCTGGCCTGAAGCTGAACACCTTTAAAGGGAACAAGTTTTGTAGTGTTGGATGAAGGCATTGACCTGGGCAGACTCTTGCATGGTGCAGTTAGTCTACTGGCAATTGCCGATAGTCGGTGCAGCAATGCTTGCTCTGCGGTGCACTTGTTTAAATTAACTATATTCTTTTTGATCATCTCTGCATTAAGTGTATTAGAAGTCATTTTTGGAACTGCATGTTTTGATGGCAGAGATCTGTGGTTAGGGATATGAAAGGTATGTGCATGGAAAGCTTTAGAAAATTCACGAGTCTGCATGTTGGAATTTGGGACATTATATTCTTGAATGAAATTGTTCTTACACTTTCTGCTTGGCTGTCTTCTCAGAGATATGTCACCGGTCATATAGTTATTCCTTGGGAGTTCTGGGACTTTCTGAACTTTGCATGAAGTTTTTAGAGAATGAAGACTGAGCGTTTCATGGGAGCCTGCATCAATGCAGCCTTGCAAGTCTGAACAGGAAGGCTGACCAAAATTTGGACGACTAATCTTTGGTCTTTTTGCCCCTTGTATTGTGCAAGTAAGGCTTTGGGGTTCAAGTTTCAGACTACAATATTCTATACTTTTTTCTGCTTTAATAACCTCCATTTCCATTTTATACGTAGACTGTCTAAGGCTGTCTTTTAGTAATTGCTGATCATGTTGTAATGTCAGTGGCTTCCTATTAATATAAGTAGGTAGAGTTTTTCCAGGCTTGATACAAATCCTTTTCCGTTTAAGTGTTCCAACCGCCACTTCAGGGGGAGTCTGTTTCCCAGATTGACCTTGAAGTAATTTCAATGGAGGTCTTTTCTCACCAACAAGGATGGATTGCATTTTTATTGTTGGATCTTTCTGCGATACAGATGGCTGAGCAGGCTTCATTGTATACAAGTATTCAGAAGACCCTTTGTAATTTATCCTATTCTCATATCTAGTCACCATAGGTTTTAGAGGAACAACCTGCTCAACTCTCTGAGTGTGCTCTATTTCAGAGTTGGTCAAAAAAGAGGCCAATAGATCTGGTGGTAAGACCGTACTTTCCACAATATGGCAGCTAGACAAAGGAGCATGTGCCAGAGTTTTCGTTTTTTGCAAACAGAGATCATTCATCTGTGTATAATAGAATTTCAGCGTCTCTGTACTACTGCCTACTGGAGAACAAACAGGGAGATTATTTATATTTACGGCTTCTGAACCAGAGGAAACCCAATTGGTCTGGCTGATGGTGGGATCCACACCATATATCCCTTTATCTGATTTTTCAACCCTGAGGCTCCAGGCAGAACTTCCAAGAAACAGGCTTCTGGGGACCGTAAATGTATTGTCTGGGCATTTCAGAAGATGTGCTTTTAAAGGGTCAAGCTGACCAGGACATTGCACTAAGGCATGTTTCGTATCTTTCCACCCTGGAAATCTGTCTGGAACACTACAGCCCTTGGCATACAGGAAACTACTTTCTTTACAATAAGTTAAATCGCTCCTTAATCGAAATTTCTGGGATTGTTCCTTTTTGAGGACCATATTTATAGTACTAATTGACAATACATTAGGCACCTTGGGCTGTGCTAAAAAACTACAGATATCCACATAAGGTACAAGGGAATTCTGTAAGATGATTTTCTGGGATCTTTCCTTTTTGAGGACCATATTGTTAGTACTATTCAAAGACAATACATTTGGCACCTTGGGTTGTGCTAAAAAGCTCCAAATATCCACATAAGGTACAAGGGCATTGTGTGAGGTGATTTCTAAAGGAGACGTCAGATCAACTGCTGACTGGCATTCTGGAGTTGGTGCTTGACAATGAACTTCTTTTAAATGATCTGAGCTCAAGGTGGTTTTGTCAATTGCAAAATGCTCAGATGACTGGCTGTGACTGGAAAGCAGAGTGTTGTTAGATTTAGCGATTTCATTAGGATTCTCGGAGTCTGAAACCTCAATCACTACGTTACTGTCAGCCTGCTGCCAGGTACTCTTGTCATTTTTTGTTCTCATCACAGAATCGGGGCTTGCTACAATCTTGGAGCATGCAATTGTGTTACATCCAAGATTAGGTATTATGCTGCAAAGTTCTGGCATTTGTGTAGTGCAGCAGACGGCAGGCAATTGGGCTCCATTTAAAATATGCAGAAAATTATTATCCTGTGAGATGGTGCAATGCATCTCCTGTGTCACGCCATCATGAGATGAAGGGCCTCTCTTTGTAATACAAACCTTTTCAGCCTGAAAAGTTTCCACCACCTGAAATAATTGTTTTTTTATTTCCTGCTGCTGTCCTGTTGTATCAGAATCCCTAAAATGAACAGCAGATGCTTCATTGTCATCTGCTAACAAATTACTTTTAGCGTCTTTGCAAGTAGATTCCGCAAATGTACTTTTTGGTGGAACCAAATGAATAGACCCAGCTTGCCAAGGTTCATCTAATTTGTACACAAGCTTATTGGCACAGTTGAGATCTTCATGACAATCTGCAGCTACATTTTGTAGATGGATAGGATTTTCTTCTGTGCTGGGTAAAAAAGTACATTCCTGCGTATCAAATGATTTGGCACTCGACCTGTCAATGGAAGTGTTAAGATTTGGTTGCATGGCCGCAACCTCTGTCAAATGAATACATTTCCCAGATCCGGAGAGCAAATTATCTTCAGAGGTATTCTTTGAATGAGCATCTTCCAAATGAGTGTCAACTTTTTCCACAGAGTGTGTAGTTAAAAGATGTGTACAAAGACAGTCCTTTTTATGCTGGCCTTCTGTACAAGTCAAATCTAGTGACTGCTGGATACAAATGTCCTTTGACTGTGCCATTTTCTGCAAAGCATGCTCCAAACAATTTTGTTTAGGTCTTGTTCCATTTTCAGTCATACTACATTCTGAGCTTGTAGAAAGTAGAGCTGCACTGCTAATTTCCCCAATATCAGAGCACTTTGATTCTTCTGAAACTGAAGCTTCTTCACACAACATAGGGTCTACATAGATATCACATACATCTGGGTTTCTTTTAGTCGTATTGTGAGATGTACAAGAATAAGGTGGCACTTTTTGATCTTCAAGGCACGGACAGGAACCTCCATCTCTTAGATCATTGGATAGGCATGTGTGTTCTGAGGACATAACCACAGTACATTCTTCATGTCCACCAATTGGTTGCTCAAATGAGTTCTGCAATTCTGTTACCATTAAACTGCAAACTTCTGTGAGCTTTCCTGAAGAATTTGACTGATTTACACCTGAAGACGTATTTCTCTCTGGTTCCAGATTATCCAGTTTTGCATTCTGCTCAGAAGGTAATCCAGCCTCACAGCTTTTGTCCTCCACACATGCAGCTTCATGAGGCTCACTTAGAGTATGGTTACCTGCAAGAGACAAACATAAAATTACAAGCTAACTCTGCTAGGGCTGCAACAACTAAAATCGACATAAATCGATTATTGAAAAAGTTGTCAACTTTTTCAATCATCGATTAATCGGCTTCTGGTTAGTTGGCCCTGTTCACGGCTCCACACATGTTGCATGCGGTACCTCCTCCCCACCTCACTCTCGCCGCTTCCAGACCCGCCCGCATCCACACGCCGCACCTCTCCCCACCTCACGCTCACCGCCCTTCCACATCCACGATCAGCACAGGGACACGGGGAGAAGAAGTAATGAGCAGGTGTGGGGGGATGACAATCGCCGATAGACAGGCCCCATCTCAGAAGCAAGTTGCTGGAAGACTGCTCAGGTAAGCCTGCACTCCCCCCCACATGGTGCTCTATAATGTATTACTGGGATTTGTATTCCTCTATAGCTGATTGTACATTGTGCTGTATATTATACAGAGGACTACAAATCCCACCAATGGTACATTATACACTTTATGTATAATATACTATTGATGAGATTTGTTGTATCCCTCTATAGCTGGTGGTATTCTGCATTGCGCTGTATAGGGGACTACAAATCCCAGCAATAATATATTATACAGAGCAATGCGGAATACCACCAGCTATAGAGGAGTACAACAAATCCCACCAATAGTACATTATACAGTGGTGCAATACCGAATACCACTAGCTATAGTGGACTACAAAACCCAGCAATAGTACATTATACAGCGCAATGCACAATACAGCCAGCTATAATGTATTGCTGGCATTTGTTGTATTCCTATATAGCTGGTGGTATTCTGCATGTCGCTGTATAATATATTGCTGGGATTTGTTGTACACCTCTGTAGCTGGTGGTATTCTGTATTGTGCTGTATAATGTACTATTGCTGGGATTTGTAGTCCTCTATAGCCGGTGCCATTCTGCATTCATTGCTGTATAATTTTACACTTTTCATTTCACTATATTGCACACCACACTTTTTTTTTTTTCTTATTTACTTCCACCGCTCCAAGCTTGCTCCTGTGATGGACTACAATCTCAATACAAAATAGTAGTCCATCACTGGAGCCTTTTTAAAATGTATTTTTTATCCGATTAATCGAACTCAATAATCGGCTAACTAATCAATTTAGAAAATAATCGTTAGCTGCAGCTCTAAACTCTGCACATTTACCCCCTTCCCCCAAGATGAGCAACTACAGCTCCTATACACAGTTACAAGCAACACCTGCTCCTTGTACCGGCAATGGCAAAATGCCATATTTACCTTTTTACAAATGCCTGCGACTATGCCAGAATGTAATAAACATTTCATATTTTAAGTGACAACTCTTGCCTTAGAACTGGGTCAGATGACACCTTTTGCTTGCAAAAATTTTCCCCCACTAAAACACTTCTACATGAAAGTTCTCACTGAATTACTGATTGATGCATCATGGAAGTCAAATTTTAGTGTTTTGAATAGAACTATGGGGAAAAACACTGACCCCATAGTTCTCCTTTAAAAAGGACAGAGCAGCGATTCAGACCCAGCATAAACCTCAGCAGAGGTAACCTCTGTTTACACAGTAGATAAGACAAAAGAACACTTTTGGTTGGCGTTCTGCTTTGTCATTTTGTCTTGACTCAACATGCTTCTGTGCTGTTGAACACACTACAAACAAAAGGTTCCCAAGCTTGTTGCTTAGGGCAACATTGGATTCTGCTCTTGCATCTTTTTTTTAAAGATAATTTTTATTGATTTTTGCAAGTGTCCGAGACACAACAATGATAACAACAACACCATCACAAACCTGCTCTTGCATCTTTAAGATCCCAATCACTTACTACCAACAAATTGAATCTAACTTTATCACTGGACTCCACAATTATTTCCTACATGTATACCTTCCTTACCTCTACACAACTAAAATTTTGTAGCCAATATATGGCATTGCATATACTGACATGAATATTACAACATTTATCTGTTGCACACGAACAAACTGGTACCACTCCAAATGAATGCTGAACTCTTCTACCTCGTTTCTTCTCAGGTGCTTTTCAGTCTCTTCTCTGGCTGACACTTACACAGGGCACACATTTTAAACTTTTAGCTCTAACCTGAAAGGCTCTCAAGTCTATTTGTTAATTTGATAAAAGGTTAAATTATACAAGTCCTTTGATTGTAGCGTTGTAAAAAACACACACAAAGCAATACCTTTTTGCTCAGGATAAACATCAGGATGGATACAGATTTCAAGGAAGTCCACTCTCTCCTCAATAGCAGAAGATTCAGCCTAAAATGAACAAAGTCACTGTAACAACATTGCCAAATATTTCATGTGGCAATCTTTCAACATTTCTTTGACATTATCTGTTTTTATTACACTATGTAATATCTAACACATGCCTAGATGCTAGGTGTCATCCTTGACTCGGACCTCACCTTTCTTCCCCACATCCAATCACTATCCAAATCCTGCCACCTTCACCTTCGTAACAGCTCCAAAATACGCCCGTTCCTCACAAATGAAACCGCAAAATTACTCATCCACTCACTTGTTATCTCCCGTCTTGACTATTGCAACTCCCTCCTCATTGGCCTAACTCTACACAGGCTATCACCCCTTCAGTCTATCATGAATGCAGCTGGCTAGACTCATCCACCTGACCAACCGCTCAGTGTCTGCAACCCCCCTCTGCCAATCCCTGCACTGGCTTCCAATAGCACAAAGGATAAAATTCAAAATATTAACAATCACTTATAAAGCCATCCACAACTCTGCCCCCAGATATATCTCAAACCTTGCCTCAAAATATCACCCTAACCGTCCCCCTCTGCTCCTCCCAAGATCTCCTGCTTTCCAGCTCCCTTGTCATCTCCTCCCATACTCGCCTCCAGGACTTCTCTATGGTCTCTGTCATCCTTTGGAACTCTTTACCCCCAACCTGTCCGTCTATCTGCCACCTTGACTGCTTTTAGGCGATCCCTAAAGACTCACCTCTTCAGGGAAGCCTATCCCACCTCAAACTAACCAGTGAACCATCACATTCTCAAACAATTCATCCCCACACAGCTACCTCCTCATGTATCACAAGCCCCTCCCTTTTAGATTGTAAGCCCTCACGGGCAGAGCCCTCTGTACTATCTTGTCTTAAATTGTATTGTAATGTCTTCCTTATATTGTAAAGCACTGCGCAAACTGTTAGACAAATATTCAAAAACTTCACACGAACCCTTGGTGACAGCAGAAACAATGTACAAATAAAATTCAGAAACTACTTGAAGAAATGGTATATGTGCTACAAAACCAACTCTATTTACCGATTCCTGGAGATCCATCTTCTGAGGACTTGAAATATCCATTGGGGCAACCCTGTCTACAGTACCCAACATTACAGCCGAGTTTAAACTATAGTGTCCTCTAGAGTCCTGGCTCCCCGTGGAAGATGTTAGCTCTGGCACCTGAATAAATTCAGGAATGTTGACAGTATCGGTTTGTGGCAGGAGGTGCTTCTGATATTCAGTCGGCAAATCTCCCTGTTCCTTGATATCCCAGTTTGATATTGGCTCCTCTATGAAGTGCACATGTAGTATAGGCCACTTGTGGTTCACAGTATTGCTTAAGGAGGACTCCAGTGGATGTAGCTGGCTCTGCTCCTGAACGTCAAGTCCCAGCATTATGACATGTGAATGGGAAGAGTGTGCTGACCTGCCTGCAGGTACCTGAAAAAAGGAAAAAAAAAACAAAAAAACAACAAACTGGTTAAGTAATGTATACAAAATCATCAATATATTTCTAGATCTAGTTTCTTAAATATCCTAATTCTGATTTTAAAACAAATGAAAAAAAAATGTATTTGTAAAAGTTGGTTCATTTTAATTACAGCAATCTTAAACAGCCTTTCAAAAACGTATGTTTTCAGGAACTAATAACAGGTCTTATATACCAGGTAGCAATGCAATGGTGGAAAAGATGCACTCTACTCATTCCACTTGTGATTCCACAAAGAGATCTGAAAAACATTGCCTATTAGTGGTCCACAAGGACTGGTTAATAAACACTGATGTTCAACAGTTTTGAAAAAAATTAAAAGACCAAATCCTACAAAAGAAGATGGTTTGTACTTATCTGCCCTGTCACCCATTCCTGGAATTTTGGCATTCTTGCAGAGCAAAAACCCCATCAGAAGCTTCAACATCCTGTGTTGTGGTTCCATCCACCAGCTGCTATAAGGAACAGTAGTGACCTAGAGGCTGGTGGGTTGAACCAGGAACTTAACAAGCCTATAATTGTGTTGGATATTAAACTACCGTCAGTGGATTTGCTCTGCAAGAAAGCAAAGATTCCAGGAACGGACACTGGGAAAAGTATTTACTTTTTTAAAGCAACAAAGTCACTTTACAGCAAGGTTATTCAACTTGAAGTCAGTTAGTCATCCTTCACAATGCTGTCAGTTCTTGGTGGACACTAGTGGGATGCATCACCTGCTCTCTTGTTTTAGGTTTTCCAGTGGCAATATTTCATGACAGTATTTGTTCTCTGGCCCCTCACACAAGGCCATAATAAAAGGTATAATTCACTCCGAGCTGAATTACCCAAGTGAAGTGTGATACCATCATTTGACCTTTAAACAGCACAATTGAGGATTTATTTGTTAAATATTTAGCTAAGAGTATATATAAAAATGGTGCTGGTACAGTGGATGTACCTATATATCCTCTATACAGCCAAAATAAAATAAAATAAGTGGTGGCGGTGCTGTGGCTGTCTCTATACATCCTCTATGCCCAGCTAAGAGTAAATATAAGTAGCACAGAAGTGGTGATGATGCAGTGGCTGTGTGTACACACCCTCAATGTGCAGCTAGGACTGTATATAAATAGAAGTGGCAATGGTACCTATATATCCATTATGTCCAGATAAGGTAATATAAATAAAGTGGTGGTGTTGTGGCTGCCTCTATGCATGCACTATGTCCAGCTAAGAATCTATAAAAGTAGAACAGAAGTGGTTATGTTGCCTATATAACCTCTATGATCAGCTAGGACTTTATACACAAGTATAATAGAAGTGGTGAAGATGGCTGTAAATCCCCTATGATGAGCTGGGACTATATAGAAGTAGAATAGAAGTGGTGATGGTGCCTGTATATCCCCTATGATCAGCTAGGACTATATACAAGTAGAATAGAAGTGGTGATGGTGCCTGTATATCCCCTATGATGAGCTGGGACTATATAGAAGTAGAATAGAAGTGGTGATGGTGCCTGTAAATCCCCTATGATCAGCCAGGACTATATAGAAGTATAATAGAAGTGGTGATGGTGCCTGTAAATCCCCCATGATCAGCCAGGACTATATAGAAGTAGAATAGAAGTGGTGATGGTGCCTGTATATCCCCTATGATCAGCTAAGACTATATAGAAGTAGAATAGAAGTGGTGATGGTGCCTGTATATCCCCAATGATCAGCTAAGACTATATATAAGTAGAACAGAAGTGGTGATGGTGCCTGTATATCCCCTATGATGAGCTGGGACTATATAGAAGTAGAATAGAAGCGGTGATGATGCCTGTATATCCCCTATGATCAGCTAAGACTATATAGAAGTAGAACAGAAGTGGTGATGGTGCCTGCATATCCCCTATGATCAGCTAAGGCTATATATAAGTAGAACAGAAGTGGTGATGGTGCCTGTATATGCCCTATGATTAGATAAGACTATATATAAGTAGAACAGAAGTGGTGATGGTGCCTGGGCTGTGTATATAGACGGCTAAGTTTTAACAAACTAAAGTTGCTGTGTGCCATGAGTCCGGAGCTGTCAGTGCCCCTCCTCCCCCCGGTGTGTGAGGTCTCCATACCCGGATCTCCCTCCTCCCATCCTGCGCCTCGCTCTCCTCAGCCTCTCACTAGCTCCGGAGCTCCATGACTCCGTCACTATCTCCTCCCGACCGGGCGCTCACCTCACTTCCTGCCACCCTCACTGACGTCATCTCCTGCGACTCGTCACGTGAACTCTTCAAAGTGGTACCCGGGGCTTCCGCTGATATAGCCCAGTGCCCGGCCCCGAGATCAACGTGAGGCTGGCAGGTGAATGGCGGACACTCTATTTGTAGAAGTTGTGCGTCCCCTGTGACCTACCCCATCCGTGCTTCTTCCTTTCTGACCCCAGCATGTCCCCTGTGTACCCCCCACTCCTTCTGCACCACCTCAGTCCAGTGACAGCTGTCATTTCTCCCCACAGGCCGGAGTTACTCAGGAGCAGGGTGCAAGCCGCCATGAGAACCAACAAAGTCTACAAGCTGGTCATCCACAAGAAGGGCTTTGGGGGCAGTGGTGAGAACAGACCCCTTCTACGTACCAGGGGGTGTCACTAATAATGACTGCATTTGTAGGCTCTTCATAATAGGGTCATTATAGTCAAGAAATATTGAAGCCTAAAGTGACCCTGTCCACTGCAAAAAACAACCCCTTATAAAATCCATATTTAAAGTATTATACCCACTATTGCTACCTACTCCCCCAATCCTTACATTCTAGCACTGCAACCTCCATCAGCATTCAACAGACATGTGTGACAGGTTCCTGTGTCCCCCCCGCTGCACTGCGGCTCCATCCTCCGACCCCTGGATTGGTATAGGGATCAGAGGATGGCTTCACAGTGTGCGATAGGAACACAGAGAGAGAGAGAGAGAGAGAGAGAGATCAGTATAATATTTCTTATTGCAGGAACTTTCTTTTGCAATTGTTCTTGCAGCTGATAGTGTTGGTTTAAACCCATGCACAAAAATGTATTTTATATTACAGCTTACCAGTCCTTTTTGTTTTTCGCTTTCTTTCTTTCTTGGACTTTGGACTATTGCCCTTCTCCTATTGTCCATTACTTGGATGGGCATGGTTCTGTAGTCCTCAGAGAACAATGTAATTGATAATAGTTGGCACAAACAAAGAGCAGAAAGTTATCAGTTAAGATGCTTTCTTGCTGGATCAACAGGTATGTTTTTAGAACTTATCAAACATATATGACAAAACACTTTCAATGGTATATTTAACATATTTTTCAATGGATATATGTACACTTTGTGGTCTATTCATTAAAAAAAAAATGACATAGCTATTGGTCAGATGAAGCTACATGTACATTCTGTGAAAATTAACCAGCTGTTGTGTGAACAAAGCAAAACTAAAGGTTCATAAAGCCTGTCTCCGGTAAAAAAACAAAACAAAAACTCCACTTGCAGTTGGGCTGTACCTGCAATGCAAGGATTCCAGATTTCGAGTGTTTGGCCAGTTGATTGGCCGGGCCCTAATGACGTAGTTTCTGCATATGCGCACGGGAGTTACTTCATCTCGGCTTGCTGAGCCTTTGCACTAAGCTGCACGTGCGTGACAAGCAGCAAAAAACTAATCACTGTCTCCTTTCATAGAAAGTCTGCCAATCCGCAATTTGTTTTCTAAAATGAACCTGCTTTTAAATGCTCGTTTCTGTCTAGTGTACTTGTTTAACTGCTTGCCTTCTGCCCATTGTAATTAAATGGCCGGATGGCTTGCACTTGAGGGCGGGTGGAAGTTTTTAAATGGGAAACTTTTGAACATTTTCTACAGCTGATGATGGCTGTTACATACACTGAGGGAAGCTGAACTCCCCTCAGATCGCTAAAAGCGGAAGCAGGTCTAATAGACCCATGATGTCTTCATAAAGATGACCTGTCACGGTATCTGTGGTATCACATGGGGACTTGTTAGCAATAAAGTTAAGCGTAAAAAAATAAGTCACATCTAAAAAAAAAAAAAAAATCTATGAAACACAAGAACATTTTTTTTTAAAGTCCCCTGCCCCCACGTACACGCACATAGAAACACAAATACGTGTCAGGTGCCACTATGTGCGAAAACGACGATTGCTCCATACGTGTTATATATCACCGCAAACGGAGTAAGGGCAATAAATCTAGGACCATCTAACAATTTTGGGTATGGTAGTTTTTTTGTGATTTTACGGGCGCAAGCAATTTTAAGGCTTGGCATGTTTAGTATCTATATTCCTCATCATCAGGAAGCCGGGCGATGGGTTATGTCCCACCTCCCGGCTTCTTGATTGTTCAGGAAGCCAGGCTGCCTAGCAACAAGTGAAGCCAGCTTCCTAGCCAATCAGGAAGCCAGGAGGCGGGTCATGACATGCCATCAGGCTTCCTAATTCACTCCGAAGCATGCTTCACTTGTTGATAAGCAGCCTGGCTTCCTGACCAATCAGGAAGCTGGGCAGCAACTCATGAACCGCCGCCTGGCTTCTTGATTGGTCAGGAAGCCAGGCAGCCTCAGGAAGTGAAGCCGGGTTTCTTTCGATAGAACACCGGCTTCCCAGGCAATCGGGAAGCCGGGGGCAGCGGGTCATGATCCGCCACCCAGGCTTCCTGATAATTGGGGCAAACTTTGAGACGGGTATATGCATACCGATAAAGTACATAGATGTGTCCCATCTCTGTCCAAAGTGTGGCATACGTACCTGAGACAGATTTTAATCAATCCTCGGTTTCAAGGAATGTCGCACCTGAGGTATGTGTGCTGTGACATACAATATGAACATGCAACAGATTAATTACGGCAGAAAGTACGTGACTTACTTTGTATCACTTTTCTTATTACCGAACTGTCGGAGTTTATTTATTGAATATGCCGCAAAAACAGCACCAGAATGAACTATGGCACAAATAAGAACTACTTGAATTTGGCAAAAAAGTTGGTAGAGGTCCAGAAAATGGTGCAGCATGCGTTTCTCGGGCTGCAAATGCAATATTGAATTCCCTCATTGTGTTCCCACTGGAGTCACTGCATTGTGCACTTTAAAATAATTGGTATACTGTATGTTGGTATTTTTTTTAATCACAGTTTTTTCAAACACGAATTGATTTAGACACCAGAGTGTGGGGTTTTTATTTTATATTTAATTATTTATATATGTTTTTGGGTATATTTCAGTTAGAGCCATACACTATATATATGTTCTGTTGAGATTTTTAGTGAGTTATTCACATTAGTCTGGGCCACTGGTAGGATTAGAAGATCCATTAGCGCAGAAGTCTATTAATAGTGCTCCCAAAACTCAAAGGCAGGTGGGAGCAAAAAGTATGTTAGGGGGTGCTGTTTCAGTCTCAAAGATACAGTATATAGGGAGGCAGTGGGATAGCCCACCAAACTCCATCTGAGAGAAATATTGCTTTTTAAGGCCTTTTACGTTTCTGTGGTGTGGTAACGCTCATTATACATTTCGTTAACATGCATTGTGTTAAGGCAGCCCATTAAAATGAATGTGCTGCCAACATATCCAAAATGTGTCAAAAATCGTATGTGTCATATTTTTTCAAAGGCAACTCTGTCACATAAGGAGGACACAAGCTTTAGGTCCTATTCACACTTTTGCGCTGCAGTAACGCGTGAATAAGCACGTGTTTGTAGATGGGACTTTACCCTCTGGTCTTGTAATTGGTTCACTGTTTTTCCTGAAGACTGCTCAGATCTGAAAACGTATCTAAACCCAAGAACAAAAATGTGTTATGTTGCACAATACCGATCCTTTAGATGTGGTGGCTGCATTCATTTAATTTTTTTCACGCTTCCTTTCGTTTATTTTCACCTGGTGATACTGCCAGTAACACACTTCCCTGAGCTAGGGTGTCACTGTGGGACAGAAGGTATGTTAGGACTTCAGAACATCCCACCCTTTCTTTATCTCTGTAATATAGGGGGAGGTTTTCTATAGTGCACAGAGAGAACTAAGCAGAGCTGATAACATTGTGAAGATTCAGGAATTTGTGAGCTCACTGGATTTCTATCGGGGTTAAAATCTGGTCACATTTTGAGCAGATATAACCAAACCCTTTCCTTTCAGTGGTATATTTAACATACCAAAAGGGAGCAAATAAAAGAAGTTCTGGCTTACATACGCTTTAAGGTCCACCTATAGACATCCCCAGCATTGTCCTGCCTTATGAGTTTCATCTTTGGTAAAATACTAGCAAAGAGTGCCTCATGTTTTAAAGGATTTGGGAGACACAGTATCATACATAGGATACCTATATGGTCCCAAAATGTCTCTGAATGTTACAGAGAGATCTAGATGCTTGTGACACATAGCTTCATATTATGACCTCTCTTATACTGTACAGTCTTGGTTTTAACTACTATATAAAGTTGTCTTTTTATGCTTTATCAGCAATCATGCTTTTACTTCTGCGTATAGTTTAAATTTATAGTCATGTAAATTTAAATGATTGCAGTTGATCTCACCAGTATGCATCTTATTTATTATATTTCAGTGCAGGAAATCAGAATATTTCCACTGTAATTACAACTGATAATCTTCAGGATACATAGAAGCCTGTAAACATTTAAAATGTCTTATACAGAAGCTTGGGATAATGTGATGTCCTATTCACTGGATGTCTTATAGTCATACATTTGCTGAAAGAAAAGAAAAATTATTTCATGGTCATCTACATACCTTGCAAAGATATTTAGAAAACAGTTTTTTGGGGGATAGAGCTTGGCACGATGTGTGTGTGTGTGTATATATATATATATATATATATATATATATATATATATATATATATATATATATATATATATATATATATATATATATATATATATATATATATATATATATATATATATATATATATATATATATATATATATATAATCAGGGACGTGCTGTCAGATCGGCATCTAACAGGTTACACAGCAGGGAAATCCTCCCCACTGTGTAACCTGTCACGGAGCCTCAGTGGTGAGGAGCAAGTGAGGGACAGGGAGGCTCCTCCCTGTCTCCTCCCTTCCACTAGCTTGGGGACAGGTTGAGGCGGAGCTTCGTCCAGGAGGTGGGGGGTTTGGGGGGGTATGCTGGGGAATGCCTCAACCCGAGCAAGAGGTACCGCACGTCACTGATATATATATACAGACACACACACACACACACACTAATATGATCATGGGGATCCTGTAATACACTGCAGTATCCACAGCTACTACTGTATAGTAAATTAGAGCATCTTCCTGGGTCCCTGCTACAGCTGCTGTGCTGAGAGACCTTTCTTCCTCCGTCCTCTTTTACATTGTACAAAAAAGAAAAAGGGTAATAGATTGTGTTTCTGTGCACTAAAATGAACTTAAGTGTAGTCTTTTCAGAAAATGCGGGCTTGATAAACAGTTGCGTTAATATCATGGGACATACAAAATTGCAGCTGCCACCATTTTTTTTTCTACAGGGTCTTTTGCTTTTAGAAAATATTTAATTCTGGGTAGGGTATAAGTAGTCATCAGTCCTAAAATGTGAATTTTAACATATGTGCAAAAAACCTCAAAAACTGTTCTGACAACGAAAGGGTTAATGCAGCCACCACATCTTAGAACTGATAAGCTGCAGTATATTAAATGTTTGCTTTTGGGTTTAGATACTAAACATTTTTACCATTTCAATAAAGTCTTTTTATTTTGGCAAGTAGTTTCCTCATGCAGTTCTTTATTATTTGTTGTAGCATTTATTATATATTTTGTTTATTGAACTGTGGCAGCCCCACATAGAATGGATAGTGTGTATCAGTATGTATCTAACAAAACAAGATGGTCCTAAATGCTACAGTGCTTATAGTGTTATATTATAGCTTTTCTAGAGCAATTAAAAAAATTTGCACATATACCTATGTGCTACATACCTATGTACCTATACAATAAACAATGTATATACCTATGTTTTATGTTTTAATGAAAATTAATTTTAGTTGCGCTCACTTTATTGTTAAGTCTGAATTAAAACTGTTTTTCTTTTTTTTAGACGATGAGCTAGTGATAAACCCCAAAGTTTTTCCACATATAAAGCTTGGAGACATTGTAGAAATTGCTCATCCCAATGATGAATATAGGTGAGGAGCAATCAGGGTGGATGCACAGTTACATCAACACATTTATAATCTCTGGTCTTTTATGTCACCCTCCATTCAAAACCTTTCTGGCTTTTATTCTGGGTCAGTAAAGTGTCTGTCTTTTATACTTCTAGAACCAGATCATGACCTATATTAATAAATAGGGGTTTTTTTTAATGGCTATATGTGAAAAATGAGAATGTCTTGTCCTTTCATGGGAGATCAACTTCTTATTTATTCTTGATAAAATGTGGCAATTAAAGAAGACTTTGCTTTTTTATTGTGAAAGCTGTACCAAGAAAAGGCAAGCAAACCACCAGTGTTGCTGATAGGCTCCGCGCAGCTGATCTTTCCCTATTACTAAGTAACCAGTCCTTGCTCTGGACTTTGTCCCTATGTGGAGATGGCCTTCTTGGTATATGAGCAACGTTTTGGTTCCTCATGTCAGAGCTATCCTCCTGATGATTTGTGATCTGATAACTGGTGGATAATATTTAAGAAGCAGCAAGAAAGGTGGAGTAAGTACAAAGTCACCAGCTGAATGAAGCACAAGTAAGGAGATCCTTGCTGTTCAGATCCTCAGATATACAGTTACCGCCCTCTCCAGAAAGCCCTCAGTAGATCAGTGAGCAGCACAATAGTAGCACCTCTAAATTACACTCCAAATCTTTCAAGACTATGAGTCTAGTTAGATGATCTCACACTGCTGATATACAGCTACGAGGGACCAGAACAGATCTGGTATTCCACTGCTATTTTACAGGAGGAAATCTTGTCACAAAATACTTTTTTTTACACACTGCACAATGTGTAAATTACCACTAAAAAGCTGCATGTTATGTATAGAGGGCTGCTACAATGTATACAAATCTTACCTTTTATCATGCTGTCTTGTACACATAACTCTTGGCTTCTGGGTGCTGCAGGAAGTGAGGCATGCGACTCAAGCAGTGAAGTGCTTCAGTCGCATACCCTCCCCTACTTGCCCATCCACAAATGCCTTGTATACAATACGTTCTGTGATTGGAGGAGGAGAGAAAATGTCAAATCAGAGATTGCTTTGTATTCGTTTGGAAAAATACAAGGCATATAGAGAATGGGCAAGGAGGGATGTGGATGCTGAGAGTTGTGTGGTCACACATGACCTACATCTTTTTAGTGATAATTTACATACCCAGCGCAGTGTGTAAATTATCATTTTTCCCCAACATTTAGCTTTAAAGTGCTGCTTGGGTCAGTAAGTTAAAGTGACGCTAAACTCAGGAGCTAAATCCTAAAAATGCATTCAAGTACCTTAACTATTAATAACATCTTATTTGTGTATCACTCGGCTGTAGATCCTTAAATCATCTCTGAATTCCTGGTGACAATGTCCTTCCTTCTGGAGTGTGGCTACTTTTTTCCCCATGGTCCCTGTGTGTGTTGTAAAGTAGTCGCCGCTCCAAGCTTGCTCTTTTGATTGAATACAATCTCAATACAAATTAGTAAACTAGACATGAGATTGTAGTTCATCACGGGAGCGAGGCACCATGGAGAACAAAAGTAGCCACCCTCCAGAAGGAAGGACAGTGTCAGCTTGAATTCAGAGATGATTTGAGGGTTTAAATGTTTGTTAATAAGTGTATTGAAGGCAAAAGGTGGCCCAACGAAGTACTGATGGGGTGGTCATCATAATCTGGCCACTCAATGTATATGAATACAGTTTTAAGATTTTACTCCTGAGTTTAGTGTCACTTTAAGAGCTAGCTGTCATGTTGGTACTGAAGCTTGTTGGTACTGAAGCTTGAAACATCATATTCTTACTGTCTTAATGTGCAACAGTAGTTGTTGTAAATTAGTTTGATACTTGTATTGTTTAAATGTTTCCAGTGAAGAAACACAGCTATCTTCTGCACAGTGTATATTTTATATTAACTTTTTATATGGTTAAAATGTGAATTCTTGCCTTCAGCAGGGGATTTACGGCATGCTTGTCAAGCACGCCTTCAGTGTTTTGGGGACCTTTAAGGAAAAATTAATTTTCCTTAGTCTGCTTCTTCTATTTCCAGTGTTAATAGGAAGTACCAATTAAGTACATTGAGCAATCTTAAACTTTCCAAAGAGACATTCATAGTGAATTAATAACAATAGAAAGAAAACTGGGATGCATATACAATTGAGGGCAAGTAGAAATCACCTTTTAATGGTTTTATCACTGTTATTACAACTTTCTGATTGGTTGCTTAGGGCAACTCATTGCAATATTTTATTATGAAAGCTATTCCACCCTTATTTTGTAAAGACGTGTAAAGAATAAAGGGGATGTACAAAGTACAGCAAGTCAGAAATTATCTCTTAACTGGAATTTGTTTGCTGTTGGTTTCTGTATTTCACTTTTTCATTACTTCAATGTATAACTTTATCATTATCCATTACTTCACCTAGTTATGTTATACTGCACTTATCTTACATTTTCTTTGTTACATATTTTTTACTGATGTTTTGTAGCATGTGAACATGTTGATTTAAATATTGTATTTTAACAGCCCTCTGTTATTGCAAGTGAAATCACTGAAGGAAGATTTACAGAAAGGTACTCTACGTATGCCTTGCTTATAGCTCCTGTAATTTCATTTTGGTCTTTTCTTTGTTTGTATGACCAACTGACCATTCACTCTCTGTGCAGAAACCGTCAGCATTGATCAGACAGTGGCTCAAGTTTTTCGCCTTAGGCCATACCAGGATGTTTATGTTAATGTAGCTGATCCAAAGGTAAATTCATAGACTCCTTATCTGATATTCTCTTATCCTACTTTTGAATATGGTTATGCTTTAATCCTTTGGATTTTACATGGAGGCCATACTTACATTTTTGCACTTGTACTACTGATTAAGGGTGTCTGCATTAGTTAAATTCCTTCAGATAATCCAAAAAAAACAGCTCCCCACCAGGCACCCACAGCATTTATATTTCAGGTCTGGCAGCAGCATTTATGATAGACTGAAGGGAGTATAGCCTGTGTATAGGTAGGCTAACAAGGAGGGAGTTGCCATAGTCAAGATGAAAGATGACAAGGTGAATAAGGTCTCGTTCACACCTAGGCGTATTGCATATGCGCGTCTGTCGCGCGTTTCCGAAGGCTACTTGGCTGTATCCCAATGGAAACGCGCAACATAACGGCCCAAAGTAGTACATGTACCTTTTCAGGCGTGGGCTGTTTTGTAGCGCGTTAGGGACGGGCGGAAATACGCCAAGGTGAATACAATGGGATTTATATTTTTGAGCGTTTTGTAGAGCGTTCGTCGAGCGTAGAACGCGCTACAAAACGTTTAGGTGTGAACGAGGGCTTAGTATCTTGGTGGTGTTATTGGTTAAGAAGGGGTGTATTTTAGAAATGTTTTAAAGGTGAAGGTGGTAAGATTTGAACAGTGATTGAATGTGGGGCTTATATGAGAGGTCAGAGTGCAGGGTTAAACCGAGAACCCTGGCATGAAGGGAGGTACTGATACTTGTGGTATTGATCTTGATGGAAAAGTTGGGGAGGTGGCATGGGGGGTTGAAATATAATGAGCTCAGTTTTAGAAAGATTGACTTTTAGAGAGTGGTGTGACATCCATATTGATATATAAGTAAATTTATAATGTGTGAGGAGACAAAGAATGGTGTAGGCTGAATAGTAGAGAGCTAGATTTGAACTTCATCAGCATAGAGATGGTATTGGAAGCCATTGGAGGCAATCAACTGGACAAGGGAGGGTGTGTAAGTAGAGAATATGGGTCTGAGAACAGAGCTTTGGGGAGCCCTATGGAAAGAGGAAGAGGAGGTGGGCTTTAAAATGTTGTTAATATGCATGTTTTGTGTTCTATATGTTTCTAGGATGTGACACTTGACCTTGTGGAGCTGACTTTTAAGGATCAGTACATAGGACGAGGGGACATGTGGAGACTGAAGAAAAGCTTGGTGAGTCATAAAATGATTTTTCTTAACATTTAACCCTGTTTTATGAAAAAAATGTGACTCAGCATTAAAGAATAACCCTCCCATTTACAGGTGAGCTCCTGTGCTTACATTACCCAGAAGGTAGAGTTTGCTGGAATCAGGTAAGCTGATTTTCCTTATGTATATGGCACTTTGGACAATTGGGGGGTGGACTTACTAAGGCAAACAGCCTGCTCATTTTACAAGGGAATTTTCCCTTGGCTTGGTAAGTGAGGTGAAGCTCTACTGACTTCCATCATCCAATCATGTGCAAGCAAAAAAACAGTTTTTATTTACCTTCCACCTGATTGGGTATTCTTTGCAATGTGAATTTTCACAGCATTACATGAGCTAAGAGAAAACTCCCTCGCAAAGTGAAAATTCAAAGTAAGCAACCTATTTGCATTTAGTAAATCAACTACTTAGTGTAAACTAAATTCTTCCTATGTCTAGCTTTGCTTCAAGTTATCGCAGCCTGGTTAAAAAATATACCTCTATTCCGTACTTGGCTTTAAACCCCTTCATAAAATTGTATCCCACTGAGCAGATACCTGTCTGGTAAGGTCAGAAGCTGAAGTCTAATTCTTATCTGTATAGGAGAATGCCATTACATTTAAAGTCCATTTCCACCTTTGTAAGTGATTGGCATTTATTGTGGTAATGTAGAGGTGCAGTGATGATGTATATGTGTGTAAATTTTTATGACTCGCATTGCTGGCTTTATTCATTAAATTTTTTTTACTTTCAAAGTTTTTTTATTGTTTTACATATTTTTCTTTCCTTGACTAGGAATAGGTTGTTACATCAAATAACATGTATAAAGGCATATACATGACAGAACCATCACCACCCTCAATGTAGTTGGGCAAGAACAATGAGGCCATAACGTTAGTGCAGGAATATATCAAAATAATAATCTACCTTGTTCCTGGGGGATACTTAAATATTCGTTATGTCCCTCAAAAAAGGGTACAGTATTGATTCAACATAGCAACATACTTCGATTCTGTTTAGCTAGCGTTTTATTCATTTTTTTAATTTTATTAAGCCTGGAGCCTAGAAATTCAAACATTTCTCCACAGGAAACTCAGTCTGAAACCGGGGTCGGATATAAAGTAGACTAAACAGCTCTCCCCCTCCCTGTTATTCATTGTAACACGATCAGTAAACAGTAGCTCTGCCTTTTCACACAATACACTGTCCGGGGAGGGGGGTGCCACTATGAAAACTAATGTGAGGGGGGGGGTGGGGGGTGGAGAGCTCACTTGTACTACACACACACACACTACTTGCAAAGCACAGTTGCCGCCATTTCCATAAGGAGATGAATAGGAAAGCTAACAAAAAAATTAAGTTTTTGTGTGTTCGTATACAGCAACTGTATATGCCTAATTAATAAAATGATACATGATTGTATCATTTTATTAATTTTCAATAATATTATATTATTTCAGTGTTGCTGCTATCACGCATCTGGCGTGGGGTCTATTTTTTTTATTTGAACTGCATATGCCTGCTTCATGTTCACCTGGTGTAAATTGCTGGCATATGTTTTTTTACAAATACCTCTGCAAAGGTGGAAATGAGCTTTAAGTTGTTCAATTTACAGACTCTCAAAAGTAATTTGTATTGTCCATATATACTGCAGTCCCATATATACTGCAGTCTGATTGCGTGTAATCATTGCAAGGAAAGCTTATTACATTTTACATATTATTTGGATAATGTAGGTGTACACAGAAGACAATAATTCTATTAGATTTTGTGGCCAAATCTAATGAGAAGCTGTGACAATACAAGCCCCACCAGCAGTTCACTGCCTGGTATTTTCATACACGCCAGTGTGTGTTTGAAAGCCTCTGTTCACCTCCATGATGAATAGGCCTATTTTTCACATATAGTACTGCAGAGTATATGAAGATGCAGTCCTATTTTTTTTTTATTCATTTTTTTTAGTGCTGACTTGTTATGTGTGCAAATGATCTAGATATGACTAGAAGCTGCTAACTATACACACACATGAAAATTCAAGCACTAAAATCTGTGTCACTGTGGGACTGTACCATTACTTTTGGCTATATATTGATTTAAAGTATTAGTTTAGGCACGCAGCTACATAACCAAAATAAATATGCATTAAATGTCTTTACAATTCTGTTCAGCCAGTTTTCTAATCCAGACAACCCCTGCCAAATACTATAGAAAATCCAAACTCTGTAGTTTCTCCTTAAAGAAAGTAATACAGCTTGGTCAAGGCTTGTCTTTGAATAGTTGAGAAGCAGCTCAATGATCTTTGTACTCTGTTCTTTAGTCAGCCAGCTCTGTTATGTTCATAACTCTGTGCAATGTAGTAAAAACTTGCTGGTTTACCAAACTGCTTCTTCCACTTCCAGTCACTGATGTGCAAGGGATTGCATCTACATCTACAAGTAGATGTACTATAACAAAAATAACCAATAATAAATAAATAACTGGTTTGGATGTTTGTCTTTTACATGTGCCTACACGTTAGGAGTTTTAGGGTTAGCTGTTAAAACTTGTAGTTAGGTTTTATGAGGTAAATATTAGGATATATTTTGGGTTTCATATTAAGTTAGTTTGGGCGCTGGGGGTTTAGGGTCAGATTAAGTGTTAAAGATTAAGACTTTGAATAATACCATCGAGAAACGTCCTGTCACAACATTGATGGCCAAATTGTCCTTTATTTTTGTGTAACCTGTGCTGTCGTACTTTCTTGTTTTGGATGTTTATTGTTTTTTTTTAAATTGTTTAAAAAAGTTAATAAAGAATATCTGATTTAAAAAAAAGATTAAAACATATAGCTCAATTGAACTTTCTGTTGAAATTGGCTAAATACATGCCAGCTGAATCACAACTCAAGGTGTGTATAGCCCTGTAATTTGTTTTCTTTAAAAATCAGCCATAGCCTAAGTAGAAATTCCTGTACCTTGCCAGTATGCTGTAGAGTGCAACCCTTGCTCTCTGTGGGGAAGCAGTGATCTCTTTGCAGAGGTCCAACACGCCCACCTGCTAAGTTAGAGCCAGAGCTCTCCAATCAGCAGGGAGCCTGGGCATTGCTGTTTGGAGAGCTATTAGACTGACTCAGTAGGGATGTATCAGACCTCTGCAAAGGCGCCACTGCTTCCACACAGAGAACAAGGATCCCACTCTGCATCTGCTGGCAGGGGACAGGCTTTGGAAAGAAAATAAACTGTAAATCAATTAATACCTTTTTTTTTTTTTTTTATGTACCTTTATGTAAATTTACCTGGTTTAGTGAGAAGAGTGTAAAGGTTAGAAGATGATCTATTTTACCTTTTTTATTTTTTAGTTTACACTTGTTTTTGGCCTCAAAATTCCCCTTTAAAAACATGCCTGGTGGCAAAACCCAACGTATTGTTGCATGATGTGGTTCATCAATGGTCTGGGGACCTGTAAGTCAACCGAGGTCTGTGGATAGTGATTGTCTGGTGGGTTTAGAAACAAACCTAAGAAATGTTAAAGGAGAACTATGAGGTGAGTGCTTTTCACTCACCTCATAGTTGTAGCCGACCTGTGACGATGAGACTGTCACAGGTCGGCTCAGTAGATCGAGAGGTGAGCGAACACATATACGTGAACACATTCGCTCACCTCTCGATCCTGTCACGGCTCCCTGACAAATGCAAAGACTTTGTGCTAAAAAAACTACAACAAAAACTGCATGAGTTTGAGAAATATACCCAAAAATTGACTGCAAGACTTGTGTTTAAAGCATATCTAAATCCAAAAATAAAAAACGTAACATATTGCAACTTAGCAGTCCTTAGATGTGCTTGCTGCGTTCATTTTTAGGCTACTTCCACCTGGTTATCCTACCAATAACACACTTCCTGTCCTTCAATGACAACACTCCATAAAGTGCATTGCCACCTAGACTCCACTCCAAGCTTGGACGACAAAAACCTCCCCCTTCCCTCATCTCAATTATTTAGAAGAGAGTTGCTATGTAGTTCACGGAAGATGGTTTGGAAAACCATTTGATATTTCAGTTCTGTAAATGGCCAAGGGGAGAGAGGAGGTTGAAGAACACTAGTGCTTCCATGTATGAAAGCCACAGCTCTCATACCCACAGCTGGCTTGAAAAAAACTATAGACTTAAAGGAGAACTATGAGATGAGTGATTTCCACTCGCCTCTTAGTTCTAAGCCGACCTGTGACAATGAGACTGTCACAGGTCGGCTCAGTAGATCGGGAGGTGAGCGAACACATACCGGGTTCCCTCACCTCTCGATCCTGTCACGGCTCTCTGCCGTGACAGGGGGAGGCTGGATTCTCCGCTCTGATCCGCCAGCGCTGACTGGTGAAACGGACGGGGGAGGGGGCGGGTACAGCTGGCTCTGCCTCTAGATAGGCAGAGCCAGCTGTCAGTCACGCAGCTGGGCGGATCCAGACATAATTGTCAGGATCCGCTTCAGCTGCGGCGTCTTAGTATACCGCGAGCAGGAGCTTGCGGTATACTGCGGCGTCTGAGTATACTGAGCCTAGGGTGACGGGAGGATGCTAGTTTGTGTCCTCCGGTTACCCTAAGGAGAACTATGGGGAAAAGCTTTAACCTCATAGTTCTCCTTTAAGGTTGTCATTGATGACCTCCTTCTGAAATGCTGGGTTGTTTAACCAACAGAGCGTAGAAAAGCCTCATCTCCTCCACCACTATCCGATAAATTTGTCACATTTCAGGTTACAACGTATATATAAGGGATATTTAATGGTGTATATTCAAATGCTCTGAAAATGTGGCTGTCCAGGAGTCAATATGATGAAGACAAGTGAAATGTCCCACAAACTGGGTTCTCTAAATATTGAAATGATGACATTTAGATTACTGTTACAACTTCTTCTTTATGACAGGGCACAAGCTGGAGAATTATGGGTAAAGAGTGAAAAGGTGACCTGTGGATACATTAGTGAGGACACGCGGGTGTGTATGCGTTTTACACTTTTTTAACATTGATTTATTGACCACCTGTAATAATTCTACTGTGCTTCCCTCCTTTCTTAGGTCGTGTTTCGATCTACTTCTGCCATGGTGTACATATTTATACAAATGAGCTGTGAAATGTGGGACTTTGATATTTATGGTAATAGTTTTGTCACTCTAGATTGTTACAGTTATATAAACTTCTAGAAGCACATCTACTAAAAAGTACAGTATGCTCGTTAGAAGATTTCTGGTTACTGGAGTTAGATGTTTCTAAAACTAAAAACTGAACTCCAGGCAAACTGCTATATTTAAAAAGATGAAATACTGGTAAGGGAGCCGTTTTGTTTGATTGTTTGATTTGTATTTGTGTGCATTAATTCCTAAGCACAGCCAGCCTGGAAACCTGACTTATGTTTTTTACTGCAGTTAGTGACCAATATTTGTTTTTGGTTTTGGATTGCATAGGGAAGAGGTAAAAAAACCCTATCAGTGAAGAGAATTGCTTAGACATCTGCCACCAGAACACAATGCCCCCATTGAAAGATTTACCCCTCACCTTTTGTTCTAGTGACAATTCCATCTCTGTCTTAGTGAGAAATGTCACAGTACACATGGAGAGAATTAATTTTCCCAGTAGGGGGTAGAATACAAGGGGGGAAATTCATAAATACTCTTTTTCATTTTCAAAGTTTTACTGAACAAAATGAACAGAGAAGCTGATTGGTTGCTATAGGCAACTGCTCCAGATTCTGTCTGCTCATTTTTATGAATTTAAAGTTTGTTTGTTTTTATTTTCGGTTTCCACAATTCATTTAGTTGCACCTCTTGTAAAATGCATTAGATATTTGAAGAGTAAGTGTTGTTTTTATTGTTTGTATTTATAGCTCAGTAAGCATAGCTGGATCTCCTGTAACTGACATATTTTGGCCTTTGCTCTATGTTGGACCATTTGTTTACAATCTCCATATGTTCACCAATAGCAGTCATGTAAAATGTGAATTTATTTGCAGGTGACCTTTACTTTGAAAAAGCTGTGAATGGATTCTTAGCTGATTTATTCAACAAATGGAAGGTAAATGTCTTAATATATATTATATATCTTAATTAGGGATGCACCAATACTGGTTTTTCGTTATCGAGCACCGATATTTTATTTTTATACAGGTACTTCTGCTAGCATGGAGCCGACTTCCTGGGCAATCATGAAGCCGGACGGCTTGTCATTACCCGCTGCCCGGCTTCTTGATTGGCCGGGAAGCTGGCTCCATGCTGTTTTGCCTGCTCAATGCTGATTAGCTGGGAAGCCGGCTTCCTGGCCAATCAGCATTGAGCCGGCTTCCCAGCCAATTAGGAATCTGGGAGGCGGGTCATTACTTGGCTTCCTGAATGGCCGGGAAGCCAGCTCCATGCTGATTGGCCGGGAAGCCGGCTTCCCAGCCACTCAGCATGGAGATGGCTTTCTCGGCCAATCGGGAGGTGGGTCATTACCCGCCGCCCGGCTTCCTGATTGGCCGTGAAGCCGGCTCTATGCTGATTGGCCATGGAAGCCGGCTTCCCAACCAATCAGCATGGAGCCGGCCTGATTGGCTGGGAAGCTGGCTCCATACTGTTTTGCCGGCGCTATGCTGATTGGCTGGGAAGCCGGCTTTGATGCATTTACATGCGTTTAAGATCAGAATAAATAGTGCATGCAGCATTTATTTCCCCACACCGGAACGGACTGCACTGGTGGGAACAGAGCCCAGAAATACCATAGGAATGGAATGCCTTTCAGGTGCGGACAAAAACTGTTCTGGTCTGAACATGGGGTGAACAAGCCCTACATAGGAAAATGTACTTATTAAGATGGCTCAAGCAGAGACACAACCAAGAGCAGTGCACATAACTAATTCAACAAAACAAATTCAGTACTATTAAGGTTTTAGTTAAAATTTAAATTCAATCTGGTATTGACCTGCACTTTAATTTTGGAAAGAGGTCACCTCTACCATTTTCTCTTTACTCAGGAGAAGAACTGCAGTCATGAAGTGACCGTTGTACTTTTCTCTAGAACATTTTATGGTGCCAAATCTACAGGTATGTCAAAGTTGTTTGCTGTATTATACACTGCATGCATGCATTTAGCCTTAACACAATCAGTTAATTGTTGTTGTTAGACTCTACATCCTGTGTGTTCTCTATTTTAGATGAATTTCCTGAATCTCATCGTTCTAATGCCACTATCATTCAGGATCACAAGGGCAGATTCTATGAAGATTTCTATAAGTATAAACACTTGTCTTCCTTTATTTACTATAAAACTCCTTTAAAGTGACAAACAAGCAAATGAACATAAATTAATATGTAAAAAAAGAACTTATAATAATATTCACAAATATCTACAAGAAAGTAACCATATTTGCACTAACTTGACCTGTCTGCATTTTATGTTATATTGTCAGTTATAGTTGGCATTACTGTGTCTCCTTTTTGTTTGGCTCAGGGTGGTTGTACAGAATGAGAGGCGAGAAGAATGGACATCACTCTTGGTGACTATAAAGAAGCTGTTCATCCAGTACCCAGTGCTTGTGAGACTTCAGAATGCAGGCAAGTGGATTTGTGTAGGTTTGTAGGCATGCCCTCTAATTGTGTATGAACACCAATACAGAAAAAAACCTTTCACTCTTTCTCTAGATTAAAAAACATTTAAAAAGTCCTCCCTGCAAAGGAAATTTAACCCACCCCACCTCCAGTCTTCGCCCTTCTCTCAGCTTAGTTGCAGAGAATCTTCAGCATACAACATTTCTGGAAGTGTTGGAAGCATGGTTCCCCTCTGCTCTCTTTAGTTCCTTTTATTGGCTCCTACTTCACTACAGAATGCAGTACTAGTGGAAGGAAGCGAGTACCAGGCATCTGACAAAACAGTGCCAGATGCTCAAATTTCTGCAGCACGACTGTAAAGAGCGCAGAATGGCGGTGCATGTAGTCAGACATATAAATATTCTTTTGCAAACAGAGCTTTACAAAAAACTTTTAATCAGGCGGCAAAGTCCCTTATAAATGTTTTTTTTTTGTTCAGTATATATGAAATGTTGCATATGAATATTTCCAATTTAAATCCCCTTCTAGCAAGTGGAGTTCTAGGCTCTTTCTTAAGATATTTATCAGGTATCCTTAACTACGTTACTGAAAGCGGTTGTAGTTGACACTGGCGCTCAGATTACAAACTGAACGAGTCAGGAACGTATCTCAGACCCTTCCTACCCTCCTTTTCCTAATGACAAGGGCAGTATAAAGTTCCAATTTCTACTTCACTGTCTCTTGAAAACCTAGGTACACCTGTATAAAATGTTTATTTCTATATGAAAATGCTATATAACTACCAGAAGAAAACCAAAAAAGATATTACAAAAAGAATAAAAAAGACAAGTAAAATGTATCCAAAACCATTCAAATTTCCCTAATAAGTATTAAACAATGATCTTGATTTTTCTGTTTCCAGAGTCTTTTCCGCCTGGACATAACTCGACCTCTGACCAGGGAAACTATCTGGAAGCTATTAATCTATCTTTTAATGGTATATATGAAAAGTTTGTAGTAGAATTTGTGAATTTGTAATATGGCAGCTTTATTTTAGCCTAAATCTTTTATTACAAAGTTTTCTGTGCTTTTGATTTACCAGTGTTTGACAAGCACTATATAAATCGAAACTTTGATCGCACTGGCCAGATGTCTGTTGTGATCACCCCAGGAGTTGGAGTTTTCCAGGTTGATCGGTCTCTCATGATTCTGACCAAACAACGCATGATTGATAATGGTGAGAAAGCAGTGCACGTTTGCTTATAAATTATATCAACTGATGGCATACATGAGCTTTATATTATTGTGATCAAAAGCAACCTGATGTGCATATAATATCATGGAGGGAATTCAATGTCAAGCAGAAATGAGTACTTTTGACTATCACAGATATATAGCAGATTTTACTAGAGTCTCTGAATCTGTAGGATTATTTATCTCTAATTCGTATTCATGCATAGCAAGCTAACGTTATAAAATGATAATAACATTTTAGATAGGTTTGCGGCTGTACTGGGATCATAACCAGCACAGACAAATGTTCTTTTCCGTCTTTCCCAGTAAGAGAGCTGCCTGTGTGTGGCCACCTGTCCCTCTACCGTTTAAGTGGAACCGATATTAAATGTTTCAACAAATGTCCCCACACCCCATCTTTCTCCAATATTTACTCTAATTAAAAATGCAGAAACCTGATTAAACGGCCTTCCAGCTTTCTTATTTTATTTCCCAGGACAGTTGTGTGCAGGCATGAGCCAGCTGCATAGACATCCACGGACTGCCTGTTTTGTCTAATATTTAAAGCACATACGGAGCTTTGCAGCCTTGGGCAACACAGCACCAAGCTGTGGGTTGCTGGCCTCTAGAATACAAGCAATTGAACACATTTCTGCATTTTTTTTATTGTACAGTAGTAGGTGTTGTAGAATGTAAGGGTGGCGTAGGCTTAAATGTTTTCTGCTATTTCAGTGAACCTATGGCCAGGCAGTATCCATGAAAATCCCCCCCAACCCAATGATACTCACCTATTTAGCGACCCACCACTACTGCTTCCACCTCAGCCAGCACAAAATGCCCAGTGCTTCTTGGTGTGGGGGAGTATATGGCTACCTACCATTGGAAAGTGTGCAACAGTGGTCAGGGAGAGGTGGGGGAGTTGATGCTTTTATTACACACTCTCACTTTGAATGGGCAAAGAGGCAGGTCCTCTGTATAAAAAAAAAAACCTTGTTGCCCTGTGTAGCACAGGCATTGTGAAGCATTTCACCCTCAAACCTCACAGCTGAAACACTGAAGTAATTCAGTTTATTGGCTATGGGTGCATTTAAAGCACTGCAGGGAACCATACTGGTGTTAAAAGGCCCTAAGCCATCTTGGCAGCTTACTCTGCCACTCTTCTTCGCAGAGTACATGCTCTGAATTTACATTAGAGATTAGAAGGCAGCCAAGTTATTGCTAGGATAGCGGAGCAGAGAAGCTGAGCTGCAGAGAGGACAACATGAATGACTTCATTATGTCTGCTGTGAACTTTCAAGCTGAATTCCTCCACAGTGTCTAAAGCTAAAGAGAACAGGGAGGGTTCATTACGAAGCACAGTTTCTTCTAGTTAAGAACTTGCAAATACTTCAATGTCCATAGCCTAGCCACAGGTTTAATGTAAAGTCCCTATATATGTTCATTTCTACCCAGGGTTTATCCTGCAGCTTTATTTGACAGCATTTATTGGGATATCACCTTAGAGAAATTAGAAAACAGCCTAAGGATCATAGATATCTTCAGGAAAATAACAATTAGGGATGTGGTAATGGGCTGTTTTAGGAAGAACAAATTTAGACCTAAGATGAGAAACAGAAGCTTAAATGAAAAAAAACAAAACATTGAAGCTTAGATTTTAGTGGTCCTCTTGATTTTGTATTTAATGTTTACAGGAATTGGTGTAGACCTGGTGTGTATGGGAGAGCAGCCTCTTCATGCCGTGCCTTTATTCAAGGTAAAAAATTCTACCCATCTCAAGGATGATTCTCTCTCCAAAGAACTGAATACTTCAAGTGAGCCCGTTTATAAAGTTAGTATTTAAAGTGACCCTTTGCTAACTCTGAATGGGCAAAACAGGCTGGAAATATGTCTCTATGCATGTTCACATAACTTAGTGTTAATGTAGCTGCCATAATCCAGGTGCTCTATAATGCAATACTTGACTAGCATTTGTGGTTGAGACCTCAGGCCCACTGTCTTTTGTACATCTCAATGAATTTACGACCACAGGAGCTGATGAAATGTGCAAAACACTGTGTCTAGGCTCTATGCATGCATATCTGTAAAAAAATAAGTCAAAGCAACTGGACTTGCTGTATTTTTCTTGAAGACGTTTCACTGGTCATCAAACCAGCTTTCTCAATTCAAAATACAGCAAGTTCAGTTGCCTTGACTTATTTTTTATAGATATACCATGACCTGGATGAATAAGAAACTTCACAGACTCTATGCATGCACTTCTAATGCAATGCTTTTAACATCCCCTGCTTGTGTTGAATTGACCACAGGTAAACTTTAAAGTAGTATTAAACTCACAAAGTTATTTTTTAAAATAATGAATCCAAATAAAACAAATATACACTGCCCAGCAAAAGTATTTCTTTATAACACTTACTGTGATGATGATTCCAGACAGCTGGTTCCAACCTTCTCAGCTCAGCTTGCCTGAACTTCCTGTCCAGTAGAAGATCACAGGGGACAGAGCAGACTCCAGCAGTTGTCCATCTACTAGCTTGGAAAAGGGAGGAGCAGTGGGCAGGGTAGTGGCTTTCTTTGCTTTGCTATGTCTGTCTGTGTGTTTGTAGAGACATATACAGCTTACTAGCACACACAAGAGTGGCTCCACAGGACCCTGCAAGGAAAAGGAGCCACCCTAAAATAGGATATCAGGACCAGTGATCAGGGGACCAGCCTATTCTGCAGGAAACTAAAACTTAAACATCAAGGAGCAGCATCCATTGTATGCGATGTAATCAGCATTTGAAATAGCGTAAAAATTTTTGATTTTAAGATCACTTTAAGAATTCAGATCTTTACACATTTGTTTTTGTTGCAGCTGCACAATAAAAGTAGCCCTGGAGACTCACGTCCTGTGGATGATTACAACATTCCACACTGGATCAACCACAGGTGAGAACATAAGCTCAAGTGCTGATATAGTCTTCCTGACATAGTCTAAAGGTGGCCATACACTCTACAACCATCGCAAGACTTTAGTCTTGCGATGGTTGTAAAGGGATTAAAAAAACTTACGATCTGCCTATCTTGGACAGGCAGATCGCACTCTCGATCATCGCAAGCCCACCCCCCTGAGGGGCGGGCTTCCGATGACCGCAATGCTGAACGGGCAGTGTGCGCGTGCGCACACCGGCCCGTTCAGCATTTATCTTCCGAGCACCGTTCTAACCAGCCGAGAATCGTACGATTCCCGGCTGGTTTTCGAACATGCTGGTTCGACAGAAGACGTGCGACCGTACAGTAGAAACGGTCGCACGTCTCCGTTCACACTGCTCGATTATCGTACGAAAAACCGATCGCATACGATTATCGTACGATAATCGTGCAGTATATGGGCACCTTAACACTGCTTATCTTTTCTAGCTTCTACACGTCGCAGAGTCAACCACTGAATAGCAGCTTCACCCCACGCATCAAACTGGCTGTTCGAAAGGTATAATGAAAGAGATTTTAGCTTCTGTCTAAGTTGGCCCTGTATGTATGTATGCATGTGAGATAGGGACCTTAGTTTGTAAGCTCGTTGAGGGTAGGGACTGATGTGAATGTGCAACTATGTAAAGCACTGCGTAAAATGTCGGCGCTATAAAAATACCTGTAATAAATAAATTACTAAGGTTTCTTAGTCCAGTTACTTTGATTGCCCCACTGTGAATGGTTGACAGTTTGTTTCATAAAATGTACATCCATCTATTTTTTTCAGGTCGGTAAAGGATATTTTTTGTGCCTATTTTGATGTTGGCTTGTATATATTTTATGAATATTTTATTTCTCCTTTACTAGAGTTTTACGTCTTTATGTTTTAGATGAATAGCGAGAAGGGCAGGATTGGACGAGATCCCTGTAAGTTAATTTTGCCTTCTCTCTGTTGCTAGAATGTGATTTAATTTTCCATACAAAGTCATTTATTTCAGGCCCAGGTTATATTTGTCACCCTTTTTTAAAGCTAAGACGTATGAGATGGGACATTGTCTCTCTGAAATAGAAAAGCTGTTGTTCATTATTAAATCTTATTAATGTTTCACTTCTTCATTTTGTATGAAGCAATAGGAAGCCCTAAAGAGACAGAGAATGCTCTACCCATACAAGTAGACTATGATGCTTATGACTCTCAGGTATTCAGATTGCCTGGCCCATCCAGAGCTCAACGTACGACTACCTTCAGGTAAGGACAATGGCAATACATATATGATTAATATATTTTACTCTGGTAATTGTGCTTTACTGTGTTGGCAGGTACATTGCTTTTTACTATGCTCTCCAATGGGTGACCTCACTTTGTGATTAAAAGTCAAATAGCCTGAAATGTGTAAGAATGCCTGACAACTCTCCTCTAACGTTGGATTTATACCTATATAGATCACTATTCCTTGCAAGTGGCAGTCTCCTGTCAGCGCAAAAACTCTTACACTCCTTAGTTAAAGATTGCTTCTGATTATAAAGTCATAGTGTATTTTCACTGAGTAATCTTTATACCAACATTTAAAGGTGTTCTAAACCCTCCGTTTTTTTTTGCTTATATCTACTGTTATCAAGCAGTAGATATATGCAAACATTTTTTTTTTTTAAACCGCTTTAACAGCGCTTAACACTTACCTTGTTTTTGCTGCGCGCTCCCGACCGAGATTCCAAAACTGTTCGGGCGGCCGCAAAGCATCATTGGGCGGGCGGATGCGCAGTTTGGATTCTCGGCCGGGAGACGAGCAGAGACGGAAGGCAAGTCTATGGACGCGTGTACCCACATGCAGACACCGCTGGATCGGAAGTGCCTGCAAGCAGAGAGGAGTCGGCGCTGGATCGGAGAGACACCGCACCACTGGAGGGACAGATGAAAACATCAGGAAAGAAGAGGAAGATCGGATTAAGAGACATCATTTAAGGTAAGTTCTGACATTAACATTGGGGGGAGGGGGAAAAAATTATCTTTTTAATGCCACTTTAATGTTTATCTTGGAAGTAATTTATTATTTGACTTTAACATTTTTACACCATTCAGTCTCCCTAATTATGAAGTATTTAAAGTAGATCTGAAATCTAACCGGATAACGTTTGGTTTGCTAAAGCCAAGTGAAGGGTCTAAAACATTAGCATACACTGTTAGGAATGTTTACAATAAGCAGAATGTAGTCATGAGCTATGGGCTATGACTAAGAAAACACAAATATGGAGTGAGGTGAAAGAAATATTTCATACATTTGCTGGGCTTATTGTCCTAAGGAGTTCAATGACTTGGAAGCTTCTCAAAGTAGAGTCACTTGTCCTTCAAGTTGCGGTTGTTGAGTTTTCATCGTATGGATACATCTACTGAATACTATTTTGAGGGGGTATCTTATTGACAATGGCAACAAATTCTATTTGCTTGTAATTAGTAGTGATGGCATCAGCTGTCATTTTCTTGTAGTCAATAGTATTCTATTGGTAGCATATGTACCTCCCTGAATTGTTTTCGTTATGTCTCATTAAAAGCCCTTTTCATTAAACAGGCCAGTGAGAGAAGCCCAGACGAGAAAAAGTTCTTGTTCTTATGATACATCTTGTAGCCCCTCCCAGCAGAGTCGCCCCTTCCCAGCTGAGGAGGGGCGAAGCCAAGCATCAGATGAGAGTTCCCTGGGCAAAATCTCAAACATCCTTCTCATTCCACGGCAACACCTCCACCAGTATGAAGCCAGCAGTTCTTTGGGATACACCAGTAACAGAGGTAAAAAGGTGTAATAGAATATAGCTGTATTATATTTCAGAAAAACAAAGTCGAAAAAAATGACTCTTTTTGAGGTGAGGGAGACTTTATTACTCTTGAAATAATAGCACTCTAGAGCTTGTAATAAAAATACACAAACACAGAAGGAACTCTCATGATTTACAAAATCAAAGAAAGATAGAAAGGGGGATGTTCTGGCCGGGCCCCCCTGTGCCCCGAGCCCCATAGCGGCCGCCTGGGTCTGCAGGCTTGTGAACACCGCTGCAGATATTTAAGCACTGCCACCACTCCCTAAAGAGGCTTAGGAAACCATTTATTTTGTGGTGTAAGTGTACAGCATCTACCAAAAACTGATTTGTAGAGGACTGACTCTTTAATTTGATATGAAGAAAATCCATATATATTTGGAGAGCTCATGCAATCTGTGTACCTGTAAAGGATAGGGAAGGGGAACTGTCATCCTTATGTAATTAAAAAAAACTTCCAGGGATAAAAGGTGCAGCCCCGAGTATAAAGTTTTAAAAAGTGCCATTCGCTGAAGTGAGCACAAACTATTGAATGCACACAGAACAAACACATTTTACCTTTTTAAGATGACTTCTGTCCAAAAACACCTTCACATGTACCAAAATAATCATCAATCACAGAATGGCAAATGCAGTCCATGACAGTAGGTTTCTAAACCTCTGTAGAGCAAGAACAGGGAAATGCCACTCTTCTTATTACATTTTGTTAAATTAATTTATTTTCTACATAGCATGATGCAGATACCTGCTCCAGCCTGCTGAAACGTGTTTGCAAAAAAAATCTTTGTAAACTCTTATTTGAATGCATCAAAACATAAACATTTGTCAAATGATTCCGGCATTTGGAAAGCCTTTGGCAAGCTTTTTATTTTGGTTACCTTGTAAGCTCGACTTTAAGATTGCATAGCTGAAAATGGATTAACAAAAATGTCTTCAAATGTCAGTTTGACTGATCTCCATAATTCACATGTTTCTAATAGATCTGGAATAAAGAGAAAATTGAATTAAATTAACTTCTGTTTGTCATGAACCTCAAGGTACCTTTTGTGTAGGAGAGTATCTGGAAGTGGATGGATATATATTGTCCACAGGCAAGTGGCAAGTGACAGTTAAGCAGATACAGTGTGAATCAGTAACAAGAGCAGCATGAGAGAGAAAAGGGGAAGCAGCAGGGACCAATGACAGTGTAGAAGGATGGGAGAGGATGCAGGAATTAGCAGACTGGATGTAGAGGAGGAGGTGAAGGTGATCAGGTTTACTTTCCATAAACTGTACTCTGGCCTACAGCTCAATATTGTAAAACTGATTTTACATTATTTTACATTTTCTAAACTACCTGACTGAGGTACACTTAAGATGGGTAGTATTATGGCGTAGTAGGATGGGTGCAGAGGGGTTAATTTTCACATGATGGTATTGTGGGTGGTGGGGTAGGTTGTCTTGAACAGAAACTTTGGCTGATTGAGCCCTCAGACTTTCTGTCACTTCTGCTTCATATTAACTATGGATGAACTTTTGTAGTATTTCCATGGTTACGTTGCTATGTATGCCCACTCTCAACCTACACATTAGTGTGACTCACTGCCATGCCTCTGCTTTCAACATTCAGGGAATACCCAAGTGGCGGCAGGTTCCTAGATTCAGACAGGATAAATATCCATCTAATGGCACCTCCATTGTGCATATGCTTTTTACATGTGTGTTACAACATTAAGGTAATACTTCAGAAAAGGCCTAAAGGCGCTTAACTGTATCTTTTAGGCTGAGGAATCACAACATGTGTTGGAAGGAGCAGGTAACCATGTCAGCCTCTGGTGTAGAGGAACACGAAATACAACTCCTTGAGCAACTATGGCTGATATATATTTTTTTTGTGTGTGAATGCCGTGAGATTTAGGTAAAGCATACATAATAGAACATTTCACAGCATAGCCAGTGTGTCATCATGAAGGACTCCTATACTGATGGCCATTTGCATTTCCTGCAATTTTCAAGAGCCATCTTTAATCTAGCTGTGCCTCTGCAGTGATAGATCACTGTAATAGTGATTGCATGCTGATAACCGTGAGCATTAGACCACTATTATATATGGTCTGCTTCTACAGAAGTGCCTGAAGATCCCAGCAAACCCTTTATGAATAAGAAAAGTAGTAAAAATAATAAGAAATACCCCATTTTCTCCAGATGAAGGATGCAGCCCTGACCAGCCCACCTTAGAACCCCTTCAGAGCCCACTGTAGACAGTCTCAGATGGGCTGTGCAGCATCTATGGTGGGCTCTGCAGGGTCACTCTCAGGTGAGTCCAGCGCGTCACTCAGCCCTGCATCCAGCGCGTCACTAAGCCCCGAGTCCAGCGCGTCACTAAGCCCCGAGTCCAGCGCATCATTAAGCCCTGCGTCCAGGGGGTCACTAAGCCCTGCAACCAGCGGGTCACTCAGCCCTGCGTCCAGTGGGTCACTCAGCCCTGCATCCAGCGGGTCACTAAGCCCTGCATCCAGCGGGTCACTAAGACCTGCGTCCAGTGGGTCACTAAGCCCTGCGTCCAGTGGGTCGCTTATCCCTGCGTCCAGCGGGTCGCTAATCCCTGCGTCCATCGCGTTGCTAATCCCTGCATCCATCGGGTTGCTAATCCCAGAGTCCATCGGGCCGCTAAGCCCTGAGCCAAATTCATATACTCTTCTGCATTGGTGTATAAATGTATTGCTGGGATTTGTAGTCCCCCTACTGCCGGTGCCATTGTGCATTAGAGTGCAAGCTCCTCTGTACAGAGACTGTCTCACTGTTCTCTGTACAGCACTGCGGTATATGTCAGAGCTATATAAATGTATAATAACAGTGTGACTGGTTCGGTGCGGTGGGTGGGGGGGCCCGGCATAAAACTGTGTAAGGGGCCCCAAAATTTCTGATGGCTGCCCTGCTGATTATTGTGCAAGTGACAGACACTGATGTAGAATATTTGAGATCACTAATCTGTGAAAATGGCATTGTTGTTCTAACTGATGTTTGCTCAGACCTAATGTGATTTTATGTTACAGTAATGTGGGCTTCAAGGAGGTGGGGGGAGGTTAGAGGGCAAGGGGTACGAGGATCAAAGGCAGCAAGAAATTTTGGAATGAGACATTGGGCAAGAGTTTTGTAGTAGTGAGGGGTGAAGCCATCGGGGCCGGGGCTTTTGTCAGCTTTGAGTTAGGAAATGGCAAGTTGCACTTCTTCAAGACTAACTGGGGGTTTCCAAGGAGTCCAGTATTTCCGAGACGAGTTGGCAAGGACCATGAAGTTGAAGGAACGTAGCGATTATCGACACCTGCAGTTGTGTGGAGAGTTGGACTCCATTGGATGCCTCCAAGACATAAAACTTAAAATAATAAGCACAGAATTGAGTTGCTATGTCTGGGGTCGCGGCATGTTTAAGGCTGAGGTGATCAGTGATGTAATGTATTGAGTGTTGTGCCGTTTGGGTACAAAGCACTTTTTGCTACTTTTATTACCGTGTTCATAGAAAAGGCCCTGTCGGAGTATGTAATTCCTACTCGACTTGCTAGTCAAACGGACTTGTAGGAATTACATACTCTGACAGAGCAGGGATGCAGCAGGGATGGCTTCTGGGAAGGGTACCACAGGTGTATGTGCAATGGAGTAGAGGCAAACAGGCTAACAATCAAATGTCGATATACATATCTATATCCTAAACGAAAGGTAATGGCATGCCATATATCAGGTTCCATGTGCACTGGGAAGGAGATAGGCAGTATGTAGTCAAGAAGATGAAATAGTAGGGGGGTAGTTCAGTTTTCCACCAGTCGGAACAGACTGGTTAACGGAGCACGGATGGGTAATGTAGGAAGAAGTACACAATACCATTCAAAGTGCATGTCCTTATGGAAGTACAACAAATGTAGTGCTCAAAAAAGTCTGGACCATCCAAATGTAGGGAGAGAAGAACAAGTGCAAAGGTTCACGTATGGAGTGCAGACAGTGAGCGAGTGCTAGGGGAGAGCAAGTCAGTGCCAACATGTTAAAGATGAGGTTAGTGCAAAGACAATAATAGGAAGGGCAGTTTGTGGGTGGGTAAAACAGCCAGGGAATCGGCATGAAATACAACACAGGCATCTATGGGAAGGAGAGCAGCGGTATGGAAGCGAGTGTAGAAACTTGGATAGTTACTGTAGTATCCAAGGAAAGTATTTATCTGAGGTACAGGTCCTTCTCATGATGGAACATTGTGTGGATCCAGAAGTTAGAAAGAATGATCAGGTGGAGAAGGCGTTGGACGTGCAGCCACCAAGGCGGACAAAGAGGTTGGAGATCTGCGTCCCTCTGTGTTCCGATGTGAGGGCTGAGGCTGGTTCATTGCGTGGGAGGTGTAATTCATAAGATCAGGCCAGTTGCATGGGAGCAGGAAGGAGATGTACCAATCATGGAGCTCGAGCGGTGGCAGACAAAGGGACCTGCAAAAGGCAGGAAGATCCACCATTGGTAAGAAATCCCACGGTCTCGCAAGACCTGGAGTAGAGGCTGTAGAGATCTCCTATGTTGGAGCATAATCTGAGAGAGGTCCTGGTAGATTTGTATAGGAGTTCCGTTGTAGGCAAGACTGTCTCGGGATCTTGCTTTGTGTAGAATTTTTTTCTTGAGCGGGAAGCTTGTAAGGCAGCAGGTGACGTCCTGAGGGGGATCAGTTGCAGAGCCCGATGAAAACACTCATGCTCAGTAGGAGACTCAGATGGCCTGTCTAGAAGGTCATTAAAGATGGAAAGGAGTGCCATTAGCAGTTGGTCTTGTTCCACTGTGTCACGTACCTGATGGAGCTTGAGATGACGAGGGCGGCCTCTCTCTTGCAACTCTGGTCCCAGAAAGCCTGATAGTGAATACAGGTACTCTGGGGCACAGCGGGGCACGAGTGCCGGAATGAAGACTTGGGTACTAGGTGGAAGTCCGTTTGGCCTCGTGCTGCGTAATGCAGTATAACCACACAGCAGGGAGGCAGACAGCGGGTATTCGCAGTCAGGCAGACCGGGTCGGCAACGTGCAGGCGGGCAGGTAGTGAAGCAAGGAACAAACTCGTGGTCGGGTCACAGGCCGGGTTCGATAACATGCAGGCAATACAGGAACAGGCAGGGAGCAGGAGAATCGTCAGACAAGCCAGGGTCAGGATACCAGAAGATCAGCAGAGTCAGGAGCAAGCCGGGGTCAGTAACAGGAAACAACACGACAAGGAACTGGCACAGGATACAAGGCACTAGCTGAAAGAGTACTCAGCACTGGAGACATGGAGGGGCTGAGCTTAAATAGCCCGTTTGGCGCCACAACACGTCGCAGATGCGCGCACGCGCCGTGAAGCGCGCACGCTGACGTCTACGCAATAGTGCACGGCCCGGCCTGACACTGTGGGTCACGCCATGCGCATGCGCCATCCGCTGTGTACGGGCTTCCTGACACACTGACTCTGGGAAGCAGTGTTTTCGCACATTACTCTGCCTGCCACGATTATTGAGATCTTCTATGTGCCTATGCATTTTCAGCAGATGGTTATTATGAGTCGTGGTGACTTGTAGCATTGAGCCAAGCTTGGTATCTCTATGGGCGCCGTCCTCTTCATTCTGGTGGAGGTGGTCTGTGATAGCCCGAAGGTCCGCTTTCAAGTTGATAATAACGGCTGGTTGTAAAGGAATGTGCAGAGGAGGAGGTCTGAGAACACATGGCGGCATCAGAGCGATGGGTTCTAAAGGGAGGTTGCTGCTAAGCGGAGTGCCCGAGTCAGGTGGCAACTTGTTGTAGGAATTGCGCCCAATTTTGCCCATGAGGGGAGGTAAGGTCTCCAAACGCATAAAACGGTCCCCACTGATGCCGGCTCAGCAGGATTAGGCGGTAGGGTTGCCACCTGTCCAGGATTCACCAGAACTGTCCAGTTTTTGAATGCTTTGTCCAGGTTTCATGGCAGCAGAAACCCGGACACAAGATGTCAGACAGACCAGGGCAACCAAAATTAAGATGGGGGCTACTGGCCCCCCACTGAAAATAGTCTTAACTGTAATATTTACAATGTGTGGCACTATTTACATACTTTATAAATGAGCCATGAATCATTCTCCCCAAAAAATGTTGCCGTGTCGCTAGAATGTTCGGGTTTCGCTTGAAGAAAAGGTGGCAACCCTATTAGGCGGCCATCTTAGACTCGTCTCGGTCCACACTTTAAGCTTTACTATTCCACTGTGTTATGTAAAAATAGGATGTTTCCCTATTTAAACATCAAACTAGAGGGACAATATTGACTGATGTAAACAAAATGTTCTATATTTTTATAGTTAAAATATTGCATGTAGTTGCATATGTTTGTCTTTATTGCAGATTTTCTGGAGCGGATGATGGAATCTCAACAGCGAGACTCTAGTGCCCCTGGCAGGTTTCACGTGGGTAGTGCAGAATCAATGCTGCACATCCGACCTGGGGGATATCACCCCCAAAGGGCACTCATCAACCCTTTTGCACCATCACGAATGCCAATGAAGCTCACATCAAATCGTAGAAGATGGATGCACACATTCCCTGTGGGTAGGTCTTACTATTTTCTTTTATTGTTTATCTGAGAACACAACAAACCTCAACAGTATAAGTCATTAGGGGTTTGGGCACTAAGATATTGCTCCTTTCTTATGGCATGCAAATCTATACAAGGCTTTAGCTCTTTCTTGTTCACTTTGTGTCTAGTGGATCTTTTGTGTGGTTTTTTTGGGGGGGATTGGAACAGATCCCAGCTGTTCCTTCTCGACCAACAACTGTAATTGCCTTTGCTGAGGTTCACATCTTTAGTATCACAGATTTGGAGGATCAGTTGAGGGGATAACTAAAATATTTTACGGTTTAGGATAGCTCATGACCAGTACTAACTGATGTTCAGTTCCTACTCAACCTGGACTGAGAATGCCATTAAATTTAATTACCATTGTAAGGGGCATTCTGCCTTACACTGACTACCAATACAAGAGGGTCACTTTTTCAATGACCATCGATGTAAAGGGTCTCTTACCACCACTAGGTATGCCACACTGTTTATTCTTTTAGTTCCTATAAGTACATTTTACTGGTCATGCTAAACTGCAGATACAGTATTTTTTAGGTGGGTTCCCTAAAACTTTAAAACATTTTTGGTGGTTTCCTCTGAAGTAAAAAGGTTAAGAAAGGCTGACATGGACCAAGTGCATGTAAACGTATAGCATTTCTAAGTACAGAAGAATACAGTGGCCAAGCTATGAAAGTAATTTTGTGTGAAACAAGAAAAGAGGGAATAATTCCATATTTGTTTGTCTAAACTCATTGAATCTAACCTCTATTTTGTGCATTTTACATCACACCTTTTAGGTCCCTCTGGGGAAGCTATACAAATACATCACCAAACGCGTCAGAACATTGCAGATCTACAGGGGAATGGCCAGAGAGAATTAGTGCATTCCTCAGCAGAACTTCTTGAACTTGCTTACCAGGAAGCCACTGGCAGGTAATTGGCTTTAAGTAGTGTGTAGCTGCCACCAGACACAAGACTTGAGAACTGTTTGCGACTTTATCATGCACACACTATAAATCTGTTCTTTAGGCAAATAATGCTCTATAGAATTCTTATAGGTTTCCAAATGCATATTCCAACATTTACTTACATTTCATACTTACAGCTATTTTCTTACTGAACTACAAACATAAATTTTATACAGAAGTACATCTATAGTATATAGAATGACTGTTTTATTTTCATCACATGTATTCATCTAAAATGCAAAATAACAGCTAAAAAAGGTTCATGCATCTGTATTGTTGAGTAGCAGTTGTATGGTTACCTTCGCAAATTTTTAAATTGAAAATGTTTGCAATATTTATATTTTTTCTAATGCTTCAGATAATGCATTCTTTTTATTTTTCTGCATCGTGCTTACAGACATGGAGGTCCTCGCACACCACTGGACAGCAGCTCATGTGGAAGCAGTGAAGAGTTCTCTGGAAACCCCAGCATGAATGGACAGAAGGGCCACAGTGCAGGTAATACACTTTGATGGAAATCTTACATTGCCTCTTGCTGTTTAATAAGAATCTATTTAATACCAATCCTGTTCTCTCACTACAGTTATTAACCACAAAGAGAAAGAATCCCCTGATGAGAGCTTACTCTACTGCCCTGAACCTAGTGAGTGGGGAGGTTTACCTAACAGTAAAACATGGGCGTTTATTTAATACCATAGCGCAGCAAGTCACAAGCCCTGAGTTGTAAAGACTAGTGCTCAAGAAATGCTAGGGTGTTACTAAAAGTAATTATTAAGATTCCAGGTAACGTTTTCTATTACAGGGTAGAAAATCAAAGGTAGCTTCTGTATTGGTGCTATAAGCACACATCCACTTTTACTGTGCACTAGTTCTTAGAAATCAGGCTTTCTTTTTTTTTTTTGTAATTTGTTTTTCTTTTTAACCCCTTTTACTGTTTTTGAAGCACAGTTTAATGCTTCAGTAATTCATCTATAACTGGAGTACAAGTACTTACCGGTATATATTATGTTTGCAAACCATATGAATCCAGTTAATACAGTCTGGTGTATAAGATTTCATTTTGTGATGTCTCTTGATTTCATGCTAAAGATCTGAGGGAAAATGTGCTCACATAGCAGTAGCAATATTGTGTTGAATCCACTGTCCTTCCCATATAAATGCGCTATAGCTGTTACTATTAATATATGATAAACTTTGATGTTCAAACTGACAATGTCACTTTCTATCTCCACTATGTGTGTGCACGTCTTTTGTCTCTCACCACTTCACCTTGCTTGCATGACGTCTTGTGACTCACAACTTCGATATTAAATAATGTATACCAATTTTGTGGTGTAATTAGATCTTTAAGATAATGATGTTAATCAGGAGCAAATAATTTCCCAATGCATGATGGGGCAGAATGTATCTCAGGCATGGCAATGTTAACCAGCTCTCTCTTTCTTTTTCTTCCTTTTCTCTCCCAATAATTCTGACTGCCTTCAAATCACTTGTTTTGCATACACTTTCACACTCTCCCACCCAACGTTTTTCCCTTTCCAACAAAATGTTCAATAATCCCATTCCATAATTCCCAATTTTCCCATGTACTCACATTTTTTGATTCCTTCTCCACATTTAAATTGTGTTCATTACTTTTTTTTTGTTTTGTTTCTTGGCCCCTTTGATCCTCAATTAATCCTACCACACACACGCCCATTATTTTTCATCCACGCTCTTTTCAATCACACTTCTTAATCCTACTCACCATCACTCTCCACGCATACATGGTGGTCTCTGGGCAGTTTTGATGCTGTCTGCTCCCCCCATAGTGCCTGGCTTCTGCTGCACAGTTGGGGTGGATTGGAAATCTCTCACCACCCCTGCCTGCCTACCACTCACCACCGACTACTTCCCGGACAGGCAGAGCCTGCAAAACGATTACACAGAGGGCTGCTATGACCTACTGCCAGAGGCTGATATGGACAGGTGAGTCTAGAGACATGCAAAAATAGCTTTAGCAATGATTACCATAATACTGGTTTATTCTGTTATTCGCTTTAACTTAGCAAGAGCTATGGGGATAATAAACATACAGTGCCAGTTCTGCAATTACAAGAACTGTCATAACTTACCAACTTGCTTAAGTAATAATGCTATGTGTTGTGTTCTCCCTTAAAGTCAAATTCTAGTCAAAATCTTTTTTTTTTTTTTTTAAATAGTTTTGGATAGAGTGGAGAACAGTACAAACATCTGTCAGGCTATTAAGATCTGTGTCCCCTTTGGGTCGCTATACCCTGACTTCCTGTCATGGGACAGGCAGTGATGGCAAAACTTTCCAACAGGAATGGAGACCGCAACAGAACCATTTTGTTTAAAATTAAAGCTGGAAAAGCTTAGAACCTTAACAAGGTTTGTGTTGCTGCCTATGCCTTCCTACTGGTGGCCCCCTATCTTTATGTTTAACCAACATTTTTAAAAAAACTTTTGGATAGATGAAGGACAGATTAAAACCTATGTTGGTTTATATTTTGCAGTCTGTGTGCTTTTATAGAGATTTTCCTTCATTTCCTGTCCCAGAGACGCAACAAGAAGGGAAAGGAAATCTCTACAAAGTGAGGAGAGTTCGCTTCTTAGACAGTTGTCAGACAGGTGTCCCTGCTGGAAGATTAACCCTCACCCCTTGTTGACAGTGGTCACCAGGACAAACAGAGAAAATTCTACCTAGTGGAGCACAGCTATTAAAGCCTGACAATGGTTCAAACCCTTACCAACGCAGGCAAAATGTGAAAACGTTTTGGATATATATGCACTTTAAAGTGTATTTCCACTTTTGCAGCCTGATATTTTATATTTGTTACATGTTGTCATTCACATAACTATTACATATTACATTTTCACTATACTGAATTTCCCTGTGGAAGGGGATGGGGAGGTTATTGTTAACAATATTAAGCTTGTCTGTACTGTGCAGGAAGACCCAATCAGTTCTAAACTAGATATAGGCACTATCTGCCCTAACAAAGGGTTAAACATTTGGAAGCACTGTATGTTAATGAGAGGAGGCTCAGAGTTTCCTTAGTCTTTCTAAATGGACAGACAGATTTTACTGCCACATTAAAAAAGAGAGAGTGGCTTGCAATGGCCTTCTACACAGACACACGTAAAAGGTAAGAAATATATATATATACAAACATCACATTAACTTTTAGTAAAAGTGAAGTTACCTTTTAAATATATGCTGCTGACAATTGTCTGTCTACATCAGGGGCGCCCACAATTTTCCGCCTGGAGATCTACTTTTCAAATGACGTGCTCAATGAGATTACCATACCAATGAAAAAACACCTGCATGCAGGGGCGTCGCGGTGCATTGAAGTCAATGGCACCGCAGCCACGCCCCCGCCTGCAGTGCGATCACCCGGAACGCAGGCACATTAGTGCCTGCGTTCCCGTCCAGTGCGATCTGCAAAAATGCTGCAAGCACTATTTTTGCAGATCGCACTGGAGCGGAGAGGACGTTGTGGAGAGAGAGAGCCGCCGGCGGTTCCTTCACTTCTCCTCGGATCCCCGCTGCATACAGATGGGGGAGAGCAGCAGGGAGCCAGAGGAGAAGCCCCACAGGACATAGCCGATCGTGAAGCCAACACTGGTAGATCACGATCGACCTAATGGGCACCCCTGGTCTGCATCAAAGTATACCTAAGCAGTCCACAAGCACCACCACAGGGTTGACATTCTACATATCCCTTTTGGAAATAACCGTAAAGAAAATTGAAAAACATGCTGTGTGAGCCCTCAGGACTAGAGTTGGGAAGCGCTGATTTGGAGGATTGTGTACTACTTAAAATCTGATCCTTTCCTAGCTGAATACATGTTCCTTTCCTAGAAGAATAAATGTTGTTTCATATTCCACAGACGGGATGAGGATGGTGCTCCAATGACTGCTCAGCAAGTTTTCGAAGAATTTATATGTCAGCGTCTGATGCAGGGCTATCAAATTATTGTTCAGCCCAAACAACCAAAACCCAGCTCCAATGCACCACCTCCCCTCAGCAGTAGCCCTCTGTACAGACGAGGTACTTGTACTTTTTTATATTTATCCCATGATTCATAATTCTGTACTAGAACTGAATATCTAGATCATGTTGGACACACAGATATATGATGACCATACAAAGAAACTTATACGGTCATAGTGTTTCTCATTACCATAATCTTCTCATATTCTTAAAGAAGAACTCCAGGATTTTTTTTTTTATTAAGCCTTGCAGTGCTTGTTTGTGTCTAGGTGCCAAAATAACAAAGATAACTCACCTGAAGCTCCGAACCGGCCAGCTCTCACTGCGCTCCCTCCATCCTGTCTCTCACTGCAGCATTGGAATCTTCCTCCACGTCCTCACATCTATACACTGTGTATAGACGTTGATGATTTACGGGACCTTAGACCAGGGCTAAAAATTTCAAGTCCTAAGTTACTAGCCTGGCCTTAATCGTTACTCGCCACAAGTTGTCCCACTAACCCCTACCCTGCCTTAACTCCGTCAGGTCAGCGGTGTGAAGCAGAGTACAGAGATCAGTAACTACGGCGAGTACAGAGACCTGCGGTGCGATGCACAGTAACCAGACCTCCGGTGCGATGCACAGTACAGAGACCAGCGGTGCGATGCACACTACAGAGACCAGCGGTGCGATGCACACTACAGAGACCTGCGGTCTGCCAATCAACTGGTTATCATGGCAAGTTGACCTTTAAATTATTTTACTTTTTAATCGCCTTTTTATTTAAATTTAATAATGTTTTATTTTTATTTATTTGTTAAAATTTTATTTAATTGTTTTTTTAACAATTTTTTTTTCACTTAACTCTATCGCTATTACACAGGAGCTAACAATCCCCTGTGTGATAGCATTTGGAGGTGACAGAATCTCTTTATTGAACCTGTCGCCTCCAATACAGGAGTTCTAGCACAGCACTGTGCGAGAACTTCTGTGACAGGTGAGGGGGGAAGATAGCTCTCCTTTCTCACTGGTTATCACGGAGCGTCAGGGTTACTATTAACCTTGCCGCTCTCCTCCCTGGGGGGGTGGCAGGGGGAGGAGGACGGACGGATTCTTTTCCTCGGCCACTCTATAGCGGCAGTGACTGAGGAGGAGAGAGAACTGACACGGCGATCGCCGCTTTCTGCAGCAGCAGTATTAGAATTTTCTTCAGCGTCCTCGCATCTATACACAGTGTATAGACATTGATTATTGATGCTGCCTTAGACCATTGCAGAGGAGGGGGAGAGAGACGTTGGAAGGACCGGTCTAAGAAGAACTTTGGGTGAATATATCTTTTTTTTTTTACATAGACACAAATGAGCAGTTATCCCTTGTAGTGTGGGGTTAGCCCCACTGCAAGGGTTTATAAAAATAAAAAAAAATGTCCTGGAGTTCTTCTCTTCCCTTTGCACATTGATATTGGCTATTGGCAAGTATTTTCAGTACAATTCTCTGCATATTAATAGAACAAAATGCTCTTTGTCCCCATTAGGGTTGGTGTCCCGTTACCACACAGATGAAGAAAACCAATATTGGCTTAGCATGGGCCGAACATTTCACAAAGTGACCTGCAAGGACAAAATAATCACTGTGACCAGATATTTGCCAAAGTAAGAGAATAAGATGTTTGCAGTGTTTAAAGACCCCACACTATGAAAAGTTTTAGTACATGTCAAGGCAGCACACTGCACATATGCCATTATAGTGCATAGATCACAGTACCCTGCTGTATACATTTTCCTTTTTTGGGACCGCTTTGCATTTGGCTCCCACTTCATGCAGCGAGGGCTGTGGGAGTGTACTGTTAGGTATTGTCCTCTTCCCTTTCTGGACTACATTGTCTGTCAGTCCTTGCAGGGAGATTTACTTCACATCTCCCTCCTTCTTGCCAGAGTAGAGGAAGTAAGGAGCTCTAGAGATGTAGGCATTGTCTTCACTTCCTCCCAGACAATGCCTGTATGTCAGAGGAAGCACTGTAATGCCAATGCAGTTCTATTGTCCTTAATGATGATGACGGGGGAAACGGTGCTGGAATTTGAACAGTGGTATTGCAGCATTGTTAGCCGTCACAGGAAGTGAGGTCATCACACAAGTACTGGCAGGATCAATAGGCAGGAACTGCAAGAAGTTAAGGAAGCTCAGCTTGGACATTTACATATGTAGATAACCCTTGAGTAATGCACAATTTATAATAGTAAAAAGATTTCTTAGTCATAAACTAAGGGACACTGCAGAATTCAGGTACATTTGGTTATGCAGCTGATTTTAGGAGATTGGATACTGGCAAACAGAGCTGTAAGATGGGCCAGTAAAACCCCTCCCACTCCCAGCAATCCTTACTTTTTTTCCTAGTTTGCCAGGGGAATGGATGTCTTCTTTCTGCTCTTAGAGGAGCAAACCACTTATTATTTTTCTGCCTTTTTGATCAAGATATTTTTCTTCTAGCAAGATTCTTCAGCTGCCACTGGGACTCATTTTGCAGCTTTCTAGATGAACTGATCTTGGGCTGGACCAGTTGTGAGGAAGGGGTCAGTCTGTAATGTTCCCTTTGGGCACCGAACACTACGTTAGGTTCTCTCATAGACCCCTTAAGTGTTATATGTGAGTTAGCCGCAGGATGCTTTATAGGTCCCGGGCCTGCGGTGCACCCGCCTGGCAGAACCCTGTCCCTGACAACATCTTTGGGTGTATGCCTGACAGGAGGGCAAAGGCTGTTTGGATGGTGCATGTCCCCTGGCCTGTCATCCCTAACCTGCTTGGTGGGGACTGCAAAGTGTTTTAGGGCTTTTCCCTTATGGGAGCCTAAATGTGCTTTACTTGATCATTTGAGATCGTTTGAGTACCACTTTCTAAGAAACACAGAGAAAAAAACATTTTTTTGACATACATTTTAAGACTTTGAGGTCAATTTATCAGTGTTTTTATCCAAGATTCAAACAACGTTCACCCAAAATTCACAGATTTTCCAATTGAATTTTAAAAATGTATGAATCTTGCATGAAAACATTAATAATTAGACCCCAGCGTAATGTTGTAATTAAAGAAGTTTATGGATAAACATGTGCTTGTGTTTTCTCTTTAGGTATCCATATGAATCTGCCCAGATAAGTTACACATATAACCTGTGTCCCTTCCACTCTGGCTGTGACTTTGTGCCTAGCTGGGTGGAATTTTCCCATGAGCGGTTGGAGGACTACAAGTGGAACTATTTAGATCAGTACATCTGCTCTGCTGGTTCTGAAGATTTCAGGTTGGGCATACATGTGACAGATTTTTCACCATAGAAAAGAAAAATGGTAGAGCTCTACTTGATCCATACAACAAATAACCACCTTGTATAGCAATGGGGGTTATAAAAATAGCCTGACTACACCATTATATAATGTATAAAACAAATAATAATGCACAGAGATATAGCACGTCATCTGTCCAGTGTAGTCTCAACAAGGCCTATGTGACCTGTAGCCATGTCAGTTCCATGGTCAGTGATGGCTTCTATAAATCCATCTGTGATATCACTCAGTACAGCCCTGACTCCTCTTTTATGGAGTTCAAAGCAATAACTTATCAGCTTGTTATTGCACTGTGCCTTCCAAATTTGGAGACAACCCAGAAGCTTAACAAAAACATATACGCTGACTGCAGCTAACTATTGTTTAATATGCCTCTTTATTCACACTAAACAGTTGAACACATGATTTCTATTCTGCTGTTTTTAAATTTAATAGGAAATCTGTCAATTAGCATATAGCACTATACCCTTTAAAAAAAAAAGGACCTTTGGGTAATACCATGTTTTACATGACAGGCTTGTAAGTGAATGCCCTCTTTATCCACTGGTTGTTTATAGTAGTCACAGGGCACAACACCTACCCACGGAAAATACAGTCCTAAATGGCTAAATACAGGCAGGGGCTACTTTAACTACCAAAGCATGTGTAAAGTAATGCTCATTGTATGAGCCACCCCCCACTTTATGCAAAATGAAAGCGTTTTTTTAGAGTCTGCTGTGTACAGCTATCTCTGATAACTGAATATTTAATATAAAAGGAATACAAAAGTTAACAAAATGGTGTTTTTATATATAAATGCATTTATAATCTGTGTTTTTTTTTCTTATTTATTTAATTAACTCTGCATCCTCTCATGCAGTCTGATTGAGTCTTTGAAGTTCTGGCGCACTCGATTCCTTCTGCTTCCCTCTTGTGTTGGACCTACAAAGCGCATTACTGAGGGGGAGCAGCGCTGTGATGTGTATGGAGACCGTCCAAGATCTGAGCAAGAGGAAGCACAGCTACTAGATGGCTTCCTGCGATTCGTGGAGTGTCTAAATCGCATCCGCAGGCGTCACAGATCTGATCGAATGATTCGAGTACCTTATCGTTCTCTTTTTATCTTATTATTTAAGTTAACTTACTATTATAGGAATTACATACATTTTAATTGTGTAATGATGTGCTTGTGTCTCATTTGTACTTTTAGAAGGGAACAGGAATGAAAGGACTGCAGCTTCCAGCTCACCCCCCAGAGCCCCCTGGACCTCCAGTAGGAAAGAAAGGAACCTCTGCACTGTCGGCTCTGTTAGAGTTGGAATCAAATCAGAAGTAAGATAGCCCATCTGCCAGGAATCTTTTGAAAATCACGGTTCTAAAAAATAAATGAAGAAAGTAAAACAAATTATGTATTTTTTGCAGGGTTTTGGGGGAACAGCAAGCCTTAGCTCATGCAGGAAAAGCCTCATGTCAGTCCACAGACCCAGCTGTCACACCAACCTCTGTTGACAGCCCTCGTAAGGTGAGGAAGAAGGTGTAGATATAGATTATAAACTTCTGGCAGTGCTTGGTAATTTCCGCTCAATCCATTTTCCTTATTCCTGTGTGCCGTGCAAATGTAATGTAGTGCGTGGTTCAACCTGTTACTGTCTGTCTTTATGGCTCTCCCTGCACTGTCACTTTCCTCTCAGGATGGGACCTTCTTTATGGATTTTGTTCGCAGCCCACGTACAGCACCATCATTCAACCCACAGGTTAGTGTCTTGGGTAGAAGCAGTTGTGTGATGGCATGGGCCTTTGCACGAGCCAGTATATGCTATTTGTTTGAACGTACATATACTTCTTTTACACAACATCTTTTAGTGCTGCGCTGTCTACCACTAACTACATACAGTATGTTCTTACTCATTTTGTCTATATATGTATTTATGTATATGTTTGCATGGTCCCCATTTGTGGTCTTGCATTTGTATTATGTAAATCTTGCTAATATGGTACAGTGGTACCTCGGTTCACGAACGCTTCTGTTCACGAACGATTAGGTTTGCAAACAGGAAGTTCATCAAAATGTTGCCTCCGTTCGCGAACTTTGCTTCGGGTGACGACCGCAGCCATCTTCGGCACTCTGACACATGGTCATGGCTTCCTGTACTCGAGATTGCGGTCGCAGACAGGGCTGTGGACACTTACTGTGGAGCTTTTTTGTGTGCTTTGTAGCACAGTATTGTACATTACTGTATTCAATCCAGCATAGCTCCCAAGAAAGTGCAGAGCAAGCATGGTGGGAAAAAGAAAGCGTAGATCATTAATGAAGGTGACAAGAATGTGCAGAGCATTTAATGAAGGTGACAAGAATGTGCAGAGCATTAATGAAGGTGACAAGAATGTGGAGAGCAAGAATGGTGGTAAAAAGAAACTTGTGGTTATAGTTTTTTGTTTTTCATATGGTTCAGAATGGATTAACCTGATTTACATGATTTACATTATTATGGGAAAATGTGATTTCTGTTCGCGACCACAAATCGGTTCGCTACCACGTTCATAGGGGTCAGAACGGATTAACCTGATTTACATTGAACCCTATGGGAAAATGTAATTCGGTTCACGACCAATTCGGTTCGCGACCAGAATCGTGGAACCAATTAAGTTTGTGAACCAGGGTACAACTGTATATGCACTTATTTGTACACCACACAACTATTGTCTATAGATATTATACATATCTATTGTGTGATTAACAGTGTTATAAGTCCTTGCATGTGAATGCATATAACACTGAACTCCAGGCAAACATCTAAATGCACAGATACAATATACCTGAAATTTACCTGTCAAAGAATTTGCATTGCTATCCATTCAGTCCCAGGACTTCCACATCCCAGTCTGAAAACACAACCAGAAGGATAACACTACTTTTTCTTTTACGATAAAGAAATTGCACAGTCCCATGCAGTGCACCAAATTGGCTCCCAGTGATTTCTCTCCTATTCTGAGTTTTGCTGTACAGGGATTGGAAAAAAATGATATTAAGTCAAATTCAGATACTTACACTAGCTGCATTTAACAAAACAGATTTCATGATTTATTAATGAATGCAGAGGTTTAAAAATTTTTTTTTTTTTTTTTTTTTTTTTTTAATATCTGCCTGGAGTTCAGCTTTAAGTGTGCCCTCAGCAATAACAAGAAATGAGCTTAGAAACAATTGTATTGTATAACTTTTTTATCTTAATGGTTTGAGATGACAGTAGACCATAAAATATCAGGCATCATGCCTGGTATAACACTGTGGGTAGTTCTATAACTGTAAGAATACCATATCATTTTTTAGAGCAGTAGGGATTATATTAGGCATGTTTGCTAATGGAGTCCGTAGTAATTGCCCTTTTTTCTCATAAAGTGAAACATGAAGGCTGCAGCATGTTATGTTTGGGTTAGGATTTAAAGTGCAACTCCAGCCATTTTTATTAACTTTTTTTTAGTGTTGAATAGAATGGGGAGGAATTAGTTCTTTGTAAAGTTTTGGATACGGTCTATGGCCCTATGTTGTATGGCAGGGGCGCCCACAATTTTTCGTCTGGAGATCTACTTTTCAAATGACGAGCTCAATGAGATCTACACCTGCGTTCAGGGGCGGGAGGGGGCATGGCGGTGCATTGAAGTCAATGGCACCGCAGCCAGGCCCCTCGCCCACAGTGCGATCGCCTGCACCCGGAAACCAGGCACATTAGTGCCTGCGTTCCGGTCCAGTGCGATCCGCAAAAATGCTGCAAGCACTATTTTTGCAGATCATACTTTGAGATTGAAGCCTGCTCTCACTAAAAAAAAAATGTTTTTTGACTGTATAGTACAGAACACGGGCAGATTCAGAGGGTAATATGTAGGTATTATCAGGTAATTGGACATTGGCCAAAGCTGTGAGGACCTCCGTATAACGCCTCCCACTCCCAAAAATCCCCAGTTTTTGCTAATGTCCTTAAGATTAGGGTTCAGTAGGTTAAGAGTTAAACTTAGGTGAGAGTAAGGGTTTATTGTTAGTACAAAAGTATAATTTGCAGTTTGACATTTAGGCATTATGTGTTGAAGAGGTTGAGAGGTTTAAGTTTTAGGGTTTGGATGTGGGGTTTAAGTGTTAAACTGGGGTTAAAGTGCTAAGTGTAAAAAGGGTCAGCCTAAAACAGAACCCCCACCCCATCCCCTCCCCACACACACATGGTCGCAGCTATCATAAATACCTAAAAATAGCTGCTATTACTTGTCATCCAGAGCGCTCTTCCCCCAGGTTCTACAGGCCAGTGATTTCCCTCTGCATAGGCCCTAAAGCCTAATATTTCTTGGGTGGTTCAATATCTGATTGTTCTGCTCAGTGTTTGTACATAAAAGATGGTTGCATCATCTCTGTTGGCATTCCTTGTAAGATGCTAAAGTATATTAAATTCTTTAGAAAATGTAATTATTGTCTGATTTTAACTTTATTCTGCTCATATTCTAAAGAGAAAATCGCTCTCATTTATAACAGATTTCTGTTGACCAAGGAGTCTCCCCTTACGCTGATGGAAACATCAGCCTGACAAACAACACCCCTACCTTGACTCAAGCAGGCAATACAGGAGAGCAGCCATTTCAATCAGCTGAGACAAGGTAAAGGTGTTCTATTATTATTTGTGTATTTCTGTTTGTGAAACATGATTTCTGACAGGTAACTTTGATTCAGTGTCCCACAGATTTCTGGGGGACCAAGTACTCTACCTTCCAGTGCCAGCATGAGTGAGATTCTGGAGGCTATGAAACACCCAAAGTAAGTACCCCGCTGTGACAGGTTTTTTTAAACAATTCAAGGGGTTAAAGCAGCGGTCTCAAAGTACAGGCCCGCGAGCCGGTACTATGTGGCCCACAGCCAGTGGGAGCAGCTACACGGTCTGCAACTTAAGTCGCATGCAGACCGCAGAGCCGCTCCTGTCAGCTCCTGCACTGAGAACCTTTCGCCTGGAGCTCAGTTCTGAGCTTCGGTCGAAAGGATGTATTAGTGAGGTCTGTAGCAGACCACACTAATCACCGCTAGAGCACCAGGGATCGATCTTTGCTCCTCACAGCCTCCTCCCTGCAAAAAGGTAAGCAGAGGAGGGGGCTCTTCTTTTATGTGTAGGGGGGAGGGGGGGTAGAAGGGTATTAGGCTCCATTCAGACCTGTATCTTTAAGTGCAATTAGGGATTGCGTTTTCCTGCAGAAGGAATCCCTAATGTGGCGTTTACAACCAGCCGTGATCACCCATTCCAGTTAATGATCAGGTAACAGCAGCTGCATAAATGCCTGCACACCGCATTTAATGACTTGTGATATGATTACATTCAGTTAGGAATCAATCACTCTCCGTGGACACATTAATTGTGCATCCAGGGAAAGTGTTTTCTAACCGCATGTAATCATACCACATACCATTACATGCGGTGGGCAGGCGTTTACATCCAACTGCTGTCACCTGATCATGAACTGCAATGGGTAACAGCGGCCGCTTGTAAACGCCAGATTAGGGATTCCCAGCTGCAGGAAAACGCAAGTTCCTGATGCAGGAATCCCTAATTGCACCTAAACTTACAGATATATTGTGTGTGTATTGGGGTCCGTAGTACCAAACCGGATATAGTTACATTTTATTTGGAAGTATGAAATTTGGCGAGCGGCCCCTCGGGAGAGAAAAAATTGTCGAGTGGCCCCCGAGTGAAATGAGTGGAATATGTTTTGTGCCCTTCATTGATCAGTGAACCAAAATATGAGTAGTATGTTATCAATTTTCTTGCAGTACAGGTATTCCATTGCTATCTGAACAAAAGGGCCTTCCTCCATGCTGCTTTATCAGTGCTGAAGTTGTACATTGGCTGGTGAATAACATTAGCTGGGTGCAGACTCAAACTGTTGCAATGGACATCATGCAGGTAAGAGAACTGCCTGAATTTTCCACAATTATATTGCAGTTATTTTGTATAATGCTTCGTTTTTGAATCTTACACTACAGGACACAAAATTGATGATGATCAGGAACATGTGGGAGTGCTGCCAACTTCAGGAGATTTGGACACTATAAAGCTGTAAAAAAAAAAACAACCCAGTATAACCCCTCCTATTCTCCGCAATACTCAGTTTTTTTTTATAGTGTCCTTGGGAAATAGACGTCTTCTCTTTGAGAGAAGAAAACAATTTTTATACGTTTATCCAGTTTATTTTTTGTTTTAGCAAGTTTGTTTAGTTGCTGCGGAGACCTTAAGGCTCATTTTGCAGCTTTCCAGATCAGCTGATTCTCAGCATTGCCGCGGAGGCTGTATCCAGACCCCAACATGAGGAAGTTGTGGGGCTGGTCTGTAATTTGCCCTTGTGCACTGAACAATGCATTAGGCAACCACCCCTGGGTACAATACTGGTGGGAGCTGCAGATTGCTTTACAGGTTCAGGGCCTCAGTTCACACTACGGTGGTCCCCCGTCCCTGAAGACTCTTGCAGGAATTTGCCCACCTAGAAGGGCGACGTCTGTGTGAAGGCCATTGTACCCTACTTGTGACAGGATTCTTGCCAGTAGCCTAGCTTACAGTCCCTTCCTATTGCCTTCTGGGATGGCTTCCTGCTCTGTTTTGTCCAGAATGGCATTTAATGCTACTATGTCCCGTATCTGCTTCCATGCGGCCAGGTGGTTTCAGATGCTGAAGAGGGTATCTTGTCCTTACATGACTTGGTAGGTTAGAAGTCTCAACACACTAAGATTGGCCTTAAGCAAGTTAGCACTTGTTTTGTCTTGTCCTTTCCTTTTCCATTCATTTGTTGTAGCCTTTTTTTTTTATATGGTGACTGGCCTAATCCTGATAAGATCATTACACCTCCTAAGGGATGCCCAACAATACCTTATAAAGAATGATTTCTTTAAAAAAAAGTAGGAGGTCCATGCAGTGAATCCATCCATTGGCTGTCTAAACAGGACCCTAACCATCCCATTAGAAGATATTCCAGCATTCAAGGATCTAGTGAACAAAAGGCTAGAGACTCTTTCTAAGGCTCCTTTTTCCCTTGAAGGCTCTTCCGTTAAGGTCATCTATTGTGGCTGAGTCTATATGCAAAACCCTAAGTGTCTGGGTTTCTGATATGTCTGGGGATCCGAGTTATATCCTCTTGGACCCCTTTCATACTGCAACAACTGAAACTCATGCCTCTAGCTCTGAGATATGGTGTTGCAGTAAAACAAAGTGCAATTTCAATCTGATAAATCCTCTACCTCCTTTCATTCCTGTAACATCAAAATCTTTAAAGCCTGTGACAAAATCCTCCTTGCAAATGAGATATCTCCACTTAGCGTGGGGGGATGATTTATGACCATTGGGGACACCTGAACCCAGGACAGAGCAGACATTGGGCCCGAAGAGTGAAAAATTCCAGGGTTTTTACTTGATGGTCCCAAACCCAACAGCACCATTCGTCCCCTGGATCTGAAGGTTCTCAACACCTTCCTTTTGGGTTATAGCACTGAATCTACCAGGTCACTAACTGTGTCCCTACAGCTGGGGGACTTTCTGTCCTCTGTGGACATCAAGGATGTCTATTCGTATGTGCCCAACTTCCCTACATATCAACACTTCCTGTGTTTTGTGGTAGGCACACGACATTACCAAACAAGTTGTTCCCTTGCCTGTTCAGTATGTTAATTGTTCTGGGTTTAATGGCAGCCTCATTTGAGGCGGTCCCATATGCCCAATTTCACTACAGGCCATAGCAACTCAACATTCTTGCTACACATTAAACTCAGCCACGAAGGATCAGTCTCTGGACCAGCACATTTGTCTGCATTCCAAGCCCCTCCGGGCTCTGGCTAGAGGGGTCACAAGCTCTGTTCTGGAGTCAGGAAGGTTGTTCTTTTCTCTCCAATGGAAGGTCACTGCTACAGATGCCAGCCTTTTGGGCTGGGTGAATACCTGGACTTTCTGTCAATACAAAGGACTTGGCTACCAGAGAAAGCCCATTTCCCGATCAACATTCTGGAATGTAGAGCGATTCCCTGTGTCCTTCAATGAACGGAGAGAAAAGGATTTTACGGTGAGTACCAAAATCCTATTTTTTCCACACCCCTCAGTATACAGTTGGGCAACGCCATGGTAATGACTTACATCAACCACCAGGGGGAACCAGAAGTCTTGCTGCACAAAGGGATGGAGACTCTGAGTTGGCAGCCTTAACTTGTAGGGAACATTTACTATCCTACAAAGGGACCTTGCCAAGGAAGTGTCCCTCCACTGTCTGGATGTGGTACATGATGTTTGAGTTTACCTCTCACCTACAGCTTCTTTTAGACAAACCAACTCTCTCATTCCTAAGGGGTCTCGCAGGGGCAACCTGCATCTTACTTCACCATTTGAATTTGACAAGTCATCTTTCATACTTAAGGGCAAAGTTTCACCATTCCCTGACAAAATACAATACTAGATCTATTAGTGCTTTTCATCATCAGGCATCTGTTTCTCAGATTTGCAAGGCTGCTACTAGGTTCTTTGTTAATATTTTTGTTGTTTTTTACCAGGTAGATGCTCAGATCTCATCTGATACCAGCTTTGGCCACAAAGTTCTTTAGACGATTCTTTGTGAGTTTTTGAGCCCCTTCCATTGATGTCTGTGAAGGTTCTCATTCATCTAGGTCATGATATATCTGTAAAAAATAAGTCAAGGCAACTGGACTTTCTGTGTTTTTCTTGAATCGGTTACATAGTTACATAATTACATTTCTGATTATCATTCATCCTGTGTCCTGTAATATACGATTAAAGAAATCTGATTTTTGTCTTGCATGTAAAATCCTTTTCTTGGAGTAATTTACAGGACCCTATTTGATCCAGTGGGAGGGGTTATACCGGGCTGTCTACAGCTTTGTTAGTCAGTGCCTCCTGAAAGTCGCAGCATAACTTTGCATCCCTCATTATTATTCATCCTGTGTCCCTCCAAGAAAAAGGATTTTCCAGGTAAGACAAAAATCCTATTTTATTACAACTGAATATTGTATGTGTCTTGCAGAAAATGTTGGATGATCAGTACATTACACATGCTTCGGGTGAAACACTTAGAACCTTCATCTATGGATTTTACTTATACAGGATACCTCCTGAAAGAGAACCTGAAAGAGGTGAGGCAGCATGTTTTTGTGATTTACAAAGCATCAAGTTTTCTATGGAAATGTGTTTTTTGCTTCTTTGTTACGGACAGACAAAGTTCTACAGACACTGTCCAGTTTATGACAACAGGGTAACCTTAGTTGCAAACAATCTTGTTGTTGATTTAAGCACCTGTCTTTTCTTTTTCTGTGAGTAATAATAAAAGCTGCGGAAATTAGGTTTCTTCACAGGGAAGCTGAACTTACTGCCATTTTTAAATAAGAGGTTTGGTAAATCAAGATCTCTTTGTAGTGGAGGTGCACCTTGTTCACATTTAGAGACACCTATGGTAATGGTTTGGTTATCTTTTGTAGCTCCATTTATGAAATTATTGCTGAGGTTGTTCTTAATAAATCCAGCAGCTGGATCCCCCTAGATATGCCTATAATTTACATAAGCAATTGTTTGCTTGGAAATGCCTTAAAACATTGTTTACCATCTCCCATCTTTCATACCCCCCAACAATAATGCTTTTAGTGCTGTGCAAATCGAAGGAAATTCTGAACTCAATTAGGGCTGGAGTTTAGAAAGATTGCTTTAAAATCCCTCAGAAAGAACTGGGGCATAGGCCAAGTCAAAGGTAAGTCAACATTTATAAACATTTACCCACGTGACCCACACTAGGCTAAGTGAATAAAAAAAATGATAATGCCAACATATATTTGGATTTATAGCATTGTCCTGACATTTGTATGTATCATAACTGAAGCTTCTGTTTCTCCAGATATAATTTGATGATTTTTATATGCCTATAAATAATCTTTTACCTTGTAGCCACAACAAACCTGACACAACCAATCCCATGGCATTCAGCTGCAATGGAGGACTTCACAGCTTTTCAGAGGAAATGGTTTGAGGTGGCACTGGTGGAAGAGGAGCTGCTCCATTCTGAAATCCCACCATTTCTCCTGCCTTGGTTACCCAGTCGGCCAGCCTCTTATGCAAGTAGGCACAGTTCTTTCAGCCGCAGCTTCGGAGGAAGGAGCCAGGCCGCAGCGCTGCTAGGTAGCTGCCCGCGAAGGGCAGAGGAGCTGATGGAGTGCCATGTCCAAGAGAATGATCTCCCATGGACTATCCATGACCTTCATGGTTCATCCAGCCCGTGGTTTTGTTTATTCACAACATTCCCCTCAAATACAGTGATTTTTTTAAATAGTCTTACTACATTAAGGCCAAAGCCCAGCTCCTACGAACACATGGCAACCTTACCATCCCAAGCAGCAGCACCTAATATGGTTTACTATTTAATATTTTGACAACCATTGTAAAATCATACATGTGTTATATTTGTAAAGAAACTCAAAACAAAATTATTGATAAAGGCACTGTACCTATATTCCAATATAACACTGAAGTAATATTTCTATGGTTTATGGTCTGTCTTAAACTCTGGCTTTAAAAGCTGTTTCTGCTGTAATTCAACATGTCATGGAAATCTGAGTCATGCCACGTCATTCTTCATATCCTACTTCCTCCTCTAACCACCCACAGAAAGGTAACGTGACTAAGGGCTATACCTTTGCTGCGTCCATGTGACATCATTGGTTCCTCTCTTGACTTTGTGGCTGCTATCTCATTTCCAGCAGCTCCTCCCCTGACGGGTACCACGTAACTTGCATGACAGGCATCTTTTCAGAGCCATGGAACGGGCTCTATCCTTACTCCCTTGTCTTCTAATTTCCTGGGTATTTACATTTACTTGTGGGGGAACAGTAAGATTACTGAAGTATCTTTTTATTTCCGATCTCTGACATATTTAATTTTAATCACTGGTCAGTCATTGACCTTTTTCCATTTCACACCCTTGCTTGGTTGCATGCTTTTGCATTTAGGCTGCATGTAGCATTTGCTAGCTTTTTGTTATATTTGTCTGAATCTCTCAAACTCTATACTCTATTTTACAGATGTGATTCTCCTGACTTTTTTTCTTGATTTGTCAGTCACTAGTTATCTTCCCTCTTGCGTGATATTCTTTCATTCCTTGTTTCACCCAGTTGTAATAGCTTTTCTTTTATATCTTACATGACCTTGCTTTTCATAGCTGCCACTGTCCCAGAGCAGAGAACGGTAACCTTAGATGTGGATGTTAATAACCGCACTGATAGACTGGAATGGTGCAGCTGCTATTACCATGGAAACTTCTCTCTAACAGCTGCATTTGAGATCAAGCTGCACTGGATGGCTGTGACTGCTGCAGTGCTTTTTGAAATGGTGAGGGTTTTATGTATATCTCATTTTTGTCCATGTACGTAGCAGGTTTTTTTTTTTTATTCTCTTGCAGTTTTATGGATCATTATTACATTTGTTCCTGCTTTTTCTTTATTTAGGTTCAGGGTTGGCACAGGAAGGCAAACTCCTGTGGTTTCCTACTCGTACCTGTTTTGGAGGGGCCATTTGCATTGCCAAGCTATCTGTATGGAGACCCACTACGTGCTCAGCTCTTCATTCCCCTTAATATTAACTGTCTGGTAAAGGCTGAGAGTGACCATCTATTTGAAGGTGTGTAGCAAATTAAACATCCTTTTAAAAGTTATGCATGCACACCTACTTTAAACATTCATAGTAACCACTTCACTGCTTATTAGTGCTTATTCTCCACATTAAAGTGCAAATAAGGTATTAAAGAGATGAGTAGTGTGTACCTGTTATGCAAATATCCATGTTCCAGGCCCCACCACCTCCCAGAAAGTCTTTGGGCAGCCTTTCTTTCCAGGACTGGCTGCTGCATCATCAAGAGGATAAGTGCATTTTAAAACAAATTGAATTTATACTTTTTGCCCGTTACCCTGACTTAACCCTACTCCTTCTCCCTGGATGCATGCCTTGATCCAGTGGCTGCGGTTCCAGCAGTGCAAGGCTTTACTATCCTGGCTGCGACTGCGCATTCATGTCCTAAAGACTTTTGTGGGGCTGTGTCCCAAGGCCGGAGACTGTAAGGCACAGGCGCAGCCATGACAGTGAAGACTTGCACTGCTGGATATAAACAAACAGCAGAACTGCGGTTGTCGTATCAAGGTTAGTATGCACCTGTGAAGCGGCAAAAAGGATAAGTGCACTTTATTTTAAAGACCACTTATCCTTTAAAGCAAATGTATAGTGGTTTTGTGCATACTGTAGTTTACAAAAAATAATTTAGGCAAATATGGTGCTTTTGTTTGACCTCTTACAGGCTCATTCTTTGCTTTTATAAGGAAAGAAAGTCTTGTTTTCACATACCCTTTCTCGTGTCCAACGGTTCAGTCTAAAGTTTAAATTTATTACATTCTAATATTAAACCCACAGTTCAAAAAAACTTTGGAACTTCAAATTAAATAAAACCTGCCCAAAACCATGATAGTTTTCCTTTTTAAAGACTATGCAGTTAACAAAGGATAAGGAGGATAGGTGTTGAATATGCGCAGGTGTTGTCACAGTATAAATGAAACTGCCTGAACAAGGATTTCATGGCAGGATCACCAGTTGTTATTTTAATGAAAGCTATTGAAAATTACTTATAAGCTTTAACATGTTAATGTTATTCCATATGAGGTTTTCATGAATGGTTTATAATATACTTACATTTTTTTGTAATAATTTATTTAAAAAAAACAACTTATTGGCGAGTTAGTACAGACATTAAAGTATGGGTTTATTGTTTCAGGTTTTGAGCCAGAGACCTATTGGGAGAGAATGCACTTGTTGCAAGAAGTGATTGCCTATCGGTAAAATATTCCTAATTAACAACATATATATTTATTTTCTGTATTTACATTTTATAATTTATTTTTCTTGAACTTCAATTTTCTCATGCTCCCTCAACATAGGTTTGGTTTCATTCAAGATAAGTATTCCGCATCTGCATTCAACTTCCCATCAGAAAATAAACCTCAGTACATACATGTGACAGGTAAATTCAGATACATACAGCAAAGGCTAAAATATGTTCCTCCTTTTTTTTTTTCTTCCTTGATTGTTCTATGGCTAGAACTATTGCAGTCCCTGGATTCTTATAAAAGACTTTCACTTTTTTTTTTTCCCCAGGTACTGTATTTTTACAGCTCCCATATTCAAAGCGAAAATATACCTCAGGTCAGCAGAGACGAAGAAGAAATTCCACCAGCTCATCAACTCAAAGTCTGTTTGGTGAAGAAAAGATAGGTTACAATTGGGCCTATAATACTATGCTGACCAAAACCTGGCGCTCCAGTGGCACAGGAGATGAGCGATTTGCTGATCGTCTGCTTAAGGACTTTACAGAGTTTTGTGCTAATCGTGATAACAGACTTGCTAACTTTTGGGCCAGCTGTCTGGAGAAGATGAACACAAGTGGACCTTAAATTTATCTGCTGTAGAGATCGCTGATGACTGGCTTGAGGTGACGTGCAAGTCTGTTTAGGGTTCTGTCTCCTCTTTAAACCTCTATGAGGACCAAATGCCTGCATCAGCTGCTTCCCCTTGCTCCCGGACTTCGTCTGAAATTATCTTAGCAGGGTGACTCTGGTGGTTCCCCTATGGGGAATGAAGACTTTCAAAAGCAATAAGGCTCATTTATGTTGGCTTATTTAATAAGGTGGTGCAAAGTGCAGTGAGTCAAAGCAACCAATCTAAATTCATTCAAGTCAGATCACTTAATGGGCCACTATCACAAAGGTTTTTGTTCATAGTGCGTGTGCCTAACACATTAAAGCATATTCATGATATGTTTTAAGTACCTTCATTTATAGTTTTCACTAATTATCTATGTTGGCTCCGCTGGGGGAAAAACAGGACAGCAACGTGGGCTTGGACTTACACGTATTGATGCATTGGCTCACTTGTAATGCTGTTAGTGTGCTTCTAAACTTGTAAAAACAAAATTCAAGACTACTGATTCAACTGGTTTTGTGATCACCTGGTACCATTTCCAAGTGGTTAATATCTCTATTTTTTACTACACAGAAATACAAGCAGACCTGATAACTACAGTACATCACTCGGTAGAATCAGGACTCCTAAGATCTAGTATAAAAGAGCCAGGTGGTGTTGTCCAAAAAGCTGCTTTGTGACGTGATTTTCTTTTCCAAGATCAGAGGAAGATCCAAATTAAAAATATAGAAGCAGTTGGATTTTTTCTTTTTTGTTAAAGCACAGGAACACACCAACAACCTTAGGCCTTGTGTCACTGGGCAAATGTAGCTTGCTTTCAGGTTCATTCATCCTGAATTGGAGAAGCTTCTAAATTCCATTTGGGTGCCTTCACAGGTACCTGTGGTCTGCCGTTGACTGCATACTAAGCAGCATCTACCTTTGGCAAGCTGCATTGCATTCTTGTTAATGTATGCAAAGAGAAATGCAGTTCTGAAGCAACAGGCCCTTACAAGGAAGCCAGCAGAGTGGCTGACAGTTAGTGAAGCCCAAGCCCCCATTTCCATCATAACTAAAATAAAAGGCATTTAAAAAAAATAAATACACTGGGTCGTTTACTAGGAGCAAATATACTACTCGAAACAAAATGTCTATGATTTATTCTTCTTTAATGGGAAATTGTAGTGTATTTTCAGTGAGCAGATATTTGGAATCATTATTGCAGTACCTACCTTAAATTATTGTTTATGACTTTCACAATTTTACATTCTTGCTCTTCCATACTTTGCTGTTATTTAAGGCCTCGTTCACACTAAGGCGGCATTGGTTTTGCACGTCAGTACGCGCGGGTTCAGCGTGCGGTTTTATGCGTGTTTGGCACACATGAAGACACACGTTTTGTTTAGCAGCTCAAGAAACATTGTGGTCAGTGGACGAACGCACATGAAAATGTGCAACATACTTCTGCTGGAAGGGGGTTTAACACCGCGGATGTCAACTGGTTAAATATAGAAATGTTAAAAAAAAAAATTAAAACAAAATACACTTTTTTTTTCAAAATAATTTAAAAAAATAAAATAAAAATAAAAAAAAGCACAACCCCTCCCTCCCCCC